AGATACCGCTGTGGATATGCTAGATATATCACTTTGCACTATGCATATGTACTCGGAAGTCCGGCATGTGGAACCTCCTGTACCGGAGACATTTGCTTTTTTGAATAGGGATGGCATCATGGCAAGCAGTAGTACATAGACCCGGCAAAAAGAGCCGGCAATTGAAATGTGTTCACGAACTACGGTTTAGTAGTGCGGGATGAGAGCCCATGCACTGAGAGGAATTCGAGGATTTGCTTAGTTTTCTGGGCCAGACTTCTGAGCCGAGAAAGTCAATGTTCATCTTATCATAAGGATTTAGCGCCTATGTCACAGCAACTCTAAATTGCGGGGTCTGGTTCGGGTTATGGAACGACAAAAAGGGCTCTAGACGACGATAGCTTCAGCACAGACTCCCAGTCCTCGCTTTGTTTTGCTGCTCTTTGGCCGCTCCTAGTGTCAAGGTAGGACCCGGGGCTGTTGGTTTTCACAAGGCTGCGGGTAGCATAACAAAGAAAGAGAGAAAAGCGTGGTGTGAGATGTGACGACGCGCTCCGTCCAGACCATTTTCCACGTGGACAGTCCTCCAACTCGGCTCCTCGGATAGAAGCGATGGTGATCTGGTCAAATCAAGGATGTGCACCTCTGTCTACCCGGCCATTCACAGGATGCAAAGTGGTGAGGAGATGAGAAAATCGCGCGGCTCAACCGCGAGAGCGACATGAGAATCCCGCAGGTACCAGACACGTGCGGTTAGGGGGCAACGAAATTAGGAGGATATGCCGACGCTAGCGTGGGATGTGGCCCGGCTAAGGCCAGCTTACACCATGCCAGCCATCTTACCGAAGGCCCGGCCTCGGATTTCCCTTCGGCGCGCGTTCATCGCCCTGAGGGAACCAGGAGTATTGTCGCCAAAGGGTGGGGCAAACACGGCGCCGCTCTGGCCATGGCCACCCTCATCGGGACGGAAGCCTTCGCCATTGAGAGCGGTTTGCCAAAGGCTCTTCAGGGATGAGCTCCATTCGTCTAGGGCACCCAGTCGTTCCACATCGCTCGCGCTCTCGACAACGACCGTGCCGTTCTCCTGGTCGATCTTCGCGTTGAGCTTCTTGTCAAGAATTAGGAAGCTGAGGATCTCCAGAACCTCGTGCACGGATATCTTAATGTGCTTGGAGATAAACTGGAGCGAGAAGCGGGTGTACGGCGCGATCAGCTTCAAAATGGCCTTGGTGCGCATGTTGCGGCTGACCTCGTCGATGTTCTCCGCGATGAAAGGGTCGGCCAGCACGTCCGGGTGCTTGCTCAGGACAGCTTCGTAGGCGTGGATGTCGTCGCGCTGGAAAGCATCGACTAGGTCAGTCATGGCGGAGATCCGGGGATCATTCTTGTACGGCTTGGTCTCTTGCGAATCAAACGGGTTGATGTCGGACTTCATCAGCATGGTAGTCAGGACCAGATACTTGAGGACCTGGATCCGTTGCATAGAGCCAGCCTCGTCGTAGTTGCGGAACGACTCAAAAAAGTCACTCTGGGCCTCCTCCCAATTCTCCTCGCTCATATGCATCTTGCCGCCGCACTCGCGAATGATGCCCATGATCTTGGGGTGAGGGACGGCCGACCGAACACGCAATGCTCGCTGATAGAGTGCCTTGAGGCGCTTGTTGTTCTTCATCTCGGCGTACATCTGGATCTCTAGAGCGTACAGCTCAAGCAGATAAGTGCCCTTGCTGCTATCATCCGTCCCGTCCTCCCGCTGGCAAGCCCGGTGCAGTTCCTTCACCTTCTTAGCCAGCTGCGTATATTCTTTGCGATCTAGCCATAGCCGGGAGAGTTTGATGTTTGTCTTGAGCCACAGGCGTTCGTTATTCGTATTCTGGAAGGAGTCGAGGGTGAGGGAGTAGAACTGTTCCATGCATTGATAAGCTTGGGCGTCGTCCGAGCCCTTTTCGATGTAGTCGAGCATGTTATTGATAGACTTTTCAGAGTAGTTGCGAGTGACGGCAGATTTGACATATGTGAGGAGCTCTCGATAATGTTCAACGGCCTAAAAAGAATGGATAAGTGGGCAGCTCCGTCGGGGGACTTAGACCGAGATGCCTACATCACTGTATCGTCCAAGCTTGAACTCCAGCTTGATCGCTTGTTTCAACCCTTTAAATCCCCTGCAGTAGTGCACCCAGTCAGTAACTTGACACAATGGTTCCGCTGCTGCGACCGTCGTACCATTCGCTTTTATCCTGTTCCATCGGAGGCAGGCCGAGGAATTCATCCACGGCCTCCTCCGGATTGTCCACCTTCATCTGCTTCGCATTGTAGTATTTGTTTTCGATTCCAATATCGGCGGACTCGTCATCTTCATCGTCTTCGTATTCAAAGTCATAGCTGTGTCAGACAGTGTCAGCTCAGTCTCAGGGCCTTATGAGCGGAGACGGGGCGGGGGACTCCTACTCCTCGTCTGCCGAATCTTGCATGAAATCATCGTCGTCAGACATCTTGTCGAAGTATTTTTGGTGAGAGAAATTCTTAGAGAATGTAAGGAGAGAAAGTGGTCAGGAGGAAGAGAGAAGGAAGGCGGGTTGTCGCGGGGTGTTTGTGAGAGAGCTCTGGGGACGGGGAAAGATAAACTGAGGTCACTCCAGAGAGCTACGAGAGCCTCCGCCTTTGGATAACACTACTCCCCGCCTGAGGCCACCAATTGAGCCTCTCCCTTGTTGTTCGTGTTTGATTAGTTGGATCCTTTGCCTACAAAGAAAGTACTTCATTTCTATCTCAATCATATCGGTCGCCTGAATTGCGCAAGTTATTGCGTGCCTAGCAAGCTTCGAATGAAGTAACAACATTGGACAACTATCATGCCTCTACTATATACTGAACTCCGAGCGTGAAACTAGATTGTACCCAATCCAGAGGGCCAGCAGTTTCAATCTGTACTTGATTCTAATCTACTCCTCCGAAGACAATCAATGACACTCGAGGGGCAGCAAGTTGTCAATCAAACTAGCGATAAGCAAGCACTGTAGAATCATAAGATCGACTGATGGGTGACCCCTGTCCCCAACCCACCAAGACCCCGTCATAGAGACAACCGCATCAGACACAGAAATGCAAAGTCATCCAGGTGGTTTCGCCCCTGGAAAGTCCTGGAGAACAGTCCTCGGCAGGCGCGCAGAGTGGACCAGAAGGGGCTCGTGTGTGTGGAAGCAAAGTGGTGGGAGCTTATTCGCCGATCCCTTTCAGGGCGCGATGTCATCGACTCGGGCAGTGCTGGTGTAGGAATCCTCCTCCTCCTCCCCTCTTCCCCATTCCTCCGTGACCACGCGCTCGAGTTTACTCCTGTTATACGTATCCGACTCTTATATTCGACCTACAATTACAACGACCTTGACGATTTCCCCCCTCAACCACGCCAGTCGCAATGGAGCTGTGCGGACGTCAGAAGGTCGTCCAGCGCAAGATGGTGCTGCTGTCAGTTGGAACCTGGATCCTTTGCGCAGTAAACGCTGGTACTGACCGATATCTCCAACAGCGGCGACGGTGCCTGTGGCAAGACTTCTGCTCTGAATGTGTTTACAAGAGGGTGCGCAATCTCTAGACCCCCCTTCTCTCGTCTCTGTCGAACTTACTCCCATGTTGTCAAACAAGCGAGCTGACGTGTGTATAGATTTTTCCCAACGGTGTAGTAAGATCGTCCAATCCAGACTCACCAGCCACATACACCCTCGACCAGCTAGACTAACCGCTCTTTACTGTCGCGCAGCGAGCCCACGGTCTTTGGTATGCGCTTAATCCCCCAAGTTGCAGAGGTACAACTCAGTCGCTGACTACTATGTCTACAGAGAATTATGTCCACGGTACGGCCCTCGCCTAGTAACCCCTTCCAAAATACCCCCACACTCATGCGCGCAGATATCTTTGTCGATAATGTACATATGGAGTTATCGCTATGGGACACGGCCGGACAGGAGGAGTTCGATCGGTTACGTGCGTTGTCCTATGAGGATACGCACGTCCTGATGTTGTGTTTTAGTGTAAGGCACACGATACCAGAACACCGCCAGTGAATTGGGTGCAAAAACAGTGCTGATATCTGGATACAGGTCGACAGCCGCGACTCCTTCGAGAACGTCGGTTCCAAGTGGATCGCCGAAATCAATGAGAATTGCCCTGGTGTGCGAGTCGTGCTCACCGCGCTCAAGTGCGACTTGAGGAAAGACGATGAAATGAATGATAACCCGAATGCGATCACGTTCGAACAGGGTCTGGCCAAGGCCAAGGAGATTGGCGCTGTGAAGTACCTGGGTATGTGGGCCGCATTCTACGGAGTGTATTGCGCGGATTAGAGCTGACAGGTGGACAGAATGCTCGGCTGTTCAAAATCGTGGCATCAGAGAAAGCTTCTACGAGGCGGCCAAGGTTGCTCTGGAGGTCAAACCTGCTGGAGGCAAGGGCTCTGGCTCCTCGTGCGTCATCCTGTAAGGTGCTGTGCGCAGGATTTATCTCTCTCTCTTTTTTGGCTCGGGTCGTGTCTGAATCACCTATGCGTCTCCTACTGCCCAGCACACGCTGGGCAAGCTTTCGTTTCTTGTCCTCCTGCAACTGCTTCTTGCTATTGAGCTCGTTGATTCCCCTTTGCATTTCATACCGTCGATTATAGGGTTGTGACAACCATGACCACTTTCTTTTCAGGGTCCGGACACTCGGCTGTGTATCTGAGTGTCCAGTGTTTCCCCTTTTCCTTTGCATGGCTCCATCCTCTGGGTTGTCGAAGCATTTCAGCGAGGTTGGCTCTTTTCTTTCCCCTACTTTACTATCTTACCCTCCAGATACACCCATATAATACTATTTAATTGATTATCTTCGATCACATTATCGAGTAATCCTCGATGGCGCCGCCAACCGAGTTTCACACAGCAAACCCATCTAATTCTGAAATACAATTACAACTGTCATCACACCAAGCCCATCTCATCATCCATGGATCTCATAGCAGTAAATCCTCCTCCCTAACAGGGTACACCTCCTCAATCTTCTCCCCCCCCCCCCTTCTTACACGCAAAATCCTCATTCACCCTCTCAACAAACCTCTGCACAAAACCCGCCGCGACTTCATCAATCTCAAGCCCCCTCACACCCACCCCCTCCAAACTCGTCATCTCCTTCCCTTCAAGCCCACACGCCACAATCTGCCGAAAATACCACATCGGCTCCTCAGTAACATTCAACCCAATCCCAAAACTGCTAATATTCCGCCGTAAATGCACCCCCACCGCGGTTATCTTTTTCGGCGCCCCTGAACTAGAGTTGGCGTTTGCGTTCGCTTTGTCGAATACCCATACACCAGGGTCTTCTGTGGTGAACCCGTTAACCCCGTATTGCTTTAGCAGGTCGATGACGCTATTCTCTAGGACGCGGATGTGGCAGCGCGGGGTGAGATTGAGTCGTTTCAGGTCTAGGATTGTGTATGCGACCATCTGGCCCGGGCCGTGGAAGGTGGTTTGGCCGCCGCGCAGTGTGGGGTGGTACTCCGCTTTAGCAGGGGTTGACCCTGACGGTGTGAGTAGCGAGCGGATTGGTTCGAGGGGTGGTGGCAGTGAGAGATTTAATGGGTCTGGCGAGCACGTGTTGGATGGGGGGAGGTCGCGGCGGCCGGTGGTGTAGACGGGGTTTGGGGTGAAGGTGATGATTGTTGGGTCTGGGGGTGGTGAGGGTGTTTGGTGTGTCGTGTGTGATGTGCCATTGGGGTTCTGGGAGGATATGGAAGCTGGTGAGGCGAGCTTTTTGTGCGTGAGGAAGCGGGTTGTGAGGGCTTGTTGGAGCGCGGAGACTCGGGCGAAGGATGTGGTGTTTGGGAGGTGGAGGTGGGCGAGTCTCATTTTGTGGGAGTATTTTGGGAGGATATTGAGATGGCAGCGTTTGTAGTGAGTGGTTAATGGTGGTTTAGTAGGTGTCGTGGTTCATTGCTGAGTTGGAGATTGAGATTGAATAGTTTTCCTCGGAGATGTAAGGTCAGTGGACTTTTGGATTTGCGGAGAAGCTGGGAGCTCCGGGCTGATAAGGTTTGATAAGCACAATGCCCACCTTCTCTGTACAGTGCAATTGAACAGCTCATATTGCAATTGAGAGGACTTGGATTTACTGGATTTTTTTTTTTTTGTGTTACTTCATTGCTCATTACATATTCTTAATCGTTTAGTTCTGGCAATCGAATATTTGCAACACGAAAAGGCCACGAAACAGTTGACTTTTGCATTGAATCCTGCCAATTGACCCGAGTTCGTTTTTAAAATCGTACATGAATAGTTTGATTCCTTGGAAAGAAGATAGACAAGAAGGGCCGCTCATATCATATGAGACAAAAGGACCGATATTACTCAAGCATGCCATGGCGAGTCATCACATCTTGGAAATGTCCCGACTATACGCCATTGACTAGACCAGCCTGCTCATTCTCAGGCGGCAGCAAGACCCAGTCACGAACTCCACCCTTCCAGTCCGCAATACGGCCCTCGTGCACCCGCACCGTAACCACTCGTACATCGCCGTCGATGGACATACTCGGGCGGCGGACACTAGGATCATGCCGCTGCTGCTGCCCGAACAGGTTGATCTCCTCTTCCTCAAAGGTGTTGTTCTCCAGGTGGCGCTCCTTACACCAAGCCTCCTCTTCCGAACCCGGCTCAAGGAAGCGCGCCTGGCCGGTGATCGTGGTGGAGATGCTGGACAGCGCACTGGTGTTCAGGTTGAGCAGGAGGCTAGCGAGCGAGGAGCGGGTAGCCGCGGGAGGAGGAGATCCTTCCCGGTCTCCTTGGGCATTGGGTGCCCGGGTAGGTGGACGGTGAGATACCCAGTCGTGGACCAGGAGCGAAACGCGCGGGTTAGATAGGAGGTGGTTGGTCTTGCGGGATGCGGGGTTGGTAGTCATGATGATCGTTGGGTAGGGGTCGTAGGGAGTCGACGGGAGGTAGGTATAGGCCATGAGGGAGATGTGCGGGGTGAGGTTATCACATGTTGCCAGATGCAGCTGGGATTGTACCTCGAGTTAGCTTTTTGAGAATAAATAGATTTGGTCTTACGTCTTCAGCAACGGCGGGTCACATACGAAGCGGGAGTTCTTCAAGCAGGCCACCACCTCGGTGGGCAGGGAGGTTGCCTGGTGAGGATGAGTGGTGGTCGCTGAAGCCTCGTAGGAGAGGGGGGGATTGATAGAATCCGCCATGGTTGTGGAAGGAAGCATCAACAGGAGTCGCGAGACCAAATAACGGACATGAGGCCCCTCAGGTCGGGGCTCTGGACGTGGGATGATTAATTTGCCGGGCGGTGAGCACCGGGTACCGACGTCATGGATTGGTTCGTCAATGGCCTTAGGACGGAGCAGAGAACGTTTAGTTAGTACTCCGTACGGAGTAGTAGCTACTGTATAGTAGCTTACATGCCTTAACTGGTAAGAACAGCCATTACAGTAATTGCACGTCCGCAAGTAGCCGAGTCGAAGGTCTACTGTAGCTACTACTATATCGGTGTCCTTCACCTTGGACGGTTTCAATTGCCAGCCTGGGAATGTGGAGTCTGGCTGGATCCCATTCGTCATGATGGCGAAAAAGCGAGCGATACCAGGGACGATCATCCGTCCATCGGGGGGTCAGTTTAAGGACTCAGGGTGCGATCGATCCAGAGGATTAAATCGCCGATGTTCGCAGGTTTTCTTGTTTCCACGGCGGTACTGTACAAATACATAGAGTGGCTTGACAGGATGACTATCTGAATGGGCACTTGGGACAAGTCGGAAAGCTCAGCCACATGGATAGTTAGTTAGTTAGATACCGTCTTTCGATGTCATCATGACTGTGGCCCTTCCGTGCTCAGCAATGCTGGAGATCAACAAGCCTCTCATTCTTGCTACTTGGACAGAAAGCAGACCACTCCACCACTAACCCATCAACCTACCCAAGCGATAAAGCATACAGCTACAGTAGTCGAGTTAGTCAACCACTCTGGACCCCGAGTACTCCTCCAAATACCCGCAAGCTCCTTTCCCCGCACCAACTCCAGCTTTCTCCTCCTTCGGTCTTGCAGACCGACGATCAAATCAGTCCACTGCTCATAGTCAGCAATTCCAGCACCCAAGACGGAGATCTGCCCTCCGTGGCTGATTGTTCTTGATCGTTTTCCGCCGATACTTGTTTCCTGCCCCGGATTTCCCTCGGGGCACGCACTCTAGGCCCCGTCGCGTGCTGTGGGCCTGGAGCTTGTACTGTAGCTAGTTCCCCCCAGTCCAGTCACCCCTGCTCCTCTCGCGACACTAGCAATCACTGCCTCCTCTTTTCCATCCTCTTGCCCCTCTTTCCAATTCAACTTGTCCTCTGCTCTTCCTCTCTCCCTCTCTCCCTCTCTCCTTCAGTCCTTCAGTCCTTGAGTCATTTGGTTTCCACCTCCACAACAACCCCCCCGTCCTTGCCACCACTCGTCGACCTCCTCTCCCTTCCGTTTTCAACCCTAATCTTCTCCTTCTCCTTCTTCTCTCTCCTGTGTCTACCCTCCATCCTCTAAACTATCACCGTTCCCCTCCTTTCAATCCGAAATCCATCTCACCCTTCTCGTCGAGCACACCTCCACCATGCTGAGCCCGCGCTTGATCCGCCCGGCAACCAGCTCCCTGGTGCGGCCGTTCAGCTCCTCTGTCGCGGCCTACCGCGCCCCTTCCATCAGAGACCTCACAGCCGACTCGGCCGAGGACTTCAATCGTCGACAGAAAGAGTTTCGCGAGAACCTCGAGGAGGCTCGCAAGAGAAAGGAACTGCAAGAGAGTCAGTCTTTCGCTGCTTCTGCTTCTGCCCCCTCATCCTCCTCCTCTTCCATTTCCCGTGAGTCTGCTCCCACTGCTCCGCATGTGAGCAATGCGAGCACTTATGAACGAGTTCGCCCTGCCTATGATGCAGCTGAGACTCTTGACCATACGGCATTGGGCTCACTTGCGATGCACCGTTATCTAGGAGAAGAACAAACCGCGGAGTCTGGATCGAAACGAGGCCCTTTGTCCTCGCTGATTTACGGCACCAAGGAAGGTCAACATTTCGACAAGGACATCGAGCGCTCTTTCTCGCAGGTGCTTGCTCGCGGCAAGTACGTCCACTCCATCGTGTTCCATGAAGTCAAGCCCGACAAGGTCGACGAGTATGTGGAGCTGGTGGGCCAGTGGTACCCCCGCATGGCGGGCACCGAGGAAAACCGGGTCAACCTGGTGGGCAGTTGGCGCACGCAAGTGGGCGACAACGACACCTTTGGTAACTTTCTTTCCCCGTATACTCCTCCAGATGATTCTCGAATGGGTGACTAACATGGTCACTTCTGCTCTACTACAGTTCACATCTGGGAATACCAGCGGTACGAAGGCTATCATGCGTCCCTGCACAACATTGCCAGTCACCCCGAGTTCCCCGCGTTCGACCGCAAGCTCAAGAGCTTGATCAAGAGCAAGAAGACTTCCCTGATGCAAGAGTTCTCGTTCTGGCCTACGACTCCACCCCGCAAGCTGGGTGGCTTGTTTGAGCTTCGATCGTACACTCTGCACCCAGGTAATCTTCTGGAATGGGAGACGCACTGGCGTCGCGGTCTGCACGCCCGTCGCGAGGTTATGGAAGGAGTGGGCGCCTGGTTCGTGCAGATTGGCGACTTGAACACAGTCCACCACCTGTGGCAGTTTGCAAACCTGGAAGAGCGCAAGATTCGCCGGGAGCAGTCATGGGGAGTGGAAGGGTGGGCCGAGACGGTGCACAAGACGGTTCCTCTCATTCAAAGCATGCAGAGTCGAATCCTAGTTCCAATGCCCTGGAGCCCCGTTGGTTAAATGCGGGCAACATCCTAGGAACCACCGAAGAAGAGCCGGCGGAAGTTTTTCCGTGACCTTTTTTCTCCCCACATCCATATTGTTTCTCTGCGGTCGGTCCTCTCTCTGGATCTTTCTATTAGGATCTCCGAGGTTCTGCAGACCCCGGATTCTTGCGCGATGGCGGTGGCCCTCCCGCGCAAACGTGCAAAGTCTGTCGAGGATGTTGAGAAGTCTGGCGAAGCTATTCCCGCTGTAGGTCTATAGTTCTGTATCGTGTAACTAAGCATGGCGCATCAATCCAAGCATACACTACATCTCTCCAGTCCTCCGTCTTGGATCTCCTCCTCTTGCCATGTTGCCATCTTTCTCGCAACGGACCGTGGGAGTCTAACCGAAAGAGCAAAGGCCTCGGGTAACCCCACCTCTTGGACCTCTTGGACGGCCGATCAACGTCCCTGCGATGCCTCTCATTGGCACTGCGGCTGAGTACCACCACAGCGTGTCTCGTTGCTGCACGTGGGCTGCCGAGCGGTGGTGAAGGTATAATCCGGGGTTCCTCAGGGGTAAGCATGTAGAGACTAAATCTGATCTATATATAACTATCGGTGTAAGCCAGGGCAACAGTATGCAAGATCTTACCGGGTGAGAGACCACCGAAAAAAAAAAATCGAAACAGTTCAAACGTGAATGTCGTGGTGGCCTCTCCAAGCACGGAGAGAAAAGGCCTCCGCCGATCTCGACGTCGCCAGGGCCCCATCTTTTCCGGCCTGCGCTCCGCTCCCCGACAGCGGGGCCCTTTAATTTAGTTTGGCCGTCTCCTGCTTAGTCTTTTTTTTCTCTTTCCCTACCAGGGCCTTCACCTGCCTGACGCCGTCACGACTCGTCCTCCCTCCTGCGCCTTCCAAACAACCTTCCTCGTCCGCTTCGCTTCCCTTCGAACCACGCGTCCGCCGCTACGCCTTAGCTTGGCCCGCCGCCGAAGCTTGTTTGGCCCAAGACCCACGCCAGCGCTAGGGATACATGCGTTGAGGGAAAGGAAAACCGTTGGGTTACGGACGCGAGTTTCTTTTTATCCTTTTGAGGTACCTGGACTTGCAGTGGAATACACAGGACGACAAAGGACAGTCTTGGAGAGACCATCCGCGCTTCGCGAAAATGGTGTACATTCGGCAACATTTGTTGCAAAACTTGCGCAACTACAAGTATGCCGGTATCGACCACTCGTTGATCAGTCGCTACGTGTTGAAGCCGTTTTATAGCAAATGTGTTATCAATTTGTTCCCCATGAACATGGCGTGAGTGCTCCTGTTGTCCCTGTGCGAGGTCCATCTGGCGGAAGAGCTCGCTCCAAGCGTCAGGACAGCTGTCACCGGCTTCTGGCTTGGAGCTATCTGTTCCTGCGGCAGTCGTAATTCTTGGGACATGTCTGGCTAACGAGCTTTTTCCTCGATTTCTCGCGTGCAATAGACCCAATCTTGTAAGTGTCCTTCTCCACGCCTTGGTTTTTGCAATGGTCTTCCTCTTTACTTTTTTTTGGCAAGCCACTCTGCATACCATGAGAACCTTAATTAATGGCCGCTGTCTAGATTACCTTGACTGGATTCCTCTTCGTGGTACTTAATTTCCTAACCGTGATGTGGTACAACCCCGGCATGGACACCGACTGCCCGCCCTGGGTGTATGCGAGCTGCGCGATTGGCATGTTTTTGTATCAGACCTTTGATGCTGTGGACGGCATGCAGGCGTACGTTTCATCCGGTTTGACGGGAGTCGAAGTACTCATTGCTGATCTGATATAGGCGGAGGACGAGGCAGAGTGGGCCGCTGGGCGAGCTGTTCGATCACAGTATGTTGGCTGTTGGACTGCTTGCATGCAAGCGGTATAGACCAGGTGGATGAGGTCTGAGCTGACATGCTTTATGTAGGCGTTGACGCGTGTAACACTGCCTTGGGAGTGCTCATCTTCGCGGCCTCGATGAACCTTGGAAACTCTTGGATGACCATCTTGAGTCTTTTTGGGTGTAAGCTACGAGCCCCCGTTGGATACTCTGCGCTTTTCATCTAACACGCTTTGTTCAGCAACCATGACCTTCTACGTCCAGACCTGGGATGAATTCTACACCCAGGTGCTGACTCTAGGTATCATTTCGGGCCCCGTCGAGGGCGTCCTCACTCTCTGCCTGGTCTACGCTATCACCGCGTACATGGGTGGCGGTAGCTTCTGGCACCAGCCCATGCTCGAGACCCTCGGCGTCGCCAAGCCGAGCTTCATCTCAGATCAAATGTATGAGATGCCTTTCACGCAGTGGTACCTGATCTACGGCGCGTTCGTGCTCTTCTTCGCTACGGGCTCAAGCATCTGGCACGTTATGCAGGTCCGTCGCCAGCGCGGCCTCGACCCTATCACACCGCTCTATGGTCTGCTGCCCATGGTCGCCATCTGGACCCTGGTCCCGGCGTATTTGTACCTGCACCCCACGATCCTAGAGAACCATACCATTGCCTTTGGACTGTATGTCGGCTTGGTCAATGCGTACGCAGTTGGTCGCATGATTGTCGGTCACTTGGTGCAGTCTGGGTTCCCGTACCACAACATCCTGCTATACCCTCTGGCTCTCGGTGTGCTGGACAGCGCCGGAGCCGCGGTGGGTCTTTGGGCAAACCCCGTGCTTGGGCATGGGGCCAACCAAGTGATGTTTGTGTTTGGATGCCTAGGGTTGGCGATTGGCATCTATGGTAGCTTCGTGGTAAGTCTCGCTCCCTTTTACTGATCTCTGTGATTGGTTCTTTCTGATGTATTTGCTTAGTTTGATGTGATCACTACCATTTGCGACCACCTTGACATCTGGTGCTTGACCATCAAGCACCCGTACGTCGAGGAGACCGAGCGTAAGGACGGCGCGGCCATTAAGGCTTCCGTCGAGGGCACGGAGAAGAAGACCCTATAAGCAGTCATTACCAGACTGCGGTACAGTGCATTGATGGGAGCACAAATAATTGAGCTCGTGTGTGAAGAACAGTTCAACCTCGTTCACCACGAGACACAACAACAAAAACAAGCGTCTCGCCATAGAGGGCGAATTGCGGGGAAGACATCGAGACCAAGATCGAGGCGTTGAACTCGGGTCGGAACATTATTCGAGGAAGCGGCAAGACCAGTGGGGGTGGTTGTCCTAATGATTTGTTTTCAGCCAGTATATAAGCTTTTCAGCATCGGGTTGCTCCGTGTTATAGAATTTTTAAGTGTAATGTGAGACGTTTCAGACGAGTGCATGCGATGTGTTTGTATAGCAAGCATCCAGGTATAGAAAGCTTCGACCATACTTTGATTGTTGATAAGCACTTGACTGATTGCCCGATTGTCCAGGCAGACCCTTGGGACTGGCCGGCAAAACCAAGGCGGTGTGATATTGGCAGTATTATTGGCGGAAGCCCATCCACCACGCCTACCCGAAACGAGCAGTCAAGCGAGGGCACAAACCCTACCCCATCAAATCCTCTCAAACTTCTGCTACCCTCCATTCCGTGTTCACACAAGGCCATCGCCATCAGCGCCATTCATCAACTCCCTCGCTGATCAATAACCGTCAAGATGGTGAGTTCTGCACCTGCTCTATCTCGATACCTACTCGTCCGGCTCGATCACGATTTTCTCCCAACCCCTGGGGACAGTCCGAACGGCTGCATCGAGATTTTCCCCCCTTAGCCGTCAAACTCTTCATTTGCTAACGTGACCTCCTTGTTGATAGGTTCTCGCGGTCGACCTCCTCAACCCCACGCCTCAGGCTGAGGCTCGCAAGCACAAGCTGAAGGTACGATGAATCCGGATTCTGATGGAAATGGGAAATGAAGATTGGAGATGAATTCGGCAAATGATGGGGCGGACGCGGATGTGGAATCAGAGGGCCTCGGATGGGATTTACAACTCGACCTCCGAAGCATCGATTATCGACTCTCCTCCGACCACATGCCCGCCCATCATTTGCTGGAAAGAGATGGAAATTTGACGAACTGATGATGATGGAATACGGACAAACATTATGGAACGGAACAGTCTTGACTGACGGAACCACCTTCTCTCTACAGACCCTTGTGCCCCAGCCCCGCTCCTTCTTCATGGACGTCAAGTGCCCCGGCTGCTTCACCATCACCACCGTCTTCTCGCACGCCCAGACCGTCGTTATCTGCGCCGGCTGCTCGACCGTCCTCTGCCAGCCGACCGGTGGCAAGGCCCGTCTGACCGAGGGCTGCTCGTTCCGCCGGAAGTAAACGAGACGCGCAAATGAAATCTCTTTTTCTTTTTATGTCTTGTTGAAACGCACAGAGGATAGCATGGAGCAATTAGGATGAAAATACCAGTCCCGGGTTTTTGACCTCCGCTTCGGTTCGGTACTTACGGAGACCGCCCGTCAAAATGTCACATACCAAATCAACCTTTTCTCTTTACTCACACCTTTTGCCGATTTTCTTTTTCTTATTCACGGGATAACGATGGAGGAAGGGGGGAGAGAGGGGGAAAGCCACCTTGGAACGCCGATGAAGACAAAAACAAAAACCACCTTCGGTTTTCGATTCGAAAGATATCTGATTGAAGGGAGGTCTTTCTTTTTTGTTCCTTTCTCGAGGGTCCAAGGACTGGCTATGATATGTTATGATTCATACCACCTTTCCTTCTTTCTTTTCTGTTTCCCATGAAACACACCCCAAAAAATTTGATATGTGACACTTTTGACCAATTCCGCGCTCTCTCCCACTTCCTAATTGCTTTTTCTTGCCTTGCTTGATGGTGCTGTTTTTTACAGCGTTCGTTTTTTTATTATCTTTTATTCCTGGTTTTTCTCGGTTTCTTCTGTTGCGACTGGATGACAGATAGAAGATGGAATGACTCGCCCCCTGTCTCGCACCACCCCCCAAAAAGCATTCGACGGCATTTTGCTGAGGGAGTTCCGGATATCTGGCACAGAGGCACCTTGCTTGACTTGGTGCTGTGCTTTTGTTACTCTGTTTTGTGTTTTTATGTATTTGCATGTCTTTGTAAATGGCGTCATACTCGAATAGAGGTGTCCCCGATACTTGAGCTGCTTGCGTAGAAGACTAGAGTATGGAGTAGAGACTCTGCACTTGGGTAATAGTTGTAGACACTCCTATCTATTGTCGATTATAGATTCTTGGCTGTGATCGGTAGTCATCGCCTCTATTCTATACACTTGGGGCTAACTAGTTATGCCCTTGTGCCTAGGCCACACAAGTACAATACTAAATCTATCCTACTTACACAATCAGGACTCCGTAGTTCCAATAAGCAGGAAACAGTCCAGACAATGCACAGTATGTCCTTGTCTCTATTTCCCAAATACTCAACGTCATTCTACCCAAATACCCGGACGCCCTTCACCCCCTCAGGCTCCAACCCCCACAGCCGAGGACGTGCATTCCCCACCCGAACGACGTAAAACCGCGCACGGGTGAGAATCTTGGCCAGGCACAGCGTGTAGTGCCTTCGATGCATGACATCATGTTTAAGGGTACTCAATCGAAAACAATGGTTTATTCTGGTATATTCCAATGATGCAGTGCGAAATAGAATGGCGCAGAGGATGAAATTGGCGTTTCTAACAGAGTACGCGTCGCGCTGCTTTGCTCTCGTCCGGCCCGGTGATATTGCAGCACTGAAGTGAGTGTTGAAGGCTGTTAGGTACCGGGTAATATTTTCCAGTCTCTTGCTATCCGGGTGATATCATACGATGTAGAGGTACTACAGGGCTGGAAATATACTTTAGATCCACACGATGCAACAATCAACAACTTTTACTGTAATTACGCATGTGGATATACAGTGTTTGAGGTATGACGTTTTATATATTTGTTGGTCCATTTGAACGAAAGACATTGTCATCATGAAATAAAGATCGTGAAAGAACGGATGGAAAATCGAAATCGTCCTCAATCCCAGCGGAAATGACTGGTACTTTGCGCTTTCGACTTCGTAAGAAACCAAATTGTAGTGTACGAAATGGGAATCAAAGGGCTCCAAACGCTACCATGACAAAGGTTTATAGAACGCATGAGGTCGTCCTATCTTAAACTTCAGTCACCGCAGCGGCCTTGGCTTTGATGGTTGGTCCAAAGTCAATCGGGTTCGACGGGTCGCTGCCCGTCATCATGGCCAGTTTGCCCGAGGAATCGGTGAGCAGGACGCTGGCGAACTGGTTGCGGCCGACGACTTCTTGAACGGCCTCGCGGGCCTGGCGGTCACCTGAGGCGTACTTTGAGGCGTCGACTCTCTTCAGGGCGTTGTGGGTGTTTTTGATGAAGTCGAAGAGGAAAAAGGCCGTGGGGTGAGGGGTGGGAGGCTGAAGTTGCGGATGGGCTTCGAATGCTCTGTTTGGAAGAGTTGGTTATCATTAAGTCGTAGTTCTGGGGGTCTCTTGAGTAAGGGAATTGTGCCTTAAGAGTCTGGTGAATGCACAGCAATGTTTGGAGGGAATATCGTATGGCTGCTCGGGCTATGGGGAATGCGATGGTAGTTTTCAAGACTGGAGTGCGAGATGAACATACTCGATGAGCTCATTCATCTTGGCATCAAGGGCCTCAAGGTTGACATTGTTTTGCTGAGTCGACATGATGGATTTTGTATGTCAATGTGAAGTTGGATATACTTGGAAGAGAGAGGTTTGTTGATGTGACGAAATGGGACTGCAGGGACCAGCTTGAAAAGTGGGCGGGGACCAAACTCCGCCCAGTCTTATCACAACCTTATCTTATCGCTCCTTATCGAGTCTCCCCAATTCCTTCGCTGACTTTCCACGCCCATTCCCTTCTCTCTCCTTTCTATACTCCCCCTCCTTTTCTATGTCGAGAGTTGCTTCTCGCAGACTGTCGCTTTTATTGAACCATTCAAATCCATCTAGTCACTCCCTCACCACCATGGCTCCCAGTCCGTCAGCCTCGGCGCGCCAACCGCTGAAAATCCTCATGCTCCATGGCTACACCCAGTCTGGATCCCTGTTCCACGCAAAGAGCCGCGCCCTAGTCAAACACATCCAAAAGGCCTTTCCTCTGCACGAAGTCTCCGCAATCTACCCAACCGGGCCCCTCCGCCTAAAACCCAGCGATATCCCCGGCTACGAGCCGTCCGAGGGAGGCGGAGAACCAGAAGACGAAATTGAAGCATACGGGTGGTTCCGCCGATCCAATACAGCCACACCCCCTCTATACCAGGGCTTAGAAGACGGTCTCGCCGCCGTGGCCAAGGTTCTCTCAGAAGAGGGCCCCTTCGACGGCGTGATTGGATTCTCGCAAGGCGCCGCCATGGTGGGCATGATCGCGGGGTTGTTGGAGACTGGGCGGCAAGAGGCCTTTGCGAAGTTTGAGAAAGATGAGTCTGAGGGTGCGCCGGGGATACCCTTCCCAGCGTCCTTTGCTGCGCTCCAGCATCCGCCGTTCAAGTTTGCGATTGCGTATAGTGGGTTCCGGTCTCCGGGGGCGCGGTATCGTGGGTTCTACGAGAGTCCTCCTGTTCAGACGCCAGTGTTACATGTGCTGGGATCTTTGGATGCGGTTGTGGAGGAGTCAAGGAGTCGTGCGTTGATTGAGGCTTGTGCCGGTGAGCCGGAGAAGGATGGTTTGGTGGTTTGGCATCCCGGTGGTCATTTTTTGCCGAGTCAGCGGCCATACTTAGATGCTGCTGTGCGGTTCATTCGAGAACAATTGGAGAAGAGCGGTGGGGGGAAGAAGGCAGATGAGGAGGATGTTAACGACATGGATGTTCCTTTCTAGCGTGGAACGAGCATTGGTGTTCTGATCCATGGGTATATATATACACGTTGGGCGGGTGGCCCGCAGATCACATACACATATAGACAGCCTTTTACTACGCGCAATTATTACTCTTCCAGTTTTCCTTTTCAAATGTCATGATATAACTGTGTCAATAAAACCACATATCCAGTGGCTGGTTTCTTCATAGCAGGTCTACCGGCGATATTTTACACACGGAGCAGCATTCCCACGTCAACCAAAACCCTCTCGACTCAACGAGCCTTGGCCTTCTCGCCACGAGATGGCAGAATACGGGCCATCATCTCCTCCTTGGTGATCAGATGATCAATCCGCTCCAACAGACCCAACAGGCTCTTCATATCACTGCTCCACTCGTTGAGCACATCATCCGCATCCCGAGGCTTAGCAAAGTTGACTAGTCGGGCGGGTCGGTCAATCTTGGCATAGATGGTCTTCGACGTGACCAGCTCACTAATGTACTTCTCAGTCTCCTCCTCGGTCAGATCCAGCAGCTGGGTCAAGCGGGGCATCTGAATGCGTGTGTAGTACTTGGCCACGACACGCACGTTGTGTTCGATAACCCGCTTCCGCAGATCTTGCCATCTGCGGTGAGCCTGGTTATCAGCCGACTGCTGGGCCTGGGAGTCGAACACATCGGTCTCGCACAGATGAGGGCCAAACTGCTCGGCGACCATGGGCCAGCGCATCAACTCCGGGATGGTGAACAGCTTGACCAGGCGGGCCTCCACGGCCACTTGGGACAACCGGGGGTCTGATTGGATGCGGTGCAAAAGGTCTGACTGTTCGTTGTCATAGGGAGAGAGGACAATATAATAGACAATGCGCGCAAGGGACTGGAAAACGGAGAAATCATTAGCATATTCATAGAAGCACGCTCAACCAGGGCTAGACTCACCGCACGCAGCTGTGCGGGGCTCTTCTCGACCGCCTCAGTGTCCAAAACTTCTCGGTAGTGCTTGCAGACATCAAGGTACTTGTAATCGTGGTTGGCCAGAGTAATCTGCTGGTCATAGTAACGCAGCTTAAGATCGGTCACATCGTCATCCACCTCCATAGGAGCCTCATCCGGTCCACGGGTCTTCTCTCGCTCCTCCGCCTGCTTCTTGAGCTTCTCAATCTCTTCGGCACTCTTCTTTGGTTTCCGGGCAAAGTACCGCTTGTTAATCTTGCGGATGAGGATCGAGGCCTGTGTCCAGTCTCCACGCTCAATACACAGCCCAACCTGCTCCAGGATGAATTCGGTCTTTTCCCTTCGGGTCATAGATCCAAATGTCTCCACCTGCAACTCGCACAGGATGTCGGCCGCGGCATTGAGGTCGCCTTGTGACTTCTTGATATTCGACAGGATACGGGTGACGCGAGCTCGCTCAACTTCGACGAAAATCTTTGAAAGGCTGATGTCAGTGTCTGGCCTAGGCGAGGGTTCTCCAAACGAAATTGTTGGTATCTTACCTTGCCTTCAGTGACCGTTCGGAGAGTCTCGATTACCGAGAGCTTGACGTCGAGGTTTGGCGTATCATCCAAAAACTTCATCACCTCCTGCACCATCCGCGTCGTCGCCTGCTTAAGCTGAGCATGTTTCTTGGAGAGGACGAGCACTTGGTCGTTGAGAAGGCTCCAGTCACCGGAGTTCTTGCTAATGGTGACGATGGCAATCAGGAGGCGGGAGGTCGTGGCGAGATCAGAAGCCTATTGTTTAACACGACCGCGGTCAGCTTGGGATGAATTGGGGGGATGGGCGATGACGGGACAGCGTACCTGTCGGGCTTGCTTCTCCAACACCAACAACTTGTCGATCGCGCCTTGGACATCGGTCTGATTTTGGGCGAAGTTAGTATTTATAGTACAGCCATTGATGAGATCGGTGAGTCGCACCTTGGCAAGGGCCTCAGCTTCCGGGATCAGCTTGTCGGCGTCCTTGGTGAAGTCCTTCTCGGGCTTCAGCACGCCAGCGGACATGATGACGAATGTGAATGGGAGTCTCGTGGATCGGTTTACGGGCGAAGGAGGAAGGGAAAACGAGAGGAATTAGATAATGGTACTGCGAAGTACCAGCACGGCGATGGGAAGTACACGTAGAACAGGTGATGACGGATGACGGTGATGCTGGAGCTCTGGGGGGTCCGCCCTTGAGGCTTGGGCTTGGAAGCTGCAAGCTCCGCCTCACGTGATCCTATCAACACCCGCCCGTGGCCAACTGACATAAACTGCAACAAAATAACTAAGTTAACAGAGGATTGATTCATTATTTTGGACTTTCAAAGTATGATGCTTCCATGCTCCCTATCAAAGACATGGGGATTCAGAATATAAGTCATCTCAGAGAGTAATCAGCCAAGTGAGAACTCTAGTCCTCGTCGTTCGGACACTATCATCAATTAGGGGACTGCTAGGATGAATGGATTCGAGACCAACACTCATTCCTAAAGACTTCTAGAGCTTATACTAGAGTCTTTAGCGACTATTAAAGCCTGAAGATCGGTCTAGAGAGCCTCTTGTGCTTAGTGCAGACTGCCAACTGGAGGCCCCAGGAATGGGGATTAGGTAAGCGCATCGCAATCACGCAATTTGGCCCTAGGCCATTTCGGGATTTGCAGATGTATAGAAAAATTTCGGCCACAAAATTGACTAACAGTCTGTGAGAGGCACCTCGAGTCGATATTCGTATCTTCTTCTGAACTGGCGATCTTGCCGCCGTTTTCTTCCTTTTTGTCAAGTCGCCAGCTTGCATACTTTGCGCGGTGGCGTTGCGATTGCTCATCCGATAAAGTGACAGGGTCCTTATCAGCGGCTTATCACCAATCGTGACTGGCCATTTACTCAGTCCGGAGTAATTTCTCGATCTCCGCGGAAGTTGCAGCAGCCTGCATATACGGTTCCGGGCCTTTATCGGACTCCATTCCATATATCTGAGTATTCAGAGCCCATTCATATCATTCTGAGGTCTCTCTTTGCTCCCTCTGCCTTTACAGCAGCATCTATACCTTGTGTCTTGAAGCGCCACTATCTGGAGGGGTATCCCGCACTTTGCGGCACGGCACGACACCATGAAGGACACCTCCAACGGGGTTAACCCGGTGCCGTTAATGACAGCATGGAATGTTGAATCGCAAGTTCATTTGATTGTCGGAGCCAATCCTTTGGCTGCCGCTCGATGCGCCAAAAGTCTTGAAGCTGGCGCGAGGCCCATTATCATTGCGCCGGAGACGGCCGGCCTTCATTTTACTCTTGCAGACCAGATCTCCAATGGCTCGGCACAATGGGTGCGTCGCGAATTTCAAGATGATGACTTGACTAGTCTGGGTCGAGAGGAGGTGGATCGTGTGGTGGACACAGTCTTCGTCACCTTGGGTGGCAGTGATCCATTGAGTAAGTTTTTCGGTCGGTCAATGGCCTGAGATGGGAATATTGCTGACCATGGCTTGCTTAGGCGCAAATATCTCGAAGCTCTGCCGGCGCTTGCGAATCCCCGTCAACGTGTCTGATGCCCCGGAGTTGTGTTCGTTCACGCTACTTTCGACCTATTCCGATGGTCCACTGCATATTGGAATCACAACCTCTGGTCGTGGCTGCAAGCTTGCATCTCGTCTGCGCAGAGAGATTGCTGCTTTCCTTCCGGCCGACCTTGGATTGGCCATCGATCGACTTGGTAGTGTGCGCCGCAGGCTCTGGGAAGAAGATAATGACACCGGACTCGGCGAGTCGAATATGGACGGCGATGACGATGATGCTTCGGGCCAGAAACATACATTCAATACTCTCATAACGGAAGACGATGCATCTGCAGCAAAGACCCGTCGCATGCGTTGGTTGTCACAAATTTGCGAATACTGGCCTCTTCGAAAACTTGTTTCGATCACTGATGCGGATATCGATACTATTCTCAAAGCGTACTCATCTAGCAAAGACGCCGAGTCAGAGACCAACGGGGCCAATGGCGTGGCAAAGAAGGGCAAGATTGTGTTGGCTGGCTCTGGGCCGGGACACCCAGACATGCTTACTCGGGCCACATACAATGCCATTCAGACTGCCGACATCATTCTGGCCGATAAGCTCGTTCCGGCACCAGTGCTGGAACTCATCCCTCGCAGGACGGAAGTTCACATTGCACGCAAGTTTCCTGGCAATGCCGACCAAGCTCAAGAAGAGTTCTTGCAGATGGGTCTTGCATCCCTGCGGAAGGGACAGCAAGTCCTCCGCCTGAAACAAGGAGACCCATATCTTTATGGTCGCGGCGCCGAGGAATTCGAGTTCTTCCGGGATCAAGGCTACACTCCTGTTGTGCTTCCCGGTATTACTAGCGCTATGAGTGCGTCTCTGTTCGCCGATATTCCCGCTACCCACCGCGGCGTATCTGACCAGGTTCTGGTCTGCACGGGAACTGGCCGGAAGGGTGCTGCTCCAGAGCCTCCAGCATATGTGCCTACTCAGACTGTCGTATTCCTGATGGCTCTCCATCGACTGACCGCACTTGTTGAGTCTCTTACGACGCACTCTGCAGAAGACTCGACCCGGTCACGCACTCTCTGGCCGAAAGACACGCCCTGTGCGATCGTGGAGCGTGCTTCGTGTCCCGACCAGCGTGTTGTTCGTTCAACACTTGAGCATATCTGCCGTGCATTTGAAGAAGCAGGCTCTCGTCCCCCAGGCTTGCTCGTTGTCGGCGCCAGCTGCCATGTACTGCACAGGCCCGCGCAGGGTCAGAAGTGGGTTATCGAGGAGGGCTTCCACGGCCTGGATGGATTGAACAGTGATCTCGATGCGCCAATGTCCCTGGCTGAAGAGAAATAATTGGAAATGTTGCATAAAGAAGGCGAGCACGGCGATGGAGTTATGAAGGATTGTACATAGACAGGATTCAGATACCCACTTGAGCATTTTGAAGGCTAGAATAGGATGGGAATCATTTTGGTTATAGAATATTCCATGCATTTTTATTTTCAGTCATCCTATGTGTAAATAATTAATCTTAACTTGATAATAGGAATAACAATGTTCACTGTTGTTAACCCCCGCCATCTGGTTTGCCAACAGCGATGACGCCATACTGTGTAGCAACGACACCGCCTCCACTCTATATCCATCTCCACCACATCTTCTCAAGGCATTCAGAAAGTAAAGCATTGCAAAATGGCACCGGTATCCCATCTTCCTCTCTTTGGTGGAGCTCGGTATGTCGATTGTGATTCTTCATTCTCGAAGTCGTTATGGTCGTTATGAATGCTAACCAATTCCACTTACACGCAGAGCCTGGTCTCAAAACGACTGGACCGCCTCCGATGACCGTGTCCGCGGCGGCTCCTCTCAATCCGAACTGACCGGCTCTGCATCCTCATTGATCGCCAAGTTCCACGGAACCCTTGATATCAAGACCCTTGGTGGAGCCGGATTCGCATCGCAACGCACTCGAGGCGAAGACCGAACATGGAATCTCTCCGCGTACGACGGAATCGAATTGGTTATCGACAGCGCAGATGGCAAGCTCTACACGCTTACGTTGAAGGATGAGATTCTCCCCAAGCGCCCGGATGGCCGGGAGCAAAGCACCATAAGCTGGGAATTTGATTTCCGGGCGGAGGGGCGTCGGACGATCTGTATCAAGTGGAGCGATTTTAGGCCGACGTATCGTGGGAAGGATAAGTATGATGCCGAGCCGTTGGATTTGAAGAATATCAAGAGATTCGGAATTATGATTAGGAGGTGTGTGGTACTTTCCCTCTTTGGCTGCGTTGTGCAGGTATTGACTTTCGTATAGTTTCTTTGGAGAGCAGGAAGGCGCGTTCTCGCTGAATCTCGTATCTATTGCGGCGCTTCGGACGGAAAGATACCTCGATGAACCGGATGACGAGTACATTGATGAATTTCTGTATGAGAAGTCGGCTGCTGAGGCCAATTCTTCAGCGCAGATCAGTAGACGTGGAGGGTGGCTGAGCTGGTTGACTTCGTGCCTTCTCTAATGCCTATTCACTACGGGAAAAAAAAGACAAATCGCATCAGAACTGGAGTAAGCGCGGATATTGGTAGATATTTCGGTTTAAGTACAAACTTGACTACGTGCGGGAGAAAAGTCATATGTTCAATACAAATTCTCATGTACATTTCCCGTCCTGAACCCTCCAAGTCACTGAAAATCACTCGACACCTGGGTAATTAACCCATTCTGAAAAGTCCATGCCGCCTGGGCTAGGCATATGCTGTTCCACTGGGAATAGACTGCCTCCAAACCCGGGGTCACCAAACAACTGTTCTGGGAACGGCATGAAACCTTGCTGCGGCGGCTGTTGATGGAAGGGCTGTTGGGTGTTTTGTTGATGAGGTGGAAGGTTAGACATGATGCTTGGCGATGGGCCCAGAAGTCGGTTGATGACCTCATAGCATCGGAGAGCGAGTTGATTATTGCCAAGGGACGGGTGTGTCAGAAGGGCTTTTGTGGTCTCAATAACTTGCAGCCAGGTCGGAGCATCTGGATTTGAGGGATCGGTCATCAGAAGGACGATGGGGATAAGACCAGCTTGGAAAAGGAAGTAGCTGGTGGAGAATGGAAGTTAGCAAAGTATAGACGAGTGGCTGGCAGAAGGGAAGATGAGTGCTCGAAACTTACAGCATATACCACGCTCCAATTCTGGTGCACATGTAGTTTTCCATGTACTCGGAGATCGAGGAGATAGTGAGCCGTGCATTTTGGAAACAGCGTAAGCGGCATTCTGTCTCACAAGGATCTTCATGGCCACCTTCGGACGATGTAACGGATGATACATCAGAGACACCGCTGTGAGGACCCCAGCGACGAGCGGCCCACCGAAGCAGGATTGGGCGGTAGATGAGAATAGTCAGATTCCAGTTTCGCCATAAAATTCGGTTCCGAACGAGGGCAAGGTTGTCTGGATCTGGTTGTGTTGGATGCACGGCAAGAGGTTGTAGTGGATAGTGCATATATGATGGTAAATTGCTATACCACTCTTCCATGGGCTTCTGTAGGTTCAACGTTTCTTCGGGGGTGATGCTAGGGCTGGAGATCAAGCGCTGATACACGCTGTTGGTCAGGAGATGAAACTGGGCTTGTGCGATCAAGCCGGAATAGAGGGTGGGTCCAGCTGATTCGGGAGGCAGTGTAATTGTTTCCGGAGTTAAAGCCTAGGAGTTTCGATGTTAGCTTGAAGAACGTCTTGCATCTCGGAGCGGTAGTACTCACATCGTCATGAATATTCAAGACTTGTTTGCAGTCCATGACACACTCCTCTGGAAGAAGAATAGGGCGACCAAAGGTCTTTGCAGCACCACTGTCAAATATGAACACGCCCCACCATAGTCGGCGGCGGATCTCTCGCTGGAGAAGACTGATCTTCCATCCCGGGAACTCCTTATGTAAACCCAGACTCATAGCCATACGGACAGCCAGGCCCAGATAATTCCAACCAGTGTTAGGCTTGTTCCGTTTTTGAGCATAGTTACTCAGGAGTAACAATGCCTGGACCAACGTCAAGTTTCCAGTTTCGAAGACAGATGATTGCTGTAGACAGGCTCGGGCTTCCTGGTAGAAGGTTACATCGAGGTCTGAGCTGTCATCTCCAATACTCCATGCACCAAGTGCTAAAATGGTATTGAGTAGAATCTGCCAAGCAGTACCGTGAGGTCGAAGAGAGGGTTCATTGAACTGCGCTCGGAAGGTTGGTTCGTGAACAAACGGATAGCTCGTATGATAATTCAGGAAATATGCGTCGATGAACGCTTGTTCAATCAAGCCAGACGGAGCACTTTCAAGAAGTTGTGCTTTGAGTGGTACGCCACCAGATCTTGATGCGCGGACCGGTATGTTCAGGTCAAACCCATGGTCAAAAAGCGCTCTCAGCGGGACAACACTAGACGAAGCTCCTATTCAAACAATGAGACCTTTGCCGTAGAAATCACAAGGGCATAAACAAACCGAAATAGCCGGCTCCCTCCGGCTTAATGGACAATGCGGCCATTCCATCAGCCAGGTCCCCTAAGACAAGCTCCTTCTCGGCCCAGTCAAAGCCATCAGCTTGCTGAGGCAGGGCCTCGGGTGCAGGTTCAGTCCGCTCTGCCTCGGGCTTTGCTGGAGTCGAATGTCTCGAAGACGATTTTGAAGAGGGTGCCTTGGGAGCCTCTGGGTTCTGCAAAAGAGATCGAAGGGTGGCATCCAGGTCACCTCCAGGAAACAACCTGCCTAAAGCTGTTTCAAAAGCATGCAAGCGGTCTTCAACATAGGTCAAGTGCCTTCAGCGAATCGTTAGCCTTCTCTGTTTATCCTCTTGGAATGAGAGAAAGATGCTTACTGCCGCGTCAATGGACTCCGGGTGACCTTCGGACTGTACTTGCATTCCTTGTTCAATTGCTGACATTGCAAACAAACAGGCCTCTCTTTCGAACACTAAAGCCAGCATGAGCGCCATATTTACAGAGGGGGTCATACTTCGAATTGAATCTTACCCTCGACTTTCGGAGCCGGCACTCATCGCACTATTTTCACGTTAGTAATTTGCAATTTCCAGGAAGGAGATGCATCTTCGCCTCCTCAGCGAGTCAGGCACATACAGCGAACGAATGGGAATCACGAGTGCTTGCCATCTTTATCGAGACAAGTCGGATCGTTTGACTCGGTTGTTTAATGCGCTCTGATCATGACACAGCTCGGGAGTCATCTTCTCGGGGCTGTTAGCAAAGTAAGCTCCGAATATCGTGCATCAAAGTAGCTCCTGCAGGCAAGGTGGAGGGGCAGATGTATAGCGTAGCATGCTGACTTGGATGGAGTCACAAGATTTATAGATGCATACGGGTCCGAAACCACGCAAGCGGTATTTGAGCAACGGGATGTGGGTAACTCACGATCGGCGCTAGAGCAATCATTGATCAGCTAAGACCAGCCAGACTCACGATGCGATGGATGAGACATAAGACGCCGCATTCAACGGTCCCCTCGATAGTGGGGAAATACTGATCATGTGATGTGCTGAAAAAATCGCAGTGCTGCCTCAGGCATGAAAGCGCCTTGGGCATCGTTCTCCGCGGAAGGTTAATTTGACAAAGAGGCCTTATCAACGGTCAGATAATGATGATTAAAATAAGCAAAAACAAGCTAACTTGGATCCAGAGATTGTGGCTTACCCTCAAGTCAATACTAGCTATGTTTTGGGGGATTTTGTGTTGAGTGCAGAATTTTATGCCAGATAGGTCCCAGAAGTATATTTTGGAGACTGAATCTTGTCCATTGTACCCCGCATTCTTGTATGAAGTTTCTCATGAGGTCGGTATTGGATTAAAAATTAAGCAATAGGAAGCACCCATCCAGCATTTTAGTGCTATTTCAATCCTAATCGTATAGTAATGGAACCCAAAGTCCACTATAGAGTCGGCGCATTCAACACAGCAACACTTTGATACTCTTGGCACGGATGCCAAACCTAGCGGGCCAATCACATCACCACTTCATTTTTTTCCACTTCACCATCACCAGCATCACCACCTCAAGGAAGTGCTAGAAGAGTATCTCTATTGGAAATTCCAAGATATTTGGACAGATCAGATCTTGATTCAAGCAGCTAGACCACTGGAGCTTGGGCAAGCCGAGGCGCAATCATGCCCTCTCAACCCCCACTGCCACCCCTCCTCACAACCTATCTATCAAAGCAGCCCGAGTCTTCGCTCACGCTGATATCATCGATTCTGGGTGCAACATCCAACTGGCTCGTGCTTAGGTATCTGTATGCAGCTCTTGGTACATCTTCAAGCCCGAATGTCACCATTGGAAGTGATGAACTAGCCAACGGTGTGAAGAGGAAAGTGGTCCTCGTGAGCTTCCTACGGAGCTGGGAATTCTGGCGGGCAGAGGCAAAGCGATTGGTAAGTTTAGAACAATGAGATATATCCAGCGTAGTGCTCATCATAATCATTGTATTCGGATGGGCCCAACGAGCTTGGACGCCATCTCAAAACTCGTGTAATGCTGACAGCTCACTAGGGTCTGGATCTTGCACGCTTGGCAGATAAGCAACAGTTTGCGTTTGTGGACGGTCTATCAGAGCTATTCAACACTCCTAGCACTGCCTCTGGGGCACCGACAAACACAGGAAGCGCGGTGCGCACAACCCTTCCTCTCCGATCTCAGCCTGGCACAGTGCCGGGGCGGGGACCGCCCTCAACGGTAACGGCCGAGCGGCTTGGAAATGAAGGTCTTCGCCAGAGAGAACCTGGCACCGCTAAAAAATTGCATTTTACTGGGCACGGGGTTGCCGCCCTGGATGTGATGGAGAAGGACATTATCGCCGAGATCAATCGACAGAAGAGTTCCATGGCTGAAGGCGATGAGATGTTGTTGATCATAGATCAGCCTGATTTCCTTCTTGCTGCTACTGGTGCAAGCATGGGTATCGGAGCTACGGAGATGGCAGAGTGGGTAACAGGTCTACAGCAGGTATGGCATTAAAACTGATGCGGCCAGCTTTCATACGAGTACGAACTAACTTGCCGTGTAGCATGCGCATGCGACTGTCTTGACTCTGGCTGCTGACTCCCCATTGATACATAATGCGTCTACTAGTGGGATCCAGCAATCTTCGCCCATTGAGACAGAACATGCGGCCTTTGCCATCGGTATGGCCCACAGGGCCCGATCCGTGATGCAACTCCGTACGCTCGAAACCGGTGCCGCGAGGGATGTAAGTGGGGTGCTCAGGATCAGTCGGGGTGGCGGCTGGACTGGTGAGGCAGAAGACAACTTGGAAGAAAGAGAGTTGCTGTACTATATCCAACGAGATGGCGGAGTTCGAGTATTTGGGCGTGGCGAGTCATGAGTCCTTTCGGTTGCGGGATGTCCTAGAATAGTTATATGGCCTTGGTAGAATCTAAAAATTGAAGACCTGTGTTGAAGATTTGGTTCTTTCCCACAGAACGCGACTGCGCATCCAAGATAGAGACCCAGAGATAGAAGAGAGATATCTTCGCATTGTTATCTGTCACGACATGGGGATATTCGCCAGTCATAAACGAGGAAGAAATAAAGGAAATTCATGCATGCTTCCAAGACCGTAGTCTTGACTTTTATGCCACTTCGCCCTCCTCGTACAACTTTTCATCCCCTCGACCATTTGCTGTCCCCGAGACTATGTCCAAGTGACGCAACAAAGGACGAGATTGACGATCATAACCACACCAACTCCACGTGAAAAAGCGATATTTTTTTATTTCGGAATTGCCATTTGCATTTCGAGTAAATCTATCTCGCAATGCTAGGCCATGTCATGCCAGGATGTCCGACCCGTCCCTCATTTCTTTTCCAGCCTCTCCGAGCAACGAAAACGCGACGCCGAATGGGAGAATATTGTTGATTTACGAGCTCTGGGGGCCACGGGCACCCTTGGGGGTACCAGTCTGGAAGCCGTTCGTGAAGCGGCGGTGGACGTCGCGGAGGGAGCGCATGCGGCCGGAGCCAGTGGTCTTGCGGCGCTTGGCCTTCTCGCTCCAGTTGTCTGTTGTATCAAGAAATGCGGGTAAGCCGATGATCTGGGAGCCACGGTCGTATCCTCCACACTGCTATTCTGGCATCCAATCGAAGTTTTCATCTGAGAGAAGGGGGAGTATGCGTACACTTGCGGGTCTTAGCAGCAGGGTAGCCGCAGTTGGCGCAGGTCGACTTCTGGATGTGGAAGGACCGCTTGCCTGTCAAGTCGCAACAAAAGTCCGTCAGTAATTTGGCCCTAGATCATTGCATAGCGTCCACCCATCGTAGTCCGTTGTAGTCCATCACCGATTCCAAATCATATCACTCCTTGGAAAGAAAATTGCACACTTCGGACCGGATGGGTGGATCGAAAAGAATCGTGGGATCATGGGAAATACTGACCACAACGACGGCACAGAGTGTGAGTCTTGTTGTGGCGCTTGCCGAAGCTCGAAGTACCCTTGGCTGTTGGAGGTTGTCAGTTATTGAACGGATTCGATGTTGCCGACGATTGCGCGGAGCGAGATCTCGATATTCGACGTACTCATTTTGAATTAGGGGAACTGCCGGAGACAATATGATGTTAGTAAGTTGAAGGAGGAACAATATTCGTTGCAAGTCAAAGGGACAGCATGCAAGCGTACCTGGCAATTCCGTTGAAGGGCTGTTGTCGGGGTCGTCGTCGCTAGGCGTATCGAAACTTCCCTCGAGTGGTGATGGTGTCGGCTAAGCGAAACCTGTGGGCACGGCATGTCACGGGATCCAGGGCACAAGCCCTGACGATGGTAACGTGATATCAATCACATGATTTGAAGATGGCCCGTGCTGAATTATTAACATCACGTGACATTATACTTGCTGCCTGAGGAGCAACATCTGGATCTAAATGATCCGAGGCCCATAGAGGACTTTTACTCCACGATCTCTTTATATACGGCCCGCTTGAAGGCTGCAGACTACCCGAACGAAGCAAAAGTGTGGCAACCCTTAAAAATTTTTACACAAGGATTCATGTGAAGATCTTTTGTAATCGTAGGGAACATTGTAATGTACAAATTGTTCATCCAAACCATGGAGGGGTATTAGAAACCGAAACGCTCGGAAATGAGAAGCAAGAACAAGATCTCCTTCTGAATACGCTAATCAATGTCTTTCCCAATAAATTTTGCCATGGGATCTTCGGCAGCCAGGCGACTCCGCTTGTATGACTCCAGTTCTTCCTCTGTGATGCCGGCCTTGATCTCCTCCAACGTCCGCTTCTTCCTGTTATTTGCTGTTGATTCTTGGACCTCCTCCCTCTCGGACTCGCGAGTACCATTCGAGGATTCTAGAGCATCGCCATCGGCCTCACCATCTGCCTCTGGTAGCAACAACATCTTGCCTTCTTGCTGGAAGGCTTCTTTGCCATCTTCGCCCGTGCAGTAGCTGTTCTTCACAGTCGAGTAACAGCAAGCGTAGCCCCATTTGAATTCATACCACCAACTGCCCCAGACCGAAGTATGGTTATTGACCATGATGTCTTCAGGGTACTTCGACTTTGTAGCTTTCTTGGGAGCGCCCTTGATGGCACCGGACTCGTCGTATTCCACGAACCGCTCGTTCTCGACAACCATCGTGTCTCGCAAGGGAGTGGCGCCGAGATGCTCGTTGCCTCCATATTTCTCCATGAGGGCTTTGCGCTGGGCTTGGCGTTTGGCCTCCGTTTCCTCTTTCTCCTTCTTCCGCAGGAATTCCCCAGATGTTGGGTTGGCTTGCAAGTGGATCTGAGCCCTACCTGCTTCTTGTGCATCCCATGCGTATCGCTGAGCCTTCTCGAATTCGGCTGCATCGCCGGAAGCGCGAACAAAGTTTTCCTCTGCAACCAACGCAGAAGCCAGATCTTCTTGTGCACCCATATCCACCATTCGACGGGTCTTCGGATCATATTTGGCGGAGTCAAGGTCCAAGTTCAGAAGATATTTAGCGGTGTCTTCTCGGATGCGGAGGTTGCGCGTGGCGGTACTCTGTTGTCGGCCCATGTCGGACTCTTCGGTGTATCGGATGTCCTCGTCTTGTGCGTCTTCTCCTTCTTCTCCATCTTGTAGTTTTCGAAGATCGGCGCCCTCCTTCGCCGCTCGCTTCATCGACTCAAGCTCTTCATATTCATCAACGACCTGACGATATTCACTAGCATCGTAGCCGTTCCAGCGATCTCTCTTTGCATCCCATCCCATATCAACCTTCTGAATGGCCTCATCCGCCTGAATATCCTTGCCGGTCCACTTAGCACCTTGTTTCCTCGGTCGGCTAAGACATTCCTTGGTCTTGTGTGTCATTGCGCCGCAGTTCTCACATGCACCTTTGCGATATTTGGTAGCAGCTGGTCCGGTGCGCTTTCCTCGGTCGTACCATTTTGACTGATCTTGAGCTTTCTTTTGTAGACGCTGATGTTCAAGGTAGTCATCGTTGGATTCGTCGTCGACGTAGAAGGGCTTTTTCGAGATGAATGCCGGAATGTACTCGTTGCGCTCCTTCGACGCCACATCGGCTGGTTTTCGGGACGTCATGATGGCGAGACAAAGGCGCAGTATGTTACTGCAGTATTATGAATAACGGTCCCAAATGTAAACTGTGAGATGTACCCAAGCTGTCTGAAGAGAAGATGAGGCGAGGTTCAACAGAAGACCTGCCCCGATGTAGTGATCGACGGAGCTGGGATTTACCCGCACTCACGTGATCTGGCGTCCCTCTCGCGGTCCGTTTGCGCGTTTGTCATACATACTGCGGCATATCTCACGTCTCGCATTATTTATCGGCGAGTCGCGAATCATCCAACGAAGGGGTTGAATTCACATGGGAAGATAACTGTTCAGCGCTCCTTCGCACGATGTCGCTGACACCTCCTGGTGAAGCTATCTGAAATCGATGGAGCCCTTTCGCGTCCGCCTAAACTGCATCGATCACTACCAGGCGACCGCGTCAGAACTGGATCCCCCGTTACCATTTCGGGATGGAGTTTCAGAGAAGGATTACAGGGCTCGAGTGCCTGTGATCCGAGTGTTTGGAGCGACCGAAACTGGACAACGAATATGCGTCCATGTACATGGTGCATTCCCGTATCTGTACATCGAATACAATGGATCGTTGTCGCCCGAAGCTGGTGTGTTTAATAATAGACCGAACCCGATGTGCGATCGATCGTTCTTTGAGACTAATTATGTAGTGAGCTCGGCGATCCGTACTCTTCACCTTTCAATCGATCACGCCCTGGCAGTGAGCTATCGCCGCAATGCCTATGATAGGAAGACCGCATATGTCGCGCACATTACTCTTGTCAAAGGGATTCCATTTTATGGATATCATGTCGGCTATCGGACTTTCTTCAAGATCTATTTGCTCAATCCATTCTATATCACTCGCCTAGCGGACCTGCTACATCAGGGAGCAGTGATGAAACGACCACTCCAGCCGTACGAGAGCCACCTACAGTATGTACCACAATGGATGTGTGATTACAATTTATACGGTTGTGGGTACATGAATTGCAGCAAAGTCAAGTTTCGAGCACCGGTACCCGAGTACTTGGAACTCAGCAATCTGAACCATCGCTGGCATGACCGCTCCATCAGCCCAGAAAGCATCCTTGATGACCCTGCTCTACAGAAACAGAGCCACTGCCCTTTGGAAGTAGACGTTTGCGTGCAAGACATACTCAACCGATTTGACATCAAAGAACGTCCCTTGCATCACGACTTCACAGAGTTCTTGAGGCCGGCTGCGGTCAACGAGCGCCTTGTCCCCAGCGTGGCTGGGCTTTGGCAAGATGAGACGAGGAGACGCAAGAAACGACTGGGACTCACAGATCCAGACAGTACCCCATTTGGCCCCGAGGATTTGGTCTCCATGTCTGCCGACCCACGCAATCAAGCTAAGGGAGGCTGGGTCCACGAAGAGGAATTTCGCGAATTGGCACATCAAATCGCCGCGGATGAAGAGTCTGAACATAATGGGAGAGGTACATCCTTTGAAACATTTCTGGGTTCTGACACCGAGAAGACGAATATCAAAACAGCTTTGACTAGCGTTCAAGATTTCTATCCGGACAGATTGAATGACTCGACTTTGGACAATCACAATCGTGCCTCGCAGGCTTTTGACGAAACAAAGCCTGAGATATCTGTTGATGAAGACCTGGTTTTGTCCTCCCAGGCCGACCAAAACTATGCTTCTGAACCAGAATTCGACCGGTCAAGGACGGATGAGGACGGAGAGGAGGAGCTTCAGGATCAGCCGAATCTTCACGAGAATCCAGCCCTTGAAGAAAGCTTCTATGATGGCATTTTCGATGATATCCCCGAACCCAATGAAGCCCAATCAGGACCTGCGCACGAGTCCAACGTCTTCGGCTTGCATTCGACTGACAGCTTCCTCACGGCGCCCCCTGCTTTTGAATTGGGCCTCAAAGCCGATATACAAGCCCAGCGCGAGCTTAATGAGAGATCAAAGAATTCGAAACGACCACATACCGAACCCACCTGTGATGAAGTGCCATTAGTCAAGAAGCCGAGGTTCTGGAGCCTCACAGACGAGGAAGGTGCGCAGGAAAATTGCACCGAAGAAGCCCATTATGTAGAAACCACAAAGAGGGCAAATCGCTCTAGCCAGCATTTCGAAATATCGCAGTCATCGGAGTCTCGCTCGTCCTCATCCCAGAAGACAATTCGTCCATCCAAGACGACGGCGCAAGTACACAATAAAAGACTAAATTTCCCCGTCGTCAAGGACCCGAATGACCCTATGACCATCCTACGTTTCAGCCAAGATGATGGAAATCCATCATCGAAGAAAGATCGAGGAGCTCAGACTTTGCCGGGCTCGTTTCCGTCCGGATCAGCCACGAGCGCTCCGTCAGGCGATGCTAGTGGATCGTCTTCGCTCCTCCGCTCATCTTCCACAGTGCCAAAATCCTCCCTTGCACTCGATCCGCACATTGCCCGTCTCAAGTCAACAATTCATGATTCGTTTGACTTTCAGAAAGACGCGACTTTGGGTCTTTTCAAATTCGCTAGTCCCAGCACCAGGGAAGTAATATCAACCATGAATGACTTTGGCCGGCCTTCTGTCGTCTATCAAAAAGCGTTTTACAGCGACGATGTTGATGTTCCCGAAAGACCTCGGCTGTACGCTGGCCGGGAGTTTCGATTGGAAAGCGATACCATACACTTTCTTCCTGACTTCGATCCCTCGGGGAATATACCCGGAATTTTTGGCGAGCATCAACCCTCAACTCTCATTGATAGAGAGAAACAAGAGAGGATTGATCAGCAAATGCGCGAATCGTGTACTGCCAGGGTATGGGAGTTTGCACCAGCGCCCCCCAGTCGGTCTGAAGTGGTCGACTGGTTCGAGCACATCGAGGCATCGTCACACAAACCTAGTATTAATACAACCACACCAGTTAAACACAAACCCCGCAGCGTTAAGAATGTGGAAGCTCTATCACAGATTGAAGGCCCGACACAACAGAACCCTTACGGCTTCAAGTACTCTCAAAAAGCGAAGAGCACTAGCGTGGAACATCAAACCCAGTACATGAGCACGATGAGTTTGGAAGTCCATGTAAACACGCGTGGATCGCTTTTGGCTCATCCGGATGAGGATGAGATATCGTGCCTCTTCTGGTGTCTGCAATCCGACGACGAGGACATCGAGGTCAACGGTTATCTGCCAAACGTGCATGTTGGCATGGTCTACCAAGGTGAGGGGGATAGACCAGAAGCCAAGATCTCAAAAGCGCTCAGGATAGAGGTTGAGCATGAACCAACTGAACTTGACCTGATCAACCGATTGATTGACATCGTTCGCTACCACGACCCGGACATAATCACGGGTTATGAAGTCCATAATGGCTCATGGGGATACGTGATCGAGCGAGCGCGGAAGAAGTATGATTTTGATTTATGCGCGGAGTTGTCCAGAGTCAAGTCGCAAGCGAAATCGAAATTTGGCAAAGAGGATGACCGTTGGGGGTTTGAGCATGCCTCATCCATTCAAATGACAGGCCGGCACATGATTAATATCTGGCGTGCAATGAGAGGCGAGTTGAATCTCTTGCAGTATACCATGGAAAATGTTGTTTTTCATCTCCTGCAGCGCCGAATCCCGCACTACTCGGCCAAAGACCTTACGCAATGGCATCAAAGTGGGAAGCCTCGCAATATGTTGAAGGTTGTGGAGTATTTCACATCGCGAGTGCAAATGAATCTGGAAATCATCGAGGCCAATGAGTTGATTCCTCGAACCAGCGAGCAAGCGAGATTGTTGGGAATCGACTTTTACTCTGTCATTGCTCGCGGATCCCAATTCAAGGTTGAGTCTTTGATGTTCAGAATTGCCAAGCCAGAGAACTTCTTGCTTGTCTCCCCAAGTAGGAAACAAGTCGGACAGCAAAATGCCCTGGAATGCTTGCCTCTGGTCATGGAGCCGCAGAGCGACTTCTATACAAGTCCTCTTCTGGTTCTTGACTTCCAGTCTCTCTACCCAAGCGTGATGATTGCTTACAACTACTGTTACTCGACCTTTCTTGGCCGTGCTGTCCAGTGGCGTGGCAGAGATAAAATGGGGTTCATGGACTACAAGCGGGTACCGCGACTCTTGGAGCTTCTGAAGGACAAAATCAACATTGCACCTAATGGCATGATGTATGCAAATCAAGAGGTCCGCCAGTCACTGCTTGCCAAGATGCTTACGGAAATTCTTGAAACTCGAGTCATGGTCAAGACAGGAATGAAGGCCGACAAAGATGACAGGATTTTACAACGGCTGCTCAATAATCGACAGTTGGCCCTCAAGTTAATTGCCAACGTGACATACGGATACACCTCTGCCTCATTTTCTGGTCGGATGCCCTGCTCCGAGATCGCAGACAGCATCGTTCAATCTGGGCGGGAGACCTTGGAAAAAGCCATTGCCTTTATTCATTCTGTCGACAGATGGGGGGCCGAGGTTGTCTATGGAGACACCGACAGTCTGTTTGTCTATCTCAAGGGTCGCTCCCGAGACCAGGCCTTTGACATCGGCGAAGAAATCGCACAAGCAGTGACAGACATGAATCCCCGCCCCATCAAACTCAAATTCGAGAAAGTCTACCACCCCTGCGTCCTCTTAGCTAAGAAGCGTTATGTCGGATTCAAATACGAGCATCGCAAACAAACCGAGCCCGAGTTCGACGCCAAAGGTATTGAAACGGTGCGACGTGATGGAACCCCCGCAGAGCAGAAAATCGAAGAAAAGGCTCTAAAGCTTCTCTTCCGGACTGCAGACATTAGTCAAGTGAAATCTTACTTCCAAAGACAATGCAGCAAGATTATGCAGGGCCGTGTCTCGATTCAAGATTTCTGTTTTGCTCGGGAGGTTCGTTTGGGTACCTACAGTGAACGTGGCACCCTCCCCGCTGGGGCGATGATCAGTACCAAGCGCCTGCTGGAGGACCCTCGGTCGGAGCCGCAGTACGGCGAACGTGTCCCATATGTCGTCATTACTGGAGCACCTGGATCGAGACTCATCGACCGATGCGTGGCACCGGAGACACTTCTCCACGACGCACAACTTGACCTTGATGCCGAATACTACATCACCAAGAACCTCATCCCGCCCCTCGAGCGGATTTTCAATCTTGTTGGGGCAAACGTGCGGCAATGGTATGACGAAATGCCCAAGGTGCAACGAATTCGCCGAGTCGACGCATCAACTTCAGCCCTGTCTCGTTCGAACCGGGAGTTTGGTATTTCAAAGAAGACTCTGGAGTCTTATATGCGATCCTCGTCTTGCATCATCTGTCGAGCCAAGTTATCCGATGCTGCTGTACCTGTATGCTGTGAGTGTTTGCAGCAGCCGCACCACTCGCTCTTCTGGATGTTATTTCTCAGCTACAGCGGGCTGAGAAGCGCGTTCTCGACCTGGAGGCTGTGTGTCGTTCATGCATGGCCGTTCCGCCAGGCGACAGCGTTGTGTGCGATAGCATGGATTGTCCTGTCTTCTACTCCAGGACTAGAGGCGCAGCTGGTTTGCAACATACAAAGGCTGTGTTAGATCCTGTTGTAGAACTGCTAGAGAAGAAAGGGGATGAAGGCCTGGATTGGTAATCCTAAAGCCTTCTACACTGATCAAATCCATCCATTCTGGAGGTCTGAAGCTGGTTTGGTTTCATTGCTACTTCGATATGAATGACTGGTCATTGCGGAGGCGTTGGGTGCTGTTCAAATTCCTAAGGTGCATTTGGTTCGTCGGGCAAGAACATGGATATCAATTTCTTTCTTCTACAATAATGAAAACAAGATGAAGATTCGAATCTGATGGCAAGCGGCAGACAAGTAAACGCCGGTGCGAATAGCATCGCTTCAAATGTTTCCTCCTTGCCCCAAACGCCATAATTTGAGACCATTGTCATGAAGTCCTCGTTGGCGAAGCACACCATGCGCTCACCAGTCATCATCATCAGCATCGTAGTCGTCCCCTACCAATGTGATCAACTCGTCGATTGCGGAAGGCTTCACATCGCCTTCCCTCTCAATGATGTGAACGTCTCCGTCATCCTCATCGTCATCCTCACCCAGTGGTCCCTCAATAGCCCTCTCAACCTTCTCCTTGATACCCTCCCTATGTTCATTGGTCAGCAAGACCAACTCCGTTGCGGAGGCTCTTCCATCATTAGCAGTCACAACGACATCTCGGTCCTTTCCATCATCCTGTTTCATCTCTTCTTTTGGAACCGAAGAGAAACCACCGCCTCCTGTCTCTTGGTAGAGATCGTTCTCATAGAGGTCGCGATCTAACCCATGGTGTCCAAATTCTGCATCTGTCTCTGCAGGTGCCCTGGCCCCAGCTTCATCTCGAACGGTGAAATCAGTCTGGCCAACGATCTTCATGACCTCGGCATGAGTGAAGAATTTGGACGGGGCCTTTCTGGCATCGATGGCTTGCGCTTCAGCCAGTGCATTCTGCAACTCATCAACGGCGCTCCTGGCCACTGTGCACAGGACACTATAGAAGACCCAAGGATAGCTGATGAGAGGCAGTCTGGTGATCTCGATTTCCTGCTCGTCGGGTAAGTCGGGGACATCATCGTGGTCATCGTAGGCAACTTCGCCTCGCAGAGTTGCAAGGGCATCTTGGACCTCTTGATGAGTGACGCGATACATGGCGACTGCCAGCGGTGCAACGTGTCCAAAATCTCGCTTTCCTCCAAGATGTTTGTAGCATTGCTCTTGGATGCTCGATCGGAGGCCACTCGCAACCTTTCCCAGGTCTTCGTGCAGTTTGTAGTCCCTGGACATGGAATTGTGCTCAAGAACGAATGTTGTCCAGACCTCGAACTCGGTCTGGATTCCATACTGTGCCATAATCCGCCGCATTGATGTGTCATAGTTTACCTTTAGCTCACTAGCAAACTGCTCGAATTTCTTGCTTGCCTCCACCAGGCTGCATTCGAGGATCCGGGAGTCGAATGGGTTGCTCAACTTTGGCGAGAAATCCTCCGTCTTGACAGCATCATAAAGTTGGCCTAGGATTCTCTTGGAATGGTAAGACCTTTTGTTCTTTTTATCCATGAAGTGCGGCCAGACCCGTGGTTCAAGGCCTCTTTCCATGACAGCAGGGATCCCTGTCTTGTTGTAATCCACAGCATCCGAATGCAATTCGGCAAGGCGGACGCACTTCGGTTCGTATACACCATTTAAAAGATGGTCCCCATGTGCCATGTGAGCATGCGCAATTCGCGGCAGGCTGTCATTCTTCATGTACGTGACATAAAACGAGGTGATATCATTGATAGTCACTTGGCGGTCCAGATCTGGAGCCCTATTGCTGGAATAGATCAAGGGCTTTGCGAACCACTGTTTTGGAACAAGGTCCTGATCCCAGATGACCATATAGTCATCACCGTCGAGATCACCCCCAGAGCACATACTCGCGACATCCCGGTCACCGGTCTGCGGGAACACGATCACGTCGACCAAGTGCCTGAGCGCCTCACAATCCACAGCACGCACAACACGAATGTCACCTGGATGAAGCGACGGATTTCGAGCGACAATACATACTCCCTGGATGACTCTGGGACGGACACCTTTTTCCATGCTGCTGACTTGAATAAAGATCTCCGGGAGGGCTGCCAGCTTCTCTTCCTTGGTCATCCTTTTTTCGACACCGCGCGATTAAAGTAACCCCTGAGGGTGCCAGTTTCATCGAGAACTCCAAGAAGTGAAGCACCCTCTTCAACCAAGATTTTGGCTTTCTCTTTGAGGTATTTTTGATGCCAGGACTTCCATAGAGCCAACATGGAACTGACGAAAGGCTCATTCGTCCTTCGGAACCCGGCAGACACCATTTCCGCCAGCGCCAACGTCGTCCGGTTCGGGTCGATGAACTTTTCAAGCAATTCAATAGCCTGTTTGTCACTATCCATGGCATATCTGATGCTCTCTAACATGGTATTGAGCCTGTCATGAAAGACTTGTCCTTTGATGCCGAGAGCGGATAGAACTAAGATCAGCTGGCGATTGAGCGTAGCGGCGGAGAGTTGTGACCATCGAATGATCTCCAAGCGTTTATGTTCGGCCTCAAACTTGATTTGACTTGGGCGAATATGCACATCGTTTACGATCGGGTCAGACGAAACAGTTAACATGCCCTTGCACCCACCCAGCCGGAACTGGTAAGCTGATGGAGGCTCGCCATAGGGATTCAAGATACCCATTTCCACCGAGATTACTCTAGTCGTGAATCTCGAGATCTTTCCGATACCGTCAGAAAAATAGTACCCATTGCGGATGATATCGGGTATCTGTTTGACAGTGACGTTGCAGCCAGCAAGAGCTCGCGTCGTTGAGAAGCATTGCCCCAACCGTGCAGCATAACGAGCGACATTTCGGATATGATTGAATTGACCCATCCAAGCCCGAATGTGAGCAGCTGTCAGATTGGGAGTCGGAGCGAAGAAATATGCGCCATGTTCACGGAACTGAGAGTTACCAAAGGCCAAAAACTCATAGTGGCGATCCCCAATGGTGATACCATTTGTTAAGGTTCTCTTGATCCGAACGAAGATCTCGTCATTTGACTTGAAAGGCGATGAATAGATCCGACCTTGAGTCTTTTCGTCCGTGAATCGAACGCGAAGAAAGCGATCGAGGAACTCTTGGTAGTTGCGGGTCACCCGATTCGAGGTGTCGATCGTCGGAGTGTTGTAGTGAACAGTGGTTGGTGTCACACGTGCAGTACGCATGAAGCAGCAGTAGCTAGGAATGGCTGAATCAGAGATGCCCTTTGGGTATCTGATCTTGAAGATCTTCATTGGGTCAAGATACTGTTCTTTGTTCGTGGCAACGTGCTCCAGGAGTCTTACGGCCGAAGCAGCTCCCAGTTCCATGAGACGCACAATAAATTCACGCGACATCGTGAATTCAGAGAGATGCCTTTGAGAGAGACAAACCTCCAATTGGTACCGAATTTCGAATGGAAGATAGACATAATCATTATGAGCCATCTCTTCGAGCGTTGAACGAAACCGTGCTTTAGAGTCGGATATATCAATCCAGCGCCACACAGGCTCTGGGCGCTCCAAAACAGTTCTGAAATGCTTCCCATCGTCGATAGAGATATTGTGGTCCCTTAACATCCCTATGAAGAACTTGTAATCTTGCTCCAGGAGGTCTCTAGTGGAGAATGTAAACTTGAAAACATTCCATCTGCCTGTGAGGAGTATGGGATGTCAATAATTAGAGAACTAGATAACGTAGTCTTGAAGATGTAACATACCAAGATCAACAATCTGACCTGACCTGCGCAGACTGATTTTGGCCTGGTCCTGAGCCCCGAGATTGTGGGCAATGCATGTTTGACGCAGCCACAGATCCGTGTCTCGCCAACTACTTTGCGTATTGAAAGTGGCCAGAATATCTGTGGACTGTCTATGATACACAGGTGGAGAGTCCAGGATGACGATAAGAGACATTTCGTGGGATTCTGGGTCATGAACCTCCCACAGCTGTGCGAGCTGGAGGAAGGGTATCTTCACCCTGAAAGTGGACGGGTTGACCTCTGGTCCGCCAGGCGTAAATGGCCGAGTTTCATGTATGGTGACGCCGAAGTAGGCAAACAATGCCTTTGACGGGACATCCACCGCAATCATGGGTTTGGGTTCCTGCTGGAAAATGCGCATGGCACAAGTGGTGGATTCGTCCATGAGAATCCCAACATCAATCCTCTTGCACGGCAGGTTTTGCTGGGTTTTTGGGGACCATTAGTACTCCTATATCAATATATTAAACCCAATCTGGTATGGATTAACTTACACATTCCCTGGGATACAGTACATCCTCGCGGCTGGGGCTTCTTAGGAAGGGACTCGGCGGGGTCAGATCAAGCGAGACGACGAGTCTCGCAATGCGCCCGCTGGGTAGAAGGATATCATAATTCCCATTTTTCCAAAACGGATTTGATGGAGGTGGCCTAATTGAGCACCAAATTGATTAGCATCTAACAGCAACACAGCATGCAAGGATAGTGAATAACAAGGACTAAATGATATGGAGCCGCTTGAAAAATGTGCACATACTTGAAACGGATGCGGCCCTTTGAGCCTCGGTTTCCATGGCGGTCATCAAAGATATCGATGGAACAGACTTCGCCCTCCTTGGAGAAGGCTTCCCATAGGACCTGGGTAGTTGCCTCTGTTGGCACCTGAGATATATTGACACCAACAGTCTCCCACTTGTTCCAGGGTAGCCAAAGGGCCGGGCCCGAGGAGGTGAGTGTGATGCTGGTCGATCCAGACGAGGTCGACATTTTGGGCAATGTGAGGAGTGAAGAGCCGGAAGATAGAATAGGAAGATGGATGAGGAGTTATGTCGAGAGGAGAAGACGGAGATAGAAGCGTGTGATAGATACGTTGTAAATTGGAAACAACGAAAACCAGAGGAAACTGCCATTAGAGTGACAGGTTCGCGATGATTGCCTTCCGTAAGTGGGAATGGGCAAGTTGTATGATCTTGCGGAGGAACTTGTTTGGTATATATCTTGTTGAAGGCGTACGAAGCAGAGAGCCTGGACTTATGGTGGAAAGCTAGTTAACCCAGGCTAGGATCGCGAATCGTTGTGCTGCTTGAGAAGTTGAAAAGATACTGTATCCTTTTCTGAGGTCAACGTGATGAGGAAAGTAAGAGAGAATGGAAGTTTCCAAGACTGAGAACGACTTTGCTCAAAGGTAAATTCCTTGCACAGACGGCATAGCAGTTGCAGAGGCTGAGATGCTAGTTAGATGAAAAGATGCCTTTGAGTACGCATATAATGCTGACTGAAGGCTTTGGAATAACTGGGATGTAAGAATATTAGTATGTAGTGACTACTGGCCTAGTGTACAACTAATCAATTTAAGGTTAGAATAGCAGCGAAGCAGCAACGGAAGTGACGTGATATCAATAAGAAAAGTACAAGAGCCAGGGAAATTCATCGCTGTATGTGCATGAAACGGGTTATCAACTAGTGATTAGAAGCAGAGAATGCCGTGCTTGTGCAAAAGGAGTCCTTTGAGAACTCCAGATCCATGTCCAAGTCCAGATCCTGCAGTCGATTCTCGCCTATGTTGCCAGCCGAAGCCGCCTCGTATTGGCTCCCCTTAGACCCCAGACTGACTTGTGATTTGACAGGACTATTAGTACCCACTTCAATCAAAGGCTTTCTGGTACCTATTTTGGCGAGATTTGAATTGACCACCGAGCTGCCAGCTGCGGGGGTCTTGGGAGGGGGTGCTTGCAAAGGGTGGGTCGAGCACCCATTGCCTTTGGGCCGTTTTGGAGTAGGACCTTGTAAGTTGGATGCCAGAGATTCGAAAGATTCTGCGAGTTGTATATCGTCATCGTCGTCGTCATCGTCGTCGTATTTGGCTGATTGTTGCCGACTAGGAGTCGGGACAATATCAGCGTCTCTGCTCCGTTGCGATTTGGTTGAGCTTTTGTCATTTGGCTTTGCGGAGAAGCCCATAACATTCATAAGGCGGCCAATATGTTGCTGCGCCTCTGAAAACTCTCTAGCTTTGGTCGCTCTCTCATCGCGAAGAGATTGGATCTAGGAGATGTATATTAGAAAGGGAGCAGAAGGAGCAATAAAGCTTTCAAGAACGACTGCCTACCTTTTTCTCCAACTGATGAATGCGCTTTTCTTTGGACTGTATTTCCTTGGAAACTTCACTTCCAGCTGTCTGCATGGCTTTCTGCAGAAGACCGTTTTCTTCCTTTTGCTTGGTTATCTGTAGGTCTTTGTCAGCATAATTTGTCGCTTTCAAACCAATAAGATTTCCAAAAATGGCATACTTCAGAGGTAAGATTGGCAAGCTCTGCTTCCTTGTTGCGAGTAAGAGCTAGTATCTCATATTTTGCTTTTTCTTCTGCTTCTCGTAACGACGAGTAGAGTCGTTCAGTTTCTTGAGCTTGAACTTCCATCTGTAATTCTGGTGAGCAACTATCAAAAACTATGTGTGCTAAGGAGAGAGGACGACCTACCCTTGCTTGAACAGAGCCAAGCTCCGTCTGGAGACCATTATTCTCCGCCATAAGGCGTTTGAATTCATCTTCTTTTTGGCAATAGAGCGCCTTGCTTGCTTGTAATAGAGCCTGAACTTCAGTAATTTCGTGCCTCAATTCTGCGGTCGTCTCGGCGGAGGTGGCCCTCTCATGGGAGGATGCCTGAACTACCTGCTCAAGGTGTTTCTTCTGGGACTCCAGCTGACGGAGTGATTCTTGTAGCTCCTCTAGCTGATCATCCTTCTCGGTAGACGTTGCAATCAACTCTAGTTCTCTGCCTCGAGCTCTTTCTTGCTCCGCTCGGACTGCATCGTCTGAATGGAGCTGTTGGTCACGTAGTTCTTGTCGAGCCAACTCAAGCGCCTCCGACAGCTCCTCGGCACGACTAGTGGCAATCCCAGCATGCTCTTCAAGCCTGGCAAGATCCTGCTGAAGTGTGGAAATTGTTTGTGTTGAAAGGTCCAACTGCCGGGCCAAGTCCTCGTTTTGCTGTTTCAATTGCAGAGCCTCACACTTTTGTCTGTCCCGCTCTTCCTCAGCGGACCGCACAGGGCCTTCGATATCGTAACAACGACGTTCAAGATCAAAGCAAATGTCATCAACCTTCTTCATAATGGCATTGTGAGATGTCTCCGCATTTTGCACATGCAGTTCGGTGATCGCCGCGCGCCAATCTCGAGTCGGCTGGCGTTTCGAAGTGAACTCCTGCCTGTTACGTAGATACAGCGAACTGCGGTAAGCACTGTAGTCAGTTTGCGTGAAAGTACAATTGAAATGGCTAAGTGACTTTTCGGCCCGTTCCACGAAGGACTTCATGATAAGAATGTCAGTGGTATCACCACTAAGTGACAGAGCTGCAGTGAAGTAAACATTGAACAGGTTGAGCAAGATCCTGTTCTGCAAGGAGCTGTACGCACAGTGGCAGATCTGCGAACCGTGACATTGTAATTGAGCAGGCGCCGCTGGAAACTTTCCGAAAAGACCAGCGATGGTCTGTTTGGTAGAAGTTGACTTCAACAAAGATGTAATTATATGTTGGGACAGATTGGCCTGAAATCCTGAGATAAGGAGATCTGACACATGGAGATTGAACATAGAATCTCGTCCAGCACTGTCTTCTCTTAAGGCATCAACGGTGAACTGCATAAGCTCGTATACGACAGATTCATCATAGCCCTGCTTAGGAATGAGTCAAACTGTTTTGCACTAATAGAAAGAATACTAACCCCCAACGACTGTGTCATATGCGAAACAAGCTCTGGAGACATGGTTCCCAAGATTGCCCTACTGTCCTTGGAGACAAGGAGGCGGAGGCCAAGATCACCGATATGAGTAGGCAAAGACCCCAAATTTTGGAGAGAAAGCAGAAAGACGACGCCCTAAACAGGAGAAAGTGTGGACACGGTGGGTCAGCTAACGGATAGAGAAAAGGCTGGAAGAAATGTGCTTACCATAACCTGTATTTCCCTATCTAGATTCTCCCTAGAAACCTTCTCAGACAGCTTGGCAATCTTGGACGAGTTGCTCAAAATCCAGGATTGTTTCTGATCTGGCTCAACAGCCTTGGCAATGCCTATCGCAAGACGAATGCTTTCAGCAGCTTGGGCTGGTGTAAGATTGTTACAGTTCGAGGAGCAGGCCAGGATGACTCGCAAGACAACCAGATCCAATGTCTTCATGCCTCGCTTCGGGCCAAAGAAGTGCTGTATGTTGAGGAGCCAAGATGGGGTGCCTGTTCCAGGATGCTGGTCGAGCTGCTTTCGCTGGGTCATTGAGATCTGTGCAAAAGTTGCCAAGCCCAAGAGGTTACCCATATGGTCGTCGAGGTTGCGCAGCGTTTTAGTAAACTCCAGCTGCAGATTCGACATGACTTCTGTGGGTACGTCGTTGAGGAAGTTCGGCGATCCTTGAAGCCCGGTCATTAGGGTAAATAAGGGTGCTATTGTCTCAGCTCCGGGATTAGCCGCCATCGATGACACCAGCTTCGTGATGAAACCGGCGAGACGAGCTGGGGGTGCGAAGCCTTGCGGAAGTGGTGAAGAGAGCAATGCAATGCATGCTGGATCATACTGTGTTCCCTTTCAGTACATCTACGTAGGGAACATCACCACATAACGCACCTACCTCAGATTCTCCGGCAACGAGGGCTTGCTCGAGGAAAGCATCCAGGAGAATTGGCTGACGATCCAGCAACACATCTCTAAAACTTGTGATACGTGCTAATGCATTGTTACTACCAGTTAACATCCAGGTGGAGCGGCATCGGGTTACTTACCAAAAGCTGTGAGCAGTGGGAGCGCGACCCGCGATCGAGACAGACTCTCCACCAACATCTCGGCCAACAGGCCCACCTGGCAGGGCTTATGAAGAGCCCATAATTGGATTGTTGAAGGAGAGCTGGCCTGGATGAAGCTATACAGATCCTATGCACAGGTGTCAACTCTCGCTGCTTTCTATCCCCGGAATGTCACGTGTTACCTGGAGGGAGGGCACGTATGGGGCTGTCACGACGCGTTCCACCTCATGCATGAGGCGATTGAGTTCCTCGGTCATTATGGCAATCATACATCCAGGAAGGGCGAGATTTGACGCAATCGTTGTCTTCGTTCACGATTGTGGTGGCCGAGAATTGTGTTTGTCGTGGTTGCCCCCTCAACGGGCGGTGATATACTTCGACCAATTAGCATCGTCGCTCGAGTTTGTCCCATCGGAAATTCTACAATATCTCGTTCATCCAAGTCATGAAGAGGCTTTACAATTGAAAATAGATCCCTAACACCAAATATCATGAAATCACTCTGATTGCATTCTACGCTGTGATAGACTCCCCCACGCCCCCACGCGGAAATCACCCGCACGTCTCGGCCGAAGTCCGAAGCGGGGGAATCACCTCGCGCTGCTTTTTCCCGGGGCACACCATCCAAGCTCGTCATGTCGTGAACGCTTACGTTGCCGGGATCTGATTTTCCTTTCGTAAATAATTTCAAAGTTGATAGTCATGCAATAGCGCTTCTCGAGCCGCCTCCAAGTCCTCCTCCGATCTTTACATATAGCTCCCTCAGCATCATGCGAGTGCTGTTCTCAATCCCTCGTGGATTCCTCCCCACTCCCCGCTTGCCCCATTGCCGCCCCCGGATCTCGTCGTCTCGGAATTTTGTGGCCAGCAGGGCAATTCGGGTAAATTCCACGACCACTACGAATGGCAACCAGCGTCAGGATAGCTCCTCCAGCTCTAGCTCGACCAACTCCTCATCTTGGACCGCTACTCGCACCTTGCTCGTCTCCGCATTAGCTGCAGGTTTAGGCTATGGCTATGCCTCGTATGGACAGAAATCACCACGAGTGGCGAAGAAGCCACAGTATGGATCTACAAAGGATTTTGAGAAGGTACGGCAATCGCCTCCCCCAATCTCCCTAGGATCGTGAACTCACAATTCTAGGCCATTTCTGAACTAAGAGTGAAATTGGGCGAAGATGCCATTAGCACCGACGAGGATGATCTGCAGCAGCACGGTTACTCGGAATGGTCGAGCCTGAATGCCGACCGACTCCCCGTTGCGATCGCCTATCCTACCAACACCGAAGAAGTCGCCGAGATTGCCAAGGTCTGCCACAAGTACCGGATGCCCATGGTCCCCTACTCGGGTGGCTCGAGCTTGGAAGCCAATTTCTCCGCACCTTATGGCGGAATGACTATTGACTTTGCCTATATGAACAAAATCTTGGATATTCATCAGGATGATATGGACGTTGTTGTACAGCCTTCTATTCAGTGGATGGATCTGAATGAAAAGATCAAGCACACTGGTCTTTTCTTCCCCGTGGACCCCGGTCCATCCGCAATGATCGGTGGTATGGTCGGTACAAATTGCAGTGGAACGAATGCTGTACGGTATGGCACAATGAAAGACTCGGTTATCAACTTAACGGTCGTCTTGGCCAATGGCGATATCATTAAGACTCGCAGACGTCCTCGTAAGACCTCGGCTGGTTACAACCTCACAGGATTATTTGTGGGCTCGGAGGGAACTCTGGGAATGGTGACAGAAGCTACCTTGAAGCTAGTTCCCATTCCAGAGCTTACTCGGGTTGGAGTTGTTGCTTTCCCGACCGTCCGTGACTGTGCATCTACTGCTATGCAATTGATCAGGAAGGGTATCCAGGTTCAATGCATGGAGATCATGGACGAAGTTCAAATGGACGTTATCAATAAGGCAGGTGGGACCGGCAGAACTTGGGGCGTATCTCCCACGCTGTTTTTCAAGTTCAGTGGAACGACAGCAGGTGTTGCTGATAGCATTAACTTGACGAGACAACTTGCTAAGAATAATGTACGTCGCACGTGGGAAAAGGTTGAAACTGCCAAGATTACTGATTCAAATCGCAGAATGCCTTGGAATTCACATTTGCAAAGGATGATAAAGAAGCACATGACCTGTGGTCTGCGCGCAAACAGTCTCTGTGGAGTATGATGGCACTACGCAAGGAAGGTTCCGAAGTATGGTCAACGGACGTTGCAGTGCCGCTCTCCAGGTTGCCCGATATCATCGAGGTCTCGAAGAAGGAGCTGGACTCTCTGGGTCTATTTGCCAGTATCCTCGGGCATATCGGTGACGGCAACTTCCATGCGAGCATTATGTACGATCGTCAAGATCCAGCGGAGCGAGCCCGAGTTGAGAAAGTCGTCTATGATATGGTCGATCGTGCTCTTGAAATGGAGGGCTCTTGCACGGTATGACCAGGCATTCGGTGTCAACTTATAAGCGAGCATTACTAACAGTAATTTACAGGGCGAACACGGCGTCGGTCTGGGTAAGAAAGGATCTCTGCAGAAAGAGCTTGGCCCGGCTACAATTGACGTTATGCGGAGTCTTAAGCGCTCCCTTGACCCCCATTGGCTTTTGAATCCAGGAAAGATCTTCGACCTTGAAGAAGATCCATGAGCCAGCCAATTCCTTCCTTACTATAGGGACATATAGGTATGATGTGTACATAGCCCAAGGACATTTAACTATCCGTGATCAGGCGCTGTCAAATTTTGTTCGAATGCATCTCGGTGGTTGGCATATCTAAAGCCACGAGTTTTGCAAGTCATGCTCGGAATCTAATACTTGAAAGTATCTCTCAAATATTCCTGCACTCCATTGGCAGCCTGTTCCAGCGCTCGGAATATCCAAGCTCTGAGTAACATCTTCACCGTGCAAGACCTGCGAAACGACTTCCGGTTTACTGATCGATGTGCCCTGTACCGGAGTGTCTATATCCACGGTATCAAGGCGATTTGATTCACCATGATCAGAGTTAAAGCTGTCCACTCGTAGCGTCGCAAAGACACTAGGCTCTCTCTGCACCAGATCTCTGGCGTGTAAAGCCCGCGACCTCAGGTCCTCGATATTTCTCCAGCGGCGATCAAGACAGACATCGCTATGGGTCTTCCAATAGTCGTAGATTTCGCTAGCAGCGGCCCATGCCAAATGAACATCATCATCTACCGGAACCAGTGACAGATTGATGAACAGATAAGACAGGGCATCCCATTCAAGGTATGTCTGGAAAAGCCAAGTCCACTGCTTTCCCTTTTCATACTGGCGCAGCAAGCGCGCACGTTCCAAAGTCTCGACACAAGTCCTTCGGAAACTATGTTGCATGATAAGATGTTGATTTTGTCTCGTTCGGGGCTTTTTCACTGTAAGTTTGAGTTTGACGAGTATGAGGCGAATTGACGCTGCTGTAATGAAATCCAAAGGAATACTCTTGTCTAAATGAGACAAGTATTTTCGCTCTATCTGCTCCCTGAACTTGTTGATGGCCAAGCATTTCTCGGGAGCTGACAAAATTTCGTATGAATTCTCTTGACAAAACTTATCGGAGAAGACTAATCGGCGTGCGAAATTGCTCCCTTCAAATCTGACAAGAGTGAAGGACATCTCTGTTCTCCCAGGATTATCTTCAGGCATCTCGCTCATATCAGGGTGAAGGCTCGCGTCGTTGATATTGGAAGGATATCGCGTGGTGAAAGATGTCGAGAGGATATGTGGATCCGAGCCGTTGTCTTCGGCCGTTCGTACGTCCAAGATACAGATCTGCCACCACAAACGACGTCTGATTTCAACTTCAAAGGGAGAGATATTGAGCTCCAGGCCATCCCGATGTAAGTTATTCTGGAAAGCGATTTTGATCGCAACCTCCGTTAAGCGCCTAGTATCTGGACCTTGCTTGTCGCATCTCCCACAAACCTATTACAGGAATAGTTAGGTTCTCTTCATGTGTTGTACGGGAAAGCCGACTTACAATGTAGAGCACAAAAGCTTGGAGAACGGTCAGGTCAGATGTGTTAAGCAAGTCAGACCGTTCGAGGGACCTCTCCAGCTCGACTCGAAATCTTTCGCAGTAAGTAGGATACTTGGTACAATAGGCGCCGGAGAACTTACCTTTTCAAAGTTTCTCTTCTGGACTCCTGAAACTCCTCCCGACATTCTTCCCCTGACATTGTGATTACGGAGGTGTAGTATATGGAGAGTAGTAGAGTATGATGGGGGAAATCTAAATCGAAGCGGGATTTGTCTCGTGTAATGTTCAAAATATTCCGTTGCACAGTCGGCGCATGGGTTATTTTCAAAACTGGATCAACCCTCTCGAGATATCTTTGCCACATGAAAAACACAGCAGTGGGAGGTGGGTGAAGAGAGGCTAGAGATGCCGTGGAAGATAGTCTGAATGGTGGTTCTGTTCCATCATGGCTCGGTGGGAACCCCAATCCTGGATCAATTTGGAGATCATGAGCCGTGCTTGAGTTGTGTAAGTCGAAACCCGCCAATCCCTAACACCCAATCAGAATCAAAGAGCGAAGGAAGTCAGAATGGTCAAACATGCATGATCAGTGGTTCGCTCCGCTGGTAAGGATTGCCCGCCCACAAGTCGACACTCGAGACCCTGGTTGTCGTTCCCGCCAGAGCTTGAGGCTGCGTGACTCCGTCGCAACAATTCCCAGATTTGGGAAATACTATGGTCAAAGGATTGCAATGAGCTCTCGATTCCATCAATGCGAGCACTTAGAACTTCATTGCTTAAATTCGAGTTTCCACTTTTGTTTGGCGTCTTTGGCGCTGGGTAGCGGCATTTGATTTTGACCTTCACACAATACGAGCAAGGGATCGACTTGTCACACTTGATTTTGCGCCGACGACATTCAAGACATGATTTTGGTGCAGCGGCGTTTGTGGAATCATGACTCATTTTCTGTCACAAGCGAATCCTTGTCGCAAATGAAGTAAGCAATTTGATTGATAATGGAGCGATAGCGCGATGGATGAAATGTTGATTATTGGAAGCAGCTGTGCGCCTGGTTGGTAGGAGCGGACAAACGGAGAGGGATGACCGGATTTACAATGGCAAAGTTGCACCAGCGTTGTAAAGTGAGTGGGGCTCAATCAGGACTGAGCCAATATTATTGGACTATTGGGACAGGAAGCTGCACATCAGGCAAGAATGGCTTGCACTGATTGGTTATGGCGGGAAAGCGGCTTCGAAAGTCCGCATTGCTAATCACGTCCATCAGCACGTCCTCCCCCTGGATTTATTACATGTTCGTGGTAATTTCATGAAATTTCGTATCTGTTTTTTTCCTTCTGGAGGGTCAGCGCTTGCTGCTTTTGCGAGCCTCGTAAATTTAGGGCAAGCTTCGCGAAGTAGAGAAAGCTAATAGTCATCAGACACCCCAATAAAACGAAAGAGTCTAGAACTTGGTGAAAAGCGGGTACGGCTACCCGTATGTGTGATGAATCAATGTAGTTAGATAGTCCACATAGGAATTGGTCAACGAACTCGTGTATCCAAAGTAAGATTGACCTTCATTTTGTAAAGTTGCTTCAGTTGACTTGCAATTCTATTGATTTCCTCGAAGCTCATCCTCCGTAGAGAAAGGTCTTCATTAAATTCGTGTTCTCAATCCATCATGCCAACAGGTAGATACCGTAATGAGAATTTCATTATCATTGGTAAACTTCTGTCTAGGGAATTTCGTTCCATTACCTAAGATGATAGCCAAAAGCCGTCAGTCACATCATTAGTGGCCTCGATATTAAGACAGATAAAAGTGGTTGCTACCTCCATCAAGCTATTGCTATAGACTGCTAGAAGATGAATATTCATCCCTTCACAATTTGCTGCAACAGGTCACCCAACTGGTTTGGCATACTCAAGAACGGCGAATGGGAGCTTGGCAGCCGGTAAGTGTTCTCTGGTCCACCCATCTTAGAAGCAAACAACTCCTGGAATGGAGGAGGAAGAGCACGGTCTTGCTCGCACACGATATAAGAACATGGGATCTCTGTCCACGGCTCATATGTAGACTCTCCGGAAAATACCGCACGCGAAGTGTGGAGCGCCAGGGCGTTCCATTTTTCCTGGCTTTCAAGGGAAATATCCTGCCAACCAACGTCTCCAGCTCCGTCCGCGAGAACATAATCACCCTATCTCAAAATTAGCATCGAAATCGAAATGATATGACGTTACTTGCACCAATTCAATATGGTATGCTGATGGGCTCTCTTTAGCGCCTGATGGGCAGACGCTTGGTAAACTTACTTCAACCTTCATCCAGGGTAGATAGTTGCCTCCAAGCATGCCTAGCAGACTTTGTCCCTTATCCAAAGCAAAGGCAGCTAGGTACACGATCTTCACAATACCACCAGGCTTACCTGCCTGCATGCGAGCGGTTTTGCTCAATCCCTCTACGGCAGAAGAAGCGACGACACCACCATACGAGTGAGCCACAACGACCAAGTCTCGTCCCTCGTTGGCCAAAGCATTCAAGACACCACGCAGAGAAGAGATATCGTCAGCCAGCGTCTTGGTGGGTGGTTCAGCCCCAATTGAAGGATGCGCGGGGCATTCAGAAGGGAAGCCGAGGGTCTCCAGCCGGGAACGAGTAGCATCGAACACGGCTGGAACTACCCAGGCGCCGAGAGAGAAGACGAATGTCGGAGAGCTCATCTCAATAGACGAATTTGGTTCAAAATGGTAATGGATGTGCCTATATGAGCTCGGTTGTCTCCAGGATTTGTGACGATGAAGAAGTTCAGGGGAACGGAAGACTCGGCATCTAAGCCTTCCCTTCCTCGTGGAGCGATTCGAATAACCACCATAGTATTAACCACCAGTGTACCATTCAAAACAACTACCTCTCAATTTGGTATGAACTAGGACCCATAGCTTCCTCCCCGGGAGAAGCTAAACGGCCCGGAGTGGGTCATGGGGGCGGAATTATGCTCGGTAAGACACATCAGTCAATGAACACCGATCTAGTGAGCCACACCACTGCGCTAGAATTTAGTCTGTTCTTTGTACCTATCAGAACCTTGTTATGAAGCGTATGGTAGACTGTCGGGATTCGTCGTAGTTACCCTTGGAATCCTGCGCCATTGGGTCAACCGACCATGGAGGTTACACAATCTCGCTTGCGGTTCTTCAGCGGCGTGAACAACTGCTTTATCTCCCTGAAGAACCTCTAGCGATTGATTTCCCACCCCTGTCATATTTCAAATATGCTGTGAGAATGACATCTACCAGATCTGAGGAGTCTACTCAATCCAAGCAGCGTATCACGACGATCGTGCTGGCTATCTTGGCCATTATATTCTTGTTGCTTAGGCTCGTCGCCCGGCGCATGAAACGCATTGGCCTTGGAGTGGATGACTGGACCCTCATCGTGGGCTTGGTGGGTTTGGTGTTGATTCGGGAACCATCATGTCGAATGAAATTCTAACAACACCACCAGGTATTTGTTTTGGTTATTGCGGGTGTCAATCTTGCTTGTGAGACTCCAGATAGACACAATCGCTTGCATTGGATCGTCTGACAATATTTTAAGGCATTCAATATGGCATGGGGCGGCATACTGACACGATCCCTCTGGATGAATTGCCCACCTTTTTCAAGGTACGAGATTCCGTACACCTTCAACCGTATGAGCTGCAGAACGGCCGAAAATCTGACTAGACATGTCAATGAAGCTAAGCTACGCATTCGAGCCTCTCTATATTACGACCGTGGGCATCATCAAGCTATCTGTGCTACTAATGTACCATCGCATCTTTCCCGTCCGTCTTATCAAAATCGGTGGCTACATACTCGGCGGAATCACAATAGCTTGGGTTATCTCGGTTGATCTTGTGGCCATATTTCAGTGCACTCCTGTGGCCAAAGCATATGAACCGACGCTTCCCGGTCATTGCATACAATTGAAAGCGGCGCTGATTGGGAACGGAGTGCCCAATTTTGTGACCGATATTTTGATTCTAGCTTTACCAGCTAGACTCATCTGGCGCTTACAGGCAACCTTGTGGCAACGAGTATCAATCATTGGTGTTTTCTTGACAGGCAGCTTGTGCGTTATTCCCAATAAACTCCCAGCAGAGATAACCGCTGCATTGAATCCGGCTAAACTTTTTTCGAATACAGTGTCGTCTTTGCGAGCATCTATCGCTTCAGCCTTATTTTCATATTCAGCGAAAAAGACGTTGCATGGACTCTTGCCGATGCACAGACATGGTGTGTAGTCGAGACCGCAGCGGGAATTATTTCCGCATGTCTGCCTACGACTGCCCCCCTCGTTAAGACTTGTACCAAAGGATTCATCTCGACCGCACGCTCACTTTCCAAATCTAATTTCACACAGTCGGGAACGGGGACTTTCTCGAAAGACGATGGCGCCACGGCTTCAAACAGTGCAGGAAAGCAGATGACTGGACTCCGAGCCGAAGGTGCACATCGCAGCAACGGAAGTTATGGGCTATCAGAGCTAGGACCAGCAAGTCGGGAGAGTCCTCATTTGAAGGGGAAAGGGTGGACAATTATCAGCGCCGATGCAGAAAGTGACTAACCCATTATTCGTCGCGTTCTGCGCCGCAGCCTGGATCCAACCCAAAAAATAACTATACGAATATAAATGTGCACAAATCATTATTAAATTTTCCACGACTTTCTCGGACTTTCCATCTACTCAACATGGTTGACGACAAGTAGTTTTATTGTCGGCGAAGTCTGCCGGAATAGACATGTTGTATAGGCATTGCAGTAGGCACCAACTTGGCCCACCGAGAAGCCGATCATAACCAGACACAAAAAGGACAGCCTTGATCCTCATGGCGGGATGATTTGAGATTAAGGGTTATGTGATCTAAAACCTCTCTTTTGTCGCTGGAAATTCATTGGTAGAGCCAACTGGCTTATCAATCTAGCCTGTCCTTCTCGACCAAAGCCACTGAATGCCTTGCCTTGAACTCATGTTTGAGACCATGATATCGAAGGCCCTCGGGGCCGATTTATCTCATAGATGAAACAAATCGCCGATACAATAAGTCGTGTCGCAAATTCCTTATAAGGTCGATCAATTCTTACTGAGTATCTCAATCTAGCTCACCTCTTTTTCAAAGACCACTTGAAGAAATTCGATGACATCCTTTAACATGTAGTACAAATTTTTACTCTCTTTATTCTCTCTTGAAGGAACAATGGCTGGCCCGGACTCTGCAGCCGCTTTAGCGAAAAGATCTTGCACATCGTCTGATAGACAGTTTTGTTGTTCCGTGAAGGGCACCGCTGACAAGGAAATCCTCCCCAACCTCTCACGTAGTTGGAAATATCGGGGGAAGGGGACGATCGCAATATTGTAGCTCTGTTAGAGAACTGGAGCAGTCGAAAGATTCGAATTCCGGGGGCCTGGAGCCGTTTGTCAGCAGCGCCATCATTGAATAACTAACTAGCTGTAGTCTGTCACCAGCGCTAAAATGACAGAATATATGACAAGAACGCGATAACGCCGAGGTTCTAGTCCGTGGGAATTAAAGCAGCGATAGTAAGGGTGCCTGTTTGGAAAGTTACATTACGGTTTCAATACGAACGACTGTAAAATATCATTCCTTGTTGGTAATCCAAGGACTACTCGAGAATGAACGGTATAAATAAAGCCTTCCTGCTCTCATGGGGATTTGTTCAAACAGAAGACTAACACGACAAACAATTATAGAAGGCTCACAGATTCGATCATCTCAGATCACAATGGCACCCTTGAAGAATATCGCACTTGTTGGTGTATGTGACTCAGGTCCATTTGGCTTCTGATAAGTATTTTGCTAACCATTGACATATTTCTAGGCAAGCGGCGACATTGGCAAAATCATCCTTGGTGGCCTGGTTACCTCATCCAGTTTTGACATCACGGCAATTTCGCGCAAGGAAAGCAAAGCCGTCTTTCCCTCGGGCGTTGTTGTCCACAAGAGCGACTTCTCAGATGCGGATCTGGAGGCTGCCTTCAAGGGCAAAGATGCCGTGATTTCAGCACTAGGTGCAACTGGATTCGGCGAGCAAAAGAAACTTGTCGATGCAGCCATTCGTGCTGGGGTCAAGAGATTCATCCCATCTGAGTTCTCGGCGAATAGCCAGAATGATACGGTGATTCAGCTTCTGCCACTGTTTGGCCAGAAGAAAGAACTCATCGAATATCTGAAGAGCAAGGAAGTTGACGGATTGACCTGGACCGGCATTGCAACTTCTGGCTTGCTTGATTGGGTAAGTATGTTTTGAATACTGTATTGATCAGTGACTAATGCAAAGGGTACACTTCAACAGGGCCTGGAGAGAGGTTTTTGCAATTCCAGCTTGCCAGTCGCACGGCTACCATCTGGGATGGTGGCCACAAAAAATTCACCCTCATCAATGAGAAGCCCCTTGGTCAATCGGTTGTATCTGTTCTACAGAATCCCGAGCAAACTAAGAACAAGTATCTTCATGTCGCGTCTGTCGAGACCACTCAGCTAGATATCCTTGCGGCCCTCGAAAAGGCGACTGGAACCAAGTGGACGATCGAGGAAACCACAACGGAGGCCCAGCTCAGTGAGGCGGCAAAGAGACTCACTGCCGACGATTTCGAAGGCGCCTTCATTTTAGTTCGAGCGACAGTGTTCGGCAACAGCCCGGGGCTCAACGCGAACTATGTCAAGGAGACCGAACTGGCAAATGACGTTCTGGGACTGAAGCTGGAGAGTGTGGAGGAGACCGTCAATCGCGTTGTGAACAATTAGACCATCTCATGTACCGCAGACATAATATAGTTTCTAAATCCATATCGTCGGGTCCGATCCCCAGGAGAGACAGCCAACTTTCTCAATTATGGCAAAGTTAAAGTTCGGAGACAATCAGTCCAACTCCGGCGTCGACGGGTCTCCGAAATATGGGAATCAGCCAATCATATGGGAGCAAATTTTTTGCCTGGTCCAGGGGCGCTGAGTCAGCGCGGGGCAACGATAATTGGTTGCGATATCGCAGGTCAATCGGAGGTTGCCACGAGCAATTCATCTTCATCAACGCTTCAAAAAGGTGAGTTCGAAGTGTTTTTCTCTTTTTTGTATGCGATATTCCTACGTATGTGACTGCTACGAGATCAATGATGCAATTGAGCTTGCAGTGCGCTGTTATCCACTCGGCGGGGCAGTGGTCGGGGCCTTGACTCATAAGTTCTTCGTGGGAGGTGCTTCTCGATTCAATGCATCGAGAGACGCATTATACAGTATATCGCTGAGTTTAAGGGGTTTTTTTACAGATTAACTTAATTGACAGAAGCTGACTGCGACTCAAATAGTCACATCCTTGGCTTCCAGACACCCTGTACAAGATGGCAGCCTCATATCCCAAGAAGAAGTGCGGTAAGGCTTGAGCATCACCCCAGCTAATACTTCAGTATGTGCTGACGGACAGCTTTAGGTGTTCTGGGTGCCACCGGATCCGTGGGCCAGCGCTTCATCCTTCTTCTGGCCGATCACCCATTCCTAGAGCTTCAGGCCGTGGGTGCCTCCGAGCGCTCCGCCGACAAGAAGTACAAGGATGCCGTTCGGTGGAAGCAGTCTGCTCCCATGTCGGAGAAGCTTAGCAACCTCGTCCTTCGTGAGTGCAAGGCAGAACTATTCACAGACTGTGACCTGGTCTTCTCTGGACTGAACAGTGATATCGCTGGCGAGACTGGTAAGGGCCTTCAACCTGGCGTTTCTCCGTCACGATCAGAAGATGGAATGTTAACGTTCAAAACAGAGATGGCTTTCATCAAGGCAGAGATCCCGGTCTTCTCTAACGCGAAGAACTACCGCAAGGACCCCATCGTGCCTTTGGTAGTTCCCACTGTCAACCCTTCCCACATGGACCTGATTCCCCACCAGCGCAAGCACTTCGGTCTGAAGAAGGGCTTCTTGGTCTGTAACTCCAACTGTGCTGTCATCGGTGTTGTGATCCCCTTCGCCGCGCTACAAGCGAAGTTCGGTCCCGTTGAGGAGGTTGAGGTGTTCACTGAGCAGGCCATCTCGGGTGCTGGCTACCCTGGAGTTCCCAGCTTGGACATCGTCGACAACGTGATTCCGTTCATCAGCGGTGAGGAGGATAAGATGGAGAATGAGGCCCAGAAGATTCTCGGATCTTTGAATGCCGATGCCACTGCCTTCAATGAGCAGGCTGGTCTGCGCATCGGTGCTACTTGCACCCGTGTTGGTGTCACTGATGGCCACATGGCTTTCGTTTCGCTCCGCTTCAAGAACCGCCCGGCTCCCAAGGCTGAGGAGGTGGTTCAAGCCATGCGTGAGTATCAGTCCGAGGCCCAGAAGCTTGGCGCGCCCTCTGCGCCGGAGTTCGCCATCAAGGTGTTCGACGAGCCCGATCGCCCTCAACCTCGCCTTGACCGCGATATTTCCAAGGGGTACACTGTGAGCGTGGGTCGTGTTCGTGATGGTGCTGAGGGAGGCTACTTTGACATTCGTTTCGCTGCTCTGTCTCACAACACCGTCATCGGCGCCGCTGGGTCGTCTATCCTCAACGCTGAGGTCGCCGTCATTAAGGGCTACATCTAAGTGTAAACACGAAAGGAAAAGTGGACTTTTGAGCGATGTTAAATATTTTCATACCACTAAAAAAAATTAGAAATAGCACAACTATGATGAAAGATGTACGTCTTCTGAGGACCATGTATACCGCATGCACTTCTCGTCAACTACGCGACGAGTCAATAATTAGTTTCTGAACGGGGAGGCGATAAGCATCGATAACAGACGATAGCACGATAAGATAAGCGGGTCGCTGACTATCCCGTTTCGGACTAGTGCGGCTTAGGGCACAAACCCACAATCACCGAGCTAAGCGAATCGCCCTTGTTAATCTACGCTATCCGTTTCCTCACTCATCGCGACTCTTCGACAACTCACCTCCGGTCGACAAATCCATCATAATGGCTCGCGGACCGTAAGTTCCTTGCACACGAATCCTCTCGATCACTCGCATGCGCCGACACTGGCTTTCTTTTCTCGCATTGGGTCTCCAAATCGTCGCCTCTGCTGAGAGATCGAGAAAAAAATTTCTGATGTCGAAACAATACTGACTTCAATGCCCTCTACAGCAAGAAGCACCAGAAGCGCCTTAGCGCGCCCTCGCACTGGCTGCTGGACAAAATGTCCGGCACCTACGCGCCCAAGGCCTCCCCCGGTCCCCACAAGCTCCGTGACTGCCTGCCCCTGATTGTCTTCATCCGCAACCGGTACGATTCGAACACTCCTACGATGCACAGTCGATTTGTGTGAATTTTCGGAACAATGGACTAATCCTCTCTCGAACAGTCTGAAGTACGCCCTCAACGGTCGCGAGGTCAAGGCCATCATGATGCAGCGCCTGGTCAAGGTCGACGGCAAGGTCCGCACCGACACCACCTTCCCCGCTGGTTTCATGGACGTCATCTCTCTCGAGAAGACCGGCGAGCACTTCCGTCTCATCTACGACACCAAGGGCCGCTTCACCGTCCACCGCATCCAGGCCGAGGAGGCTGAGTTCAAGCTCTGCAAGGTCAAGCGTGTCCAGCTTGGCAAGGGCGGGATCCCATTCTTGGTTACGCACGATGCGCGAACGTGAGTGCAAACTCTCCATGAAGTTCCGTGTCATTCAGTCGTTGGACCAAGCTTTGGTTGATCAACGGAGGATGAATCGAACTTCTGTAAGATTGCAAACTGCGCAGGACAAAGGTTTGCTAATTCGAGCTTCTCTACAGCATCCGCTACCCCGACCCCGCCATCAAGGTCAACGACACCGTCAAGGTTGACATTGCCACTGGAAAGATCAGTGACTTCGTCCGCTTCGACACCGGTGTCGTCGCCATGGCCATCGGTGGTCGTAACATGGGTCGTGTCGGTGTCATCACCCACCGTGAGCGCCACGACGGAGGTTTCAACATCCTGCACATCAAGGATGCTATTGACAACACCTTCGCCACCCGTGAGTCCAACGTCTTCGTCATTGGCCAGGAGAAGCCCTGGATTTCTCTGCCCAAGGGCAAGGGTGTCAAGGTATGTTCTACTATATTGCTCTTGCTATTTCCACTTTAACATGTCACTAACCGTTCTCATAGCTCTCCATCTCTGAGGAGCGTGACCGCCGCCGTGCCCAGGCTCTCGCCAACTAAATGTCTAATGACATTGGCGAATAGCATGCTAGCTATTGTCAGTTTCTAACCTTCGGGCTGATGCTGAGGGTAACTAAGCAACCCCCCAAAAAATTAACCACAAAACAGCTGCTGGGAAACGGCGTCCTGTCTTGCTTTATGGGCTTGGATGGTGCTTCTTTCCGTAGATTCGAACCATAGCAAACAAATAAGGGACGGGGTCACCGTCCTGTTTCCAAGTGATATGATACCTATTTAACGTTGTGTTTTCTTGAATGATTCAATGACCGTACTTGATTCCCTGGGCCTGCTACCTCTGCCTCGATTGTCGAACCCTCCTCTACCTTGTGTTACTGCTTCCATGCCTCTTGGCTATCATTCTACCAAAGGATGCACTAAATTTGCTCAATTCCTCTCGCGTGTACGATTGTACCAGTCTCATAGGGCCCAGGGATTCATAGATCACTTTAACGGCTCTGAAGCAGCCGTTCATTTAAGTTATACGGCCTTCCATATGACATTGCTCCTCTTGTTAAGGCACGTATGAGGTTCCTCCCTCCACTCGGCCCTTGCGCCATGTCATGAGGCTGGTCCACAGCAGGTGGTCTTTATTCAGCATATCTTAGAGTCTACCGTTTTGAGAAGCGACCGCTTTCTCACATTCGACAAGGCCCACGAACGACCGCGGTCAAGATCAATCGTAGCACCCACTGAGCTGTCAAGGCACTCGAACTGGAAGGACGTATGGTTGCCCGTTGGATTCTCGATTATATATCTTGGCCCTCAACACAACCGGCGTCAACTGCACGTGATGACCCGAGTCTCAACGCCGCCAGGGAGTGTTGTTTACCCTTAACGCATTTCTCAAAAGTGTGTGATCGAGATGATAAAAACTACAGATTACACCATTGCCGAAGACTGATTTAATCAATATAGTGGCATTGGATCCAATCGAGTCTAGCTTTTGATAGCCCGTCACACAACATCTATACACCTACGTAGGTCTTCCAATCAGGTTTGGTACATATTTTACTATCATAGCCCCTGGATAGGTATGACAGGCGCAATTACCAAAGGGCGCCTCCCAATACCGCTTTGCTGTCTTTCACGGCATTAAGTAGAATCTCTAGGGCAAAATCTATGATATTTCAAATCAGTACACCCAGTATGCTGACCACTATCTCAATAGATAACGTTGGGCTACTCAGGCACCGAGGAGATGCATACAGAGAGGTCCAACCGCCATATTGCTGACCATGACTGGCTGTCATTAAGACAACATGCCTTGGGTAACCATCGCGCGTCTGAAGAGGGGAAAACGAATCGTGATAGACAGAGAAATGGGCCCATAGAACAGAATGAGCGGTGATGCCTGCGAGTAGAGGAAGTATACGAAGAGAAAGTGATGGGGACTTATAGAGAGTTTGAATAATCTTTCTGAGATCTCGTATTGGTATTTGCCTGACTGTCCTCGATCTACAACATAATCGATTCACCGACATTTGCTCAAGCCTGGGGTCCTTGTCTTAGGTCGCAGAAATGGTCTGCAAAAGAGGGTTACGGTGTCGATTAACGTCTATAACCATCAACCCCAATTGTAGGTGCTTACCATTGATATCTTAAAGCGTGAAACTCGCTGAATATGGTGAAGTAGCACGCCTAAATGGAATTCCAAATAATGAGGTCCCAAGGCACTGGTTCCTGGAGATAGAGTTTTCAGAAGCCCCTTGCATTGAAGTTACCGTTGAAGCGGTTCTTGGGGCAATCTGGGGCGCATGTTTATCTATAAATCATGGGGGCAGGATAGGGGCTACTCTAAGTGTTCTTTCTTCCTGCGTTATGAGAAATGTGCAAAACGCAAGAATTTGTTATGTACATGAATGCATATATCTAGTACACTGGTGACGCTCGGGCCGCACCAAGCTACTGTACCAATTATGTGTTTATCTTAGCTACTGACATTTCATGGCTGCCATCCTGTTGCAGTTGTTGCCAGAGCTATTAAAAGCAAATCTGTGGTAAAGGGGAACACTTCAGCCAAGCCTGTCAAACCCCAGGTCTTGGTAATTCAACCGTCCGAGAACGCTGACCTAGGACGCGCCTCATGGTCTAGAACATGGGCATCTCTCTATAAGCAACTCTATTTGATTTATATTTGATGAGGTATTTCTGTCATGATGAGCGATTAAGGAGACCATCTAAAAGGCCCCTTAGTTGTGGGGAACCGGAAAGTAGCTTGCTTGTTTTGAGGTTCATGGGGCAGATGTGTAACGGGATACGTGGGGATAGAGATCCCTCAGTGCGCCACTCGCAGCATACTAAAAAAAGAAAAAGAAAATAGTCCATTTGGAAGCTTTGATTGTAAAGGGAGGGAGAGGTTATTGCAAAGCTAATATTTACCCACTGGAAATTGAAATGGTCGTGCAAGGGAAGCAGTTCAGCTGCAGTCCTCTTAGGTACTTGGACACTCACCTTTGATAATCGTACAATGTCCTACAAAATCGGCATATGGCCATTTGGTTGGCTTTCCCCAAGAAATATTAGGGTTAGTCAGACCCACACTACGGAATACATCAGCGCAAGCCTCCGCTGCGGAGATGGCAAGTTGCCAACAGCGTCATCCGTCCCGTAACTATGTAGGGCCACAAAAACAAGCCAGCTGGGAGTAGGCAAGGACTAATGATACAAAAGGAAATGAAACCCGTCGCGCGCAAGATAAATTGTTCCCACCAGTCCCCTGGGCGGAGTCGTTGGTGCTAAAACGTCAAGGAAGACCCCCTTTACGTGGTCTTCCGTGCGAACTTCCACGCGAGGGCGGCCATCCTCGATCGTCCGATCGACGTATGGGAGGAGACGAAGGACAGCACTCTTGCCAAGACATCATCAGAGGCCTGACCAGTAACTAGTAACCAGTAATTTTCTTCAACTGATACTCCTGAAAATTCAACGATTCCTGCCAGCCACGCAGGTTCCTGGGGGACTATGTCGCCCTTGTGGAGTTGTGGATGCAATCTAGGGTCGGCCCTCTCCATAGCGAGACCCAGCAGTGTGCACCAATGCCAAATCACGAGGCGATTATCGATTATTCTACGCCATTGTTTTGTTTTTCTCCGATGGCGTATGATCGCGCTCGATCATTGGCTGTGCGCTAGAGAATCTGATGTATCAGTTCTTGGCCGGACCGACGCGCTCACTCGTCTCCACCAGGAAAATGTATCCAGATTCCGTGCCACCGTACCAGAATATGCACGACAACATCGCACTGGTGAAAATTCCACGGGATTTGGCCCATGTAACGTAGTCACTTGGCGTTGTAGCGGGGTTTCATGAGATTGATGGTCCTCTAGATAGGGACTAGACCCATATTTTTTTTGGCTATTTTGATGGTGTCAGGTTCTCTCGTTATGCATTCTGAGTGGCGGAATGCTTCTGCTGATTCCCTGGAACTGAAAATTCGTCCTAGTCTGCATTTCCTTCCTCTCTTCCATTAGATCCTTGGTTCAGCGGCGTAGGCGCAGCGCTTTAAATGCACCAGGGGGAACCGATCGACCACTGATAGAAGCAAATCTATAGGCCGAGATCAACGGAAAATATCTCAGGGTTCTTTTGTAAACCATCAGAGGTCTGAGGGAGGCCGCTTGCACCGTGGAAGGAGATCGTTGTTCTCATAGAAGCCACTTCGTCCTGGGGTCGGGCTGGCTAGCAGGATCAGAACATTCTCGCCTCGTAAGTATGACGAGGAGGAGCAGTAACTTTCCGAGTCACCTCCCCAGCTGCTTTGCTCGCTGCATATTCACATTTATCAATCCAATCGACTGAGAAATCGACCAGAAACGTTGATATAGAAATTGTATATCAAGCAACTGCCATGTTCTCTCAAGATCCACCCCAAGCTTTGGGACATGTGGATCAACCAAGATCCGGTTCCCAATGCCTTGGATCTGGGTTCCTGTAACCGCTCCCAGAGAATTCCTGAGATTCTAACGACATTCACGTGGCGGCAGAGTTTGAATGACGTTTTCTGCGCATCATGCGCCTGTGCAGAATGTATAGATGAGATTTCTCAATCACCAAGACATCTCCTTGTGGTACAGTATGTAAGGTGGCTCCATCAGTGGCGGGGCGAATCATCATGCAAGAATAGGACTTGGGATGGCATAATCTAAGCCAGCTTGTTCGATTCACGTCCTATTGACTGCGGGTCTTATCTATGATTAATTTATGAATTCCACTTCTGGCTTTATTGTCTCCATTTTTGATTTTGGATTAATCTTTGACCTCGAGTCAGATTGCTTAAGCAACTGCGGATTTCGGCGGTGTAGGAGTGCCGACTTGATGAGACGCAAACAATCTAGCGTGTAACTAGACAATCCACAGGCTTCTACAGAGTTTGGCGGAGCTGAAGCAAATTAGAAAAGCAGAAGCAGCAATAGAAATCTTCGAATTTGCGAATTTGCCACAATATTCCTTTGTACTTGTATATATTTGTCTAGTATCGGAAAAATACCCCATAGTACATACCCATGTAAGAATCTCTTAGTGATCAGCGTCCAGGGCCGAAGTCTAAGGGCCCGACTGCTCATATTTTTCAAAGCAAGTTGCATTTTCGGGGTCAACCTTACCCTCCCTCTTCCAGCAGTGGATCAGATCCTTGACCAGTACCCGCCTATCTCGTCCACACTTTCTGGCCCTCCAGACCGCAACAATCATCGCAGACGATCAAGCTTGGGTTGACGCAAAACTGCTGGGGTGCCGTTGGGCTGATGCGGATTGACTGGGGGAAACGACCAATGGCTATCTCCCTTGAAATCATCAGAAAAAAACAGCGATAGAAATATGAATTTCATACCCTTGCAACCACCTCACTCTTGACGACAGGTTCTCTACGTTGCTCCCGATTTGGATTCCATCATGATCGCCAGTTCCCGCCCCTCATAACGGCTTAGTGTTATGGGTCTAGTGCCCGCTCGGCTTCTATGAAATACTGTAATAATAATAATACTTCCAATCGACCGTCCCCAACCCGATTAGGATGGTGTGATTTAAATGGAAAACCTGTAATAAAGATTGTCGGTGGTCACAAAAAGGATTGGTTTACTTGAGACAAGCAGCGAGGAGAACGGAAATAACGCACATCTGTGGGGCATGCCTGAGCTACACAGACTGTACAACAGCATTTTAGTTACTTGATCCCAAGGAGGGGGGAAATAATTCGATTACTTTCATTTCATGAATAGCCTTCATAGGAAATAAATGCCCCGAGCTTCTCAAAATACTTCTAGAAAGTCAAACAATGGAATGGATCTGACCGCTTCCCAACCGATTTCTCCTTCGACCAAGGAATCTTCTGCAGCAGAGATGACGTTGAGTATAAACAATTCAAGAAACCAGTCATCATATTGTCAACTTGACTGCTTTACAGGCCCAACGGGTGCGCGGCATAGAAAAGCGGGAATGTGATTCGGACCAAGCGAGTCAGAACCTATGAACGCAACCATCGCGCCCAAGTAAATAAGTAGTTCGCCGGCAGGGGACCATTCTTTGCGGTGGAGACACGCAAGACCTCCCCGGCCGATCTGGAGCCACTCGAGGGAAGCATACCTGTTTTGAGACGGTCAATCATTTGCCCCTTTTCCCCTAGACTTTCCTGCCCATCGGGGTTTCCAGCAGGCTGGAACTAGGATTCGCGCCCCTCTCCGTTTTGAATGTGCCCAGTCCTCTTTTTTATGTCAGTGTTCCCATTATCTTCACCCTCGTGATATGTCTAACGTGGCAGCGCGGTGACCAGCAGGGATAAAAAGGGAATTGTCCTGCCCTTTGTTAAAATCCAATTACCTCGCCCCTTCCGAATGTTCCGATCTTAGGCCTTGTTAGATCTCTATTCGTCTCCAGAGACTCCGGAGTATTGCTACGGTCCCCCCATTTTCTACTTGACTCTCTTCCCCCCACCCATCTACATTGCTTGACTCTTTTTCTGAGCCCGCTCTATAGTCCCTTTTACTCTAGAGACTCTTAGCATCCTATTTTCCACCAGTGGATCTCGCCGGTCTTCAATTTCGTTTCTCAACTACACGCGCCGCGTCACATGCAGCACTACCTCTTGTCTTGACCCATGCGTTGGTCTTTAAGATCGAGCCTCGGAGGTGTGGTGAACGTATGAATGCAATCAATTTGTACTGAGGAATCCTGGCTTGACCAGCTTTCCAAGTTGCGTTCATCAAATTCCACAAACACTTCACCGTCGCAGCTGAGAACGCTCGAAATGTCACACGCTACACCACCTTGGACTGTGGCACCGGATTCCACCCAGCCCTCCTATCCGTCTCTGTTCCAGATCGGTGCAGAATTCCCACGATTTGTGGTCACCTATCGCTGGTGGGAGGATGAGGCTACTACTGTCCTGTGGGCGTTTAACATCCCCGAGATCCGTCAAGTGATCCGCTATGGACTGTTTCGAGATGAGAACTTTCCACGGAATTCACTTTTGAGTCGGAACGCAGATACAATCGACGCGTTTCTCGTGGCGCTGTCGGACCCACGTGAGCATCAACTTTTGGGCAGTCTTTCTCATGTGCAAAGAGTTGAAGAGATACTGCGCCGTTCGAGGATTGAGCCATTCCAGCCAGTGCCTTGGATGTGGTTCCCACCGCAGCCAGGCCATGGTCTAAAGTCTAGAGAAATTGCCGATGCAATCGAGGCAGAAAGCCATCACCAATTTCGCAAAATCTCATTCGAAGAGATTGTTCGTGCCTCTCTTGGGTATAATGCGGTCTCGGTCGAATGGTTTCTGCTACAACATACCGTGCTATACATTTATCTTTTTAACCATCTTCAAATTTATCCAGAGGAAATCTCTATCTATATAGAAGCGGAGAAGGTGAGTCTATATCCACCGTTAAATAGTCGAGATTCTCACTCTAATCCACTATCAAAGCATCTAAGGACTCAAAGTCCCTTCGCCCATCGAGCATTAATGCACTGCATTCGTGCCATACAGCCTGATGCAGCCCACGATAGGCCCCAGACATTTAGTTCAGGCTTTGAATTCATAGCAGGCCCCGTGCAAATGCTATTCAGAGACCAACCACCAAGCCTGACGACCATCCTCAAGATCTTTAGTGTCCTAGCGTTTCGATTTCGACGTCAATATATTCATACCGGCAAAATGGAGTGGCATGTGCCGTTAGATACCTCCATTCTATTCTTGGAGGACTGTTTGAATTCGACATCACCCAAGGACTTGGCTCGTACGATGACAGGAACCGATGAACTCGACTTCTCCGAATTATCCCAACAGAGCATTCTTGCAAACGACACTTTCGTGCAAGGGCTTTTGACCAATTGGCATGGTCTTAGTATTGCGGTGTGGGAATGCTGCGCGGCATTACCAGATATTGTCCCATTCCTACGAGAGTGCGCACAAGTGAGTATGTCCCCGTGCGATAGCTATAGCTCGAGGATTTTAACGGGAATCCATACAGGCTCTCCTTGATGCTAAAAATTATCATTCGCTGACGGCTCTCGCCCTGGGTCTACATCGATACAACACTGCTACGGCACGATCCCGGGGCTTGAATAGCACCGTTGGTGGAATGGTCGTGTTGGATCCTCTTCTCCCACCTGAAGTGGTCATCATAACCAATCCTGCTGAAAATTACGCGTCCTATCGGCAACAATACTGTGAACATCCCGGAATTCCATTTCTCATACCCCATCTTCGTGGTTACCAGCAACATGGGGAATCCGCCATCCAACCCTTGCTCCAATATCTGCAACATCAAATGTCGGCCAAGACATGAATGATTAGATCGACGCTAATTCATACCTTTCCTTGGCGTTCGGTGAGAGAAATGAAAACGACCTGCTTCTGATCTGTGTGTGGTTTAAGGTGGCTGCAGATGGTCATGCTCACTGGACCATGACATGGGGCTGTTTCAAAGTTTTTGTTTGTCTCTCAACCACGCTGTCCTGTTATGGCGCAGGGAGTATTACGGATGAAACTTGTTTGGGTGACTTGGCTTTGCTATTTTAGAATGCTTCAGATTTGAGGGAGCTGTGTACTTCTACGCTATACCCATGCTGACATCTGCAGCGCTGGGCGTCTGGCGTTGATGTATCTAGTCTATAAGACCGGTCTTCGTTTTTTCCCCTATCCTATTTCTTCCGTCATTTTGTTGATTTGCTCCACAGTAGAGGGGAGGGGGAGGGGGTATAACAAGCCTTGTTAAGACCAGGCAGTACGTAGTCTAGCCTGGCTGATTGGAGCAAATCGGGGCTGCATCTGCCATCAGGCAGCTCAGGCAACTATGAACTACTGAGACCCAGAATCAAAATGAAAAATGGGATAACGACCACTATGCCATGCTCGAGAAACCTACAAATCATGTCAAGTCCATCGCGCCCGAAGCGCCAAAATAAGCAGCTCCTTGAAGAAACGTCATTTCATTTACATACAATCTGTGAGCGAATAATAACACCCAATTATTGCAGGACTGGATGCCCAAAACTCGACCTTACAGTTCCAGCGCAGGTACTCAACAGAACAGCATCAATAATTTTATTCTCGTTTCCCTGCCACCTTAGGCGCTTTTGCAGTCCCGAATATGCCCAAGAAATATGCCAAACGATTGATAAAGAGAAATGCGGTCGCGCCGATGTTTCCCCAAGTCAGAGCATTCCAGGCGCCAACATCCGCAAATGCAGCCCAGCCCATCCCCATGTACGTGGCGTAGACATGACCGACGTCGGCAATGGCCAGGGCAATCATGTAATTACGCACTACCTTGGGCTCCGTGCTCGTATGCAACACGGCTACCCCGACGAGGAAAAGGAGGGAATATAGGTTGCCGAGTTGGTAGGCCAACGAGAGGCTGCTGGGATGGGCGGAGGGAGGGTCTGCCTGGGGGGTTTGGCCTGCGATGAAGCCGTTCAGGTCATACAGCGGGGCGAGGCTTCCGAGAACCCTGCAATGGAACGAGAATGAGCGACTGCCTTCATTGGATGAACGGAAGAGGACGGGTAGGAGTATAATTACAAAGAAAGAGGCTCAAGGACGCCGAATAGAAGGTGTGGCCAGGGTGGGAGGATGGTAGGCATCTTGTGTGTGAGATCTGTCAATGGTCAGTCCGGTTTAGCTGCGGTAGACCCCAAGGTCTGCTGGAGTAGTAGGTTGATTGAAGCTTTAGGGAAGCGTGGAACCTCCGCATGAAACCTCCGCGGAGAGGAGCGGGGAGGGCACTCACTAGGTGCCTCGCAACAACAAAGATGAGGGAAACGGGATGGAGTTGGATGAGTGACCTAGAATCCGCACACAGTTCCCTCACAACGGAGCAATAAGAGAATGAAAACAATTCAAAAGAATAAGAAGTCGGTGGATCTCGAGAGCCATCGCTGGCTGACGTATGCTCTGCGCCGATGGCCTTCCTCACCGCCCGTACAAAACCGTTATCTGGATGCGTTATCGAGATTCAACTTCGTCTCAGTTTCACGAAATGCAGTGGCCGCCTGGCACCCACATTATGGATGATCAAATCAAGAATCTATCCTTCGGGATACTCGCAGCATCCTAGCGGGGCTCTACCGTTGAATAAGCTGTGAAGATGGATCCTGCTGGGACTCTTCGCCCCCTCGACGAATCTTTACTCCGCGAGCTCCCTCAACTGCCCTTGCGTATCGCTCCTTTGCGAGAGCCTGTCTCTTCACGAACTCTCAGCATCCCCTCTCCCTTAGAACCAAATGCCAGTGGTACGAGGGACTCAAGTACTATCTCCAAGACTGCCCCAAGTGGTGGAACCCTGCCAAACACCAAAGCAGGTCTTCCAACAGTGAAGGAGTTCCTTAACGCAGCTCGAACTAAAAAGACCGAGCCCGCCACGACAGATCCCCAGTCGAACGTGGAACCGCCCCCGAAACCCATCCTCCCGGCATTTGTAAACCTTCGTGCTCTAGAACGCTTCCCTTTCTCGTCTTCTTTCGACGACGATGCCCTCCACGGACCGCGCAAGCGTCGGCGCTTAGACCTGCAGGCCGAGTCTTTCAGCGAACACTTGCAGTTGCCCATTCCTCAAGCCCAGAAAGAACAACGCCCGCCGCCATTTGGCCCTTTTGCTATTCTAAATGGACTGAATGAGCCGCCGCCAAATGCTGCTCTCCTGCCCCCAATTGAGGCGGGCTCCTCGATCTCCCAGCTTCTTACCAAGCCTTCTCAGCGGACTGGTGCGGCTATTGATGCTGGAAACTCGATAGCCAAGAATGGTACTATTGGCACCACTGTTGAAGGCCAGGCTGTAGAAAGAAGAGAGGCTAGAATTGAAGAGCTCCTTGATGCAACCCTTGATGATAAAACCAATGACGACGACCATGATCATGACAACGTGCAACAAGTCAATCAATATGATAATCCAGATGCTTCCAGACCAGAGCAGGAAACCGACCCCCTCCAGGAGAATGAGGCGCCCATGTCTCCCAAAACCCGTGGTCGATCTCGCAAAAACCTCAGGAAATGGACCGATGAAGAAACGACAGCTTTGCTCCGAGGTGTGGTCAAGTGTGGCATTGGCAACTGGACAGCAATTCTCGCCCAACCAGAACTCAAGTTTAACAAGAGGACGGCCTCGAATTTGAAAGACAGGTATATTCCACATGGTTGTTGCTGTTTCGATCCGCTGATTGACTTGGTCATAGATTCCGAGTATGTTGCCCCTGGGCATATCGGTAAGTTGGCAGCAATAGGTAGCCATACATCGCGCGGACTAACGAAGAACAAGAGCATCTGATCCCAACGAAGCGACAAAACAGTTGCGAGACCAACTTGCGAATGCCCTCCTCAAAGCCGAAGCAGACGGCTCTGTCATTAGGCCTGGAAAGATCCAGCTGCCGGACCAGAACCTTGTCACTACCGGCCCTGAACCGAGCTCAAGTCACGGAAGTACACCCGGTAGCTCGCACACTTCCTCCACATCTAGCATGTCCGCTGGCACGCCAGACACAGAGCAAGGAGGTCTCATAACCCCCCAGCAGGCATCTCCGTCAGAGAAGACTCCGCCAATAGCTTCTGATCAGTCCAAATCGACCATAGCATCCCTGGGCCTCCCAGAAGCACACGTCGCAACGAAAATCAAAAGACGCTCCCGCCGCCCATTCACAGCGGCCGAGGACGAGGCACTCCTCAAGGGCTATGCCGTCCACGGCTTTCAGTGGACTTTGATCCAACAAGACAAGCGATTGAATCTCAGTCATCGCAGAGCAACCGACCTGCGTGATCGCTTCCGTACAAAATTTCCGCATGCATATCGCCATGGAGGCTCGGTCAGTGGCAAGACTATCACCCCGCAAACTCAACCCCCAGTTCCAGCGGCGAGTACACCCGGGCCGTCATCGCAGACTCAGAATCTGAGTAACGAGTCAACCCCGACAAATGCCCAGCTTACAACCCATCGTCCACCGAAGTCACATAGCCGGCAACCATCCAGCATTTCAAATACCAATGTTGGACCATTGGATTCCGCATTCTTGCCCCCGCCACAGGGTTACTTGGAGCAATCTTCCAATATGGTGCCTGGCGCTCTTTCGTTCCCGTCTGATGACACTGCTGCAGGAGGACCCCCGTCACCTTGGGAAGATAATACGCTTGCCCCCATGGTTTGGGATGATCTCGGCTGACAAATCATTCCACAAAAGTAGTGTCCTTTCGGTTCCAATGTGTATTTCACGATTGATGATTCTGTTTCGCATGTCGGGTGTTGTTTGGTTCTTCTTCTTTATTCGCTTGATATCCCGCAGTATACGATGGCTCTCCTACGTTTGAAAAAGTTTATATCAAGACATAGATTCAATGTTTCAATCTGTTTCCATCTTTTGGCCGCAGCGTAGCTTTTTAGTTGCTGCTAGACAATGATTTCACATCATATCCATGTGCGGATGCGAGTCCTAATAATGATGCGGATAGTGGAGTAATGGAAAAAGCAATATGCAAAAGAGAAACCCTGCAGAAGACATAGACTACACTGGGCAAGGATAATAGATGCATAGGAAGGGATCAACTGTACCCGCCTGAAAGCCCGAGCTTATCCATCCTGGACAGAATAAAGGCTGAAGCCCATGTTATCTTTGATTGCTTCCAGTGACACCAGTATGATGAAACAGTAGACAAGTGCAGAACAAGATCGGATATCAAACTATGGAACAAAAGGCAAGGATGAGTGACCAAATAGCGTACACCTGTCAGTTCCTTTTGCGGAGACAACATTCCTGTTATTGGAACAGGAGAAACGACCTTACAAGAGAAAAACAAAACCTGAAAATGGCAGAAACGGCACCTCGCTCAAGTTGCTGAGTAGATGGAAAAGACAACATAATCACAAAGGAAAGTATGGAACCTAATGTACTGCACATCTACCATGCATTGCGGTCCCAGTTCGGATCTACAAAACACAAATATTAGCAATTTCCCACACCAGACTCGGAGCTTAAACATGCAGGGGGAAAAAGCATATGCACGCACCCTGTATGAAACTCGCCAACACCTTACTTCCCGTCTGCAGCAGCGGATGACCCGCAACAATCTGCAGGAACCGCTGAAGTCCCTCACGTCTGTGCTCAATGACATCGTCACTGAATCGGTTGGTAAAAACCTTGCCCGGCAGAGGGGGGATAGTCACGCGTGTGCTCTCACGCTCCAGAATATCACGGAAGTACTCGAAATCGGAGTAGCGGCGGCGCACGACGGAGTGCTTCAGCTTGAAGGCGGGTATGTTGGTTCGGCAGACGATCTCGTAGGAGGTGTACATGTTGCGGGATGTGCCATGGGTTTGAGGGTTGCGCACCTAAAGGAATCAGTTAGAGCAGGGGTATTGGAGTGGTGCTGTGTGTGTGGGTCTTGGAGATATAGCTTGAGCTTGGGTCGCGGGGTATACGGGAGGGGGTAAGCATGAAACAGCCCTGAAAGCTTGTTCTTTTGTGATATCAGATATCTAGTAGAGGTATGCGACGTACCTCAACCTCGAGGAAATTCTCTGGGGGGCCATAGATCTCCTCGAAGGTCTGCTGGCGTGACTCTGGGACGGACTGCATTGTGGGCGGGGTACTTCGGGGATGCTGCGAAGTTGGGTTGGACGGCTATCGAAGATGCGAGCACAGGTCGTGTTTGTCAGGCAGATAGCGAAACCAGACGTCCTCAATAGCAATTTGGCTAAACGTGAGCCAGTCTCCGCACCGCAGCGTCAAAGGAGCGGAGGAGCGGGGATCGAGCTCGGATCTTCCAGCGATGATGACGAGGCGGGAAAATGGTTGATCCGCTTGACGTGGTTATCAACGGGCCCAGCCGACATAATGATATTCGCACCTTTCACTCTACACAGAACTCTCGGGATCTCTTTGATTGAAGCTTTTTTTCTTTCTTATTCAGTATTAATATTAACTAGCTTTGTGTTCATACTGACCACCTACTAGGGTCTATCTAATTGCTGCTTGATTCAGTCCAGACAAATCGTTACGAAAGACATGATCACATCACTATCATCAAACACCTTCACATGACCCGACAAGAGGATGCCGATGGGCTTTCCTTGCTGGCATCCATCTGCGGAATTTGTGGTACTTCTTCTGAATAAGGTGGAGGTGGTGTAGCAGGGCGTCGCGTCGGCAGCAAGTCCTCCTCCCTGCTTTTGCGGATCGCCCGCCACAGCAAAAGGGCCAAGAGGATTACTGCGCCCACACATCCAAGAGGGATCCCGATGGTCATCCCCGTGGAGGTTTCGTAGCGAGTGTTGTTATCGTACACAGTTTGTGCAATTGAGGAGGTCAATGAGCTTCCAGAGCTTGAAGTTGATGACGTGCCGGTCTCATATGGATAAGAGCAATTTGTGGAATTGGCGGTAGGCCCCGGGACAGACGCAGCAGCGCACCACTTGTCGAGGGTATTCCTCACATCTATGGTGCAGGATCAGACGTTAGTCAAGGTATGGCGCACCGCGAAAGGGATGACTAACTCACAGCTGATATCCTCATCGCACATGTAAGCAATACAACAGCCGGTGTCAGAGAGGAAGTCCGGGGACTTGCACCAGCATGCGACGCTATCATCAGCGCATTCGTCGGTTATAACAGCAGTGCTGGTGCAGAATATCTAGATAAAACCATTTCGTTAGCCAGATGTTCACTCGACTATCGATGTCGATATACAATGTGGGTGAATCATTGAACTTACGGCGCAGTCATCTGAGAATGCAGAAGTGAGGTTGTATAGAGTATCTGCGTTAGCGACGGACACTAGTGTCGCTGCAAGCCATGCCAGAGCGAGCTTCATGGTGCTTGGCTGTGCGATGGGTAAGCGAAAGGGAAGATAGGCGGTGTGATGGAGATGTTGAAGTATTGATGAAGCTGGAATTATTGCTTGGGAAATAGCGAGGTTATGTTGTGGTTCTGCTCTCACAAGGCCGACTTCGTGGTGGCCATGAAAAGCCTCAAGCGCCCGAAGGCTTGCACGGCCCCGTCGGGCGACGCGCATTGAGAGGGCTGGATATCTGTGAAACGGGCACTACGCTGCCGAGACACGAGCAAAGAGCCGTGGACAACAGTTAAATGCCTCAGTTTCGCCGAGAAGATCTAAAAAATAATGCCGAGTAAACCGACTCCGATAGTGCGCGGCTTGTTCGTGGACTCTTTCATCATCCACTGCCCAACTAGACCCTGCGGATTGTTTGTTTGGAGCATAGGGCCCAATTATTTTTGGCACGCGGCGGCGGCAACCAAAGCATATGCTGGTTTCTCCAAAGCTTAATTGGACTGGTCAATACATCAGTCACCACGGCCCCTCCACACCACGCTGGCGAAAACGCCTCGAGGGGGCCAACATCTCCAATACGGCGGCTGTGTAGGCACGTGTGCATGAGTCAAAGATCTATGTTATTAGATCAAAAGATTTCTATGTTCATGGCAAGGAATAGATTCAAATTGATTATGAGGCTTTAAAGCATCCGATACGATGTGATGAACTAAAAAGAAACCCTAATTCGCGCCCCCAGCCTCTTCACAGAAAGTGCTTCCTGTTCGAGAGCATCGGAGGCTTGGAAAGCTTGATCCGATGGAATATGAGCGCAAAACCTTGAAATTATCTATCTTATCTCGAATATAGGTGAGTTGGATGAATCACTGGTCATGTAGCATAATCCCGACTTGCCCCCGAAGCTATTCAACATAGTATGAGGCCCTCCATTGATGAGCTTTCTGGGCCCTTCTGTCAGGTAGTGATCACCTTCATCAGAGCAGTTCTTGTATTTATCCCCGCAAATGCTTCTGTTCCCCGCGTTCCATTCATAGCTCGCGTGCGGGGATTATTGTACTCGGCAAATCGACCACTCTAACTGCAATCCGATGTGGCCCCGGATGGAAGTACAAAAGAAAATTAGCAGAGAACGCAGACACGCCAGTCTATCGCCAATGATACCGTCGGACATTGAAGTTTATCATGTCGGCTCTCGTTAGCTTTGGCGAGAGAATCTCCCCATACGCCTTTTTAGCGGTCGTTGCTGTATTGGTGCGTTGCTCTGAGATGGGATGGAGCCTCAGGGCCCCAGCAATTCCGTTAACATCATCTAGGTCATACTCCGTACCCTTTATAGAGCTTTGTTTAGTCCTTTATCCCGGATTCCCGGCCCATTCGCTGCAAAATTCTCTTCGTTATGGATCGTACATCAATGCCGAAATGCGAGGCGCTCCATGACACTTCTCCAGCAGCATGAAAAATATGGCTCGTTCGTCCGCATCGCCCCCAACCACGTCTCGATTTCTGATCGTTCGGCTTTGGAAACAATATATGGTCATCAGTCGGGTTTTATCAAGGGTCCCTTTTACGAAGATATGTCCCGTTTCTCTGTCGGACTTTGATGATCACGTCTGATTGGGCTGAGCCAGTTTACCCTTTCATCAGGTGGAGCCCGTCTTGTTCAATACTCGAGATACACGAGTTCACCAAAGGAAGAAAAAATACCTCAGTCCAGCATTCTCGGCGAAGAACTTGAGTGACTATGAGCCGCACATGTCTGCACAAATTGAGAAATTTATGACTTGCATGCATCGCCATACTCAAAATGATGGCGAATTTCAGCTCGACTTCAATGAGTACTGTAAGATTGCATACGTTTCTAAAGAGATTGGATGTATCAACTAAGTGTCCCAGCCAACTATCTTGCCTTTGATGTCATAGGTCTGTCCAACTTTCATTGACTATCCTCACTTTTCATCTAAATGACATTGCATACAGGCGATTATGCGTTTGGAAAGTCGTTCGGATTCCTCGACAAAGAAGAAGACCACCTCAATTTGATCACCACTATTGATGGACGAGGGGAGGTGCTCAATGCTCTAGGCCATCTCCCCAGTTCCCTAAGACCACTGATGAAGTATTTTTATCTAGACCCGTTCTGGCCGAAAGGTCTAAAGGCCACATCTGACCTGGCATCGATTGGCACAAACGCCTACTACCAACGCAAGGATCAGCAAGACAGCCGGAAAGACCTCTTGAGCTTTCTGTTTAAGGCCAAGGACCCCGATACCGGATCTCCCTTATCTGAAATGGAAATCATCGCCGAATCAATCTCATTCATTGTCGGCGGCAGTGATACCACGAGTTCGACTATGACCAATGTGGTCGATATCGTCTCGCGCTCGCCAGAAATTCAAGAGCCTCTCACCATGGAATTAGACAATGCGTTTCCTGGACGCATGTCTGCTGGTTGGGTCGCGGATTTTCAAACCGTCAATCAATTGCCTGTTTTGAATGCCGTCGTACGAGAAACAATGCGTTTTAAGCCGACTAGCTCCACGGGCTTAGAGCGTGTCACACCTGCAGGAGGCACGTTAATTGCAGGAAAATTCATTCCAGGAGGGGTGAGTATCTATTTTAACTCAAATGGTTCGCCAACTCCAGCCTCCATGCTCACGATTGGATAGACTTTGGTCAGCGTTCCAACGTTGAGTATCCATCATGACGAGACTGCCTTTACAGTACGTATGCCAAAGGATACCATCATAACAGATCTAATTGATCTACTCAGAATCCGGAAAATTTCGATATATCGCGTTGGTTGGATGGGAGTCCATCTGACCATCTCAATTCGTTCTTCCCTTTTTCTCTTGGACCACGGGCATGCATTGGGCGAAAGTAAGTTGTCCGGGTTGAAAGCTTAATGTTAGTTGTACTGACCTTCCCAAGTTTTGCCTGGATGGAAATGCTGAAAACATTGGGCACTATTTTCAAACTGTTTAGCATTGAAAGGGCAACCACGCTGGACACTGAAGTGCGCGAAGGATTCTTTATGAAGAATAGCGAGTGTAGAGTCAAGATCAAGAAGAGAGTACCGAACATGGGGAGTTGATGAGAAGAATTGAATGGATATCAGTAATGCTTGACCGTATCCGCTCCCTCTATTGACAAGCATGTCAAAGGTTATTCTTGTATTATTTGGCGCCACGCATCTTAATTAAAGAATTCGAGGCCCCACCTCGTTGCGGAGTTAAAAGGAGATAAGTAAGCCGATAGTCAGCGGGGCATGATCTCACAATCTCACTGGATCGGCGGAAGCAGCGGTGACTTTGGTATCACGCTATCGATAAGCCCCGACTCCTCATCTCACCTACAAACAACTCCCGCGCCTCATCATGGCCTCCCCAGGATTACCTTCCCAAGAGACAAGGGAACCCGCAGAGGACCAGTCTGTCTGGCATCCAGCGCAGGAGTGGCCCGACGAGGCCGATACTACGACTGAGCCTGATTACCAACCTAGCCTCTCAAGGTCCGAAGACGACGAATGGGAGGACGAGATGGATGACGACGACGAGGACATGGCTCTTGGTGGCTCTGAGGGTCATCAAAGTGATGGCAGTGAAACACCTACCCAAGACACGAATCCGCATCTCGACCTCGGCAGCATCCAAATCGAATTCGCAGACGATGGCGACGAGGATATCGATGTGGACGGAGATGATACCATCGTGATTGGTGAAAGCAATCATCCCAGACGTAAGTCCATGCAGATCTCTCCTTAGCTCTCGTTTCTGAAACCTCTTGTTCAATGAGTGCTCACCACTTGTTTACAGTCGCCACATCTCGGCTCTTCCAGTTACTAGCAACCACTGGTCTTCGAGAGATTCTCCGTGCCAATGGTTGGCCACCGGGCCCAGAGCCAGACGAAGACGAACTCGATGACTATGACGATGAGATCCTTTTCAACATGAGAACTAGAAGGGGAGGAAGATGCCGCCGACCGAACTTTGTGTGGCCCAAGGTCCCTAGCGAAGCGGGCACCAAGTTGATGGCTTCTGGTCACTTTGGAACCAACCCGTATTACGTCGATCGAATCAAGAAGCGCAAGCAGGCCTTTGCAACTAATCTCATGTGGCGGGAGCTCGGAGTCGACTCTCACGGAGTGCGGATGAGAGCTGATCAATCCATTTTCCAGGTAAGGACGGATAGCCGCACATGCCAACCCCGAAGACCCAACGTTATATGCAGTGTGGATACTAATTTTGGCATATTCTATGATGCAGAGCATGATTCCAGGATCTCAAGCAGACAAGATCATCCACTACGATTCCAGAAGTTATTCCGGTCAATTCTCCGATGACGGGAACTTCTTCTTCTGCTGCGAACAGGACTTCAAGGTTCGGATGTATGATACATCGAACCCGTACGAGTGGAAGTACTACAAGACGGTTGAGTATCCGTATGGTCAGTGGACTATTACAGATGCTTCGCTTAGCCCAGACAACCGATTCCTTGTCTACAGTTCGATCCGGAGCGCGGCTTACCTAGCGCCGACTGACCCGGAAGATGACTCGGACCCGAATGAGCTGGACTTCTCTCTTCTGCCGGGTCAGGCGCACCGACACAGTTGGGATTCATCTCGGTCACGGTTTGGCGTAAGTTTGGGCATCAATGCCTGTCCGTTCTAAAATTGACTGCAAGCTAACTCTGTGCTGACAGATCTGGTCACTTCGATTTTCTGGAGATGGGCGAGAGGTTGTCGCTGGTACATCAGAGGACTCCGTCATAGTCCTTGATCTCGAGACACGAACACCGGTTCTTAGTCTACGAGATCGTCACCAGCACCATGTGAATGCAGTCTGTTTCGGAGATACATCATCACCGCACATTCTGTACTCTGGATCTGATGACACCACTCTGCGTGTCTGGGACCGACGTTCAATGGCTGACGGACGTGAAGCGGGTGTGTTCATGGGCCATACCGAGGGATTGACATACATTGACAGCAAGGGTGATGGTCGCTATGTCCTGTCCAACAGCAAGGATCAAACGATGAAGCTTTGGGATTTGCGGAAGATGATGTCAGCTTCCAAAGCTGACGAAATTGATACCAGCGCCTACTCTACCGAGTTTGACTATCGTTTCGAAGATTATCCCGAAACTCATCGCGAGCCCCATCCCTGTGACCACTCTATTGTCACATTCCGTGGCCACAGCGTTCTTAAGACTCTCATCCGTTGCCATTTCTCCCCACCAGGCAGCACAAACTCACGCTATGTCTACACTGGTAGCGAGGATGGTCAGGTCTATGTTTACAATATGGATGCCACGTTGGCTGGTACAATTGATGTCAAATCGGCGACGATGAATTCCCGCCCCCGTGGGCCAGATACCCTGTCCAACGTGTGGGAGATGGGTGGAGACATGATGTGGAGGACCTGCGTTCGCGATGCAAGCTGGCATCCCAATGTTCCAATGGTAGCAGGTAAGCCAGACTGATAAGTCCTTCCAGTACACTGTACTTTTACTTGATCGCGTGAGCTAACACTCTCATCTTCTCAAGCAACCTCCTGGAATGGCTGGGGTCTGTCTAGTGGCACCTGCACTGTTCATTCATGGAACGATGGCGCCGATAATGATGAGGGTGATCCGCCAATTGGTCGAAGCTATGATCACAAATTGAGACCGCTGCCCGAATTCAACCACTACCACGACAATCCTCCACCCAGCCGCACGCATAGACGGACACGACGCCCACTTCGCAGCCAGCCTGTCCCTCGGATGGACGGAAATGACGAGGACGAGAGCGGATGGTGATCTGGGCCAGGGTTGGCTCCACCCGGGTCTGACTTGATATGCGAGAAAAGTGATTCTCTGGGATTGGTCTTCTGAGCGGGCATTTGATTCATAAAGGGCTCCCGCATGGGTTGTACTTAGTGACGACTTGACGAAGCTACAAATACGACCACGATTTGATTTAGTGAATTACCAGTAGATCATGGCATCACATATCTGACATGTGAAAAGATGAAGTTGGGTATGGAGGGTCGTTGATTGTTCAGAAATAGAAAAAAGTCCCCTATTGGTGGTACAATGTAAATGGTATGTGGTATCTCAAGGGTGGCGATGATGCACTCCCATCGCATCCCAAATTAAAAAAAAAGGTCGCCAATGATTGTAAACTCCGGACGACAGGGCAAAATAAACATAATCGAGCGTCTGGATGTGCTCCTCGACAGAGGGGTTTAATTCGCCACCTTTCCGTCCAACGCGCACGCGAGCATGAACATCTGCGCGATCCATCCAATCCGCTCGACAAATGCCCATCTCAGATGCACCGTGCGTTCCTCTTCCATCGCTCCGTTTCTCCTGAATTAAGTCGGTTCTCGGTTCGCCGAATTGTAAGGGTGCCTGTCATTTATGCGCCACCGACCAGGACCTGGTTGACGGGAATGTGGACTGGAAAAGAGAATTGAATGTCAGCGATATATCCAATACATTTGATGTCTCATCGTCGTAGCTATGTCTGCAGCGAGCACTCACTCAACTTGACGAAGTATCCAATGGCACCCTGGATGTCCATGTTAGCCAGAGTTCAACACAATGGTTCGTACCCCTCGAGGAGGACCCAGAACGATGGCAACAACATACCATAACCAAAAATCCCATGCCAACAGCTTGGCTGATCTTGATGAACTCGCGCTTGTCGGCTGAAAACAGTGTCAGCAATCTCTCCAGTCAGTCACGGGGGGATCGACAGTACGCTTGGTGCAGCGGCGAATGAAGAGGCTTCCCTCCCGGACAAAGTCCTTGGGGATATCAGCAAGCTCTTGGAAAGTGTCGGACATTGTGGATGGGTCTGGCGAAAGGCGAGTGAATTGGGAGAAGGAGAGTCTGGGGGAATTGGAACGGGGGAATTACCACTTAGCGGAAGCTGTTGGCGTGGCCTTTCTGGGGAGGCGGATCGGAACCGGAATAACTATATATCCGAGTGGAGCTTAGCAGCTCGTCGCGCCCTCGCTCTAACGCCCTCTCATCAATTATCTCGCATCTCGCGCTGCTCCAGTCAACCCGACGACATCGGGTCTTGTCTTATATTATAAACTGGGAGGGATTGACTGATTTCCTTTCTTTGGGGTTTTCAAGGCATAGTCCGGGGTCTCGTCGCCGCTATTTGCCGCTGCCTGTCTGTGGCCGGCGCGCGCTACTCTTTCTACCTGTATACGGAATCGTGATCTCAAGAGGGAATACACCTGTACGTGCCTCAGCCGCTGGTACTGCTCTTATTACTGCGAGGGGAAGAATTGTCCGCTTCGGATTGTACGTATCATTGAGTCTTTCTCCTGGTTGCTGTCACTTGAAAGTGCTATGCATTTATTATCCGGTTCTATTCCAGGTCAACTGGCCGCTTATGAGCATCAGCCCTGTTTTTCACATTACTCCTTCAATTCTCTTGTGGCTGAATGCTGGGAAAATCATTCTCCATGCTAATTGATCCTGTATCTACAGACATGTGCTCTTCTTGAATCCAAAAGCACTCAAACAGAGAGAGATTCAAAAAGACCTGTGTGTAATCCAACATCACATTAACCAAAGCGAACCATTGCCTCTCAAACCTGCGGTCCGTCGGCAAGAAGCAAGCATTCCAATTGTACAATGGCAACCGAAGACGATAATTTCGATATTGATATCTACGGGGATGGTGGAGGCTTCAATGCAACCGATCAGGGGGATTCGAAACAGGAAGGTGATGACATCGACCTAGATATTCCTGAGCCTGTAGCACAGGCAACGACAAACGACACGTCAACGCTCCAAACTTCTTCCTCTTCAAAATCTCAGACCGAACCTACCCATCTCACACATCCCCCTCTTCATCTACCCATCCTACCCACTCTACACACTCTACGAACGGTGACCAAAAAATGTCGCAAGATCAGCCCCCTACTCAAGATGCACCTCACGGTGTCAAGCGCAAGGAATACGAGGATCATCCCTCCGACCCTAATGCAACCACCGCGCTGGTCGTCTCAGACCTTTTCTGGTGGACCACCGACGACGACATCCGCGGCTGGGTGAACAAGGCCCAAGCTGAACTCGACCTCAAGGATGTGACTTTCAACGAGCACAAGGTGAATGGCAAGAGCAAAGGGTAAGTCTTATTATCTCTTAACAAGATGCGTCCTCTCAAAGTCAACAGCTAATCATGGGCGTTATCTTCACCTGACAGTCAAGCCTTTGTAGAGTTCACCACTACTCAGGCCGCAACGGCCACTAAGCACTACCTTGAGAGCACCACTGGCCGTAAGCAGACTGTCCAGTATGTCAGTGCGCACTTGAACCCGTTCAAGACCCACCCCAAGGACGGCCAGCAGCGCCGGGATGGCTCCCGCGGCTCGTCCTCCGGCTTCAGCTCCCCCGCCAGTCAGAACATGAACTTTGGCGGCGCCGGCGCCGGCACCGGCGGCAATATGAACATGGGCGGTTACCGTGGCGGCCGCGGTGGCTACAACAACAGCAACCGCGGAATGAACAACATGGGCGGTTACAACAACCGCAACAACTTCAACATGGGCGGCTTCCAGAATGGCGCTGGAGCCGCCGGCGGCAACATGATGGGCGGCTTCCAGGCCGGTCCTATGAACGGCATGCCGAACTACGGCTTCAACAACCGTGGCGGCATGATGAACAACATGCGCGGTGGCCCCAGTGGCATGCGTGGTGGCCGAGGCGGCAACATGGCCGGTGCCGGAATGATGATGTCCGGTATGAACCCGATGAACAGCGGCATGGGCATGAACCCCATGGCCGGCGGAATGAACTCCATGATGGGCAACATGGGTGGCAACATGGGAATGCAGGGTGAGTGATTCTATTTGAGTGATACTCTCGTTCTTCTGCTTCTTATGTTTAAAAGAACGGATTTACGCTAACTCGTAAATGCCAGGATTCCAAGGCCCTAACCCGGCATTCAACCAGAACTTCTTCGGGGCCAACCAGGGTGGCGACGGCACCTGGAATCCCCACGGCGCCAAGCGCAGCCGCCAGGAGTGAAGGACCGCGCCAAGGGCGTTTGTTTGAGTTATTTTGTTTTTCGTCTTTTCGCGGGTGCACGGTGCATGGTGCACAGGAACTGGTCACGGCGTCTACCAGTCTTTCCCCCTTCCCTTCCTTCATTTGATCCCTTCATTTTCTGAACTCTCCTCATCTGGTCCCTCAGTTTGACTCGACTAACCGTTGCTTCTGAACGGGGACCGAGGAGTGAAGAAAGAGAAGGGATCTAATTTCTTAGGGTATGTTTAGGCTCGAATGGGATTCGAGAATTCTCCTCTCTTTTCTCTGGTGTACTAGATGTAATTCCAAGGTGCTCATCCGCTTTTATGACATGTATTATATTCGACTTTGGAGTTTGGGGCTATTTGCTTGGGCGTTGTCATGTTACACACTGGGCATTTGGGCTTTAGGGTTTTTACTGGACTGTCGAGATTGTGTATTATATGCTCAATGGTGAACTGGGAGATCTTCCAACACTATCGACTATCGGAAACTATCTGTCGAATGCGAGTGCCTCTAGTGATGATGGAGATGCTCATGGCCCCCATGGGTTATTCTCATCCAGCGCTTTGTACACAACATCATCTTGGGATAGTCTTCAAAAGCCAAGTCCTGGAAACATAACGACCAATATTGAGACACAGCTCGATTCTTTGATGGCTCTCCCTCAAAGTCTGTCAGGCAAAGAGCGTCGCCATCAACTCAAGCAAAAACGTGGTGCATGCTTGCGTAATTTTGGAGTGAATCGCATAGATGGGTCACTTGGCGAAACTAGGACGCGGTTTGGAGATGTGGATTCTCGGTGATACTGGGAAGCTGGCAGGTTTGAAAGAGAGTAAGGACGGGACCCTATATCTCTGGAACGAAGAGGAATATCGAAGCTGTAAACGTCGTACCTGTGGATTGTCTGACCGAGTTGGTGCTTCATTCGTCCGTCGTCATTTTACTTTTTTACAGCAGGTTTACCGCAGCATGGCAAATTCAAAGGTGATACAATAAGAATGTGGTTTGATTTGATTTTGTAATACGTGGCGTTAACAAGCAAACTATATGGGCTTTAATCAGTCCGATCAAAATGTATTTCGTGATGCAATAGAACAGCACTCACTCCAAAGTTGGATGGCGCTAATGAACAGATCTCGTCTTATTTCTCAGGGACAGACTTGAACGTAACGGCCACCGAGCTCGTCACGTGAATATCCGGAGGACTAAGATCAAGTGTCTCGGACAGCTCTGGTGGATTAGGAGGAGCACCACTACCAAATCCACCACCAAATAGGCCTCCCCCTTCGCACTTCCAAACGCAACGGGAGCACCAGAGGGAGCACCAAAGGGAGCACCAAAAAGAGATCTTCCTGCTGGCGCATGCTGCGCGATAGTACTCTGCCCGCCGTCCATGATTTCCACCGGATAAACTTCCCTCCCAACCTCTCCAGCATAGTCATTGGCTTTATTGACAGCGTCTCGAATAGCCTCCTTGCGCATCTGCGAGCGCAGGGCTTTCTTGGTAGCGTCGCTCAAACTCCAGTCGATGGCGCTGATTTCGACATTAGAGTACGTCACAAGCTGGCCAATTACCTGGCTTAGCTTGGTGATATCGCGGAATACCACGCTCAAGGACATGGAGGCCTGATAAACCTTGGGCAAAGGCTTGTTATCTTTGTCGTAGGGTATATAGTTCCTTGTGCGGAGGAATGTAGAGGCGAATTTGGTTACCGCTGCGTCTGCGGTGGCAGTGCCGTCATTGGTTTTGGGAGAGAGTGTCTTGAAGAGCTCGCTGAGTTCGTTCGACCTCGAAATGACATTCTTGGATACGGTCTCGAGATCTGAACCCTCTGATTCCACCGTGAGTCGGAGAACACCTTGTTCAGCAAGACGGGTGATTCTCGACTCCCCGTTGACTTGGATTTTGAGCGGCTCCATGGTGTCGTGTAGATCGTCGAGGTTGATAGAATTGACTGCTTTCCTTGGCTTCGAGAACCCTTAAATAGTCGCTCGAAGGCGCCAGGCACCAAACACTTCCGGCAGGGCATCGCTCCGACGGTAACCTTGCCTAGGACTGAGTAAGGTTGGGTCCCATTGGCCAGTATGATGACTCATCAATCGTTGTTTGATGAACTAAGCTAAACCAGGATTAGCGCATCAAAGGCATTTTCTGGGAACCAAGTCAGAAACCAAGTCTCTTTTAAGCCCTTCAGAGTAAATTTTGGTACCAAAATAAGACTGCACAAGGACACGGAAGTATATGGACGAAGAAGCATATTATAAGAGCTCTATCAGGCTGTATGAAAGGAGAAGGCCTCGATTTAGCTATCGAAGGGAACCATTTTCGGGCTGTCTGTCTGTCTGTCTGTCCTAGAGATCATCAAAGCCGAAATCAAAAGTCGAGTTGCTGGGAGATGTACTCTACCAGTCTCATGTCGTGACTTTACACATGGTGATTCATCTCTATAGGGCCTTTGTAGCTTGTAACCTTAAGAAAAGGGTGTACTAAGCTAATCCAAATGCCTGTCAATTGCCTATATCCATGTGCATTGACGAACTTGATTGTTTAGTTCACTTGAAACTGCAGGATTGAACGAGAGACTGTTAGTCTTCTTTGTTTTTGATTGATGTTGCTGAACGAATGCTACACAGCATAAACGATGTCATTTTCACAAGTCACTCGATAGTCTCCATGCTCCTGTCAATCTGGAGCGTACGCAGTGCTTTGCCTCGCAGAATATCTCCAGAGAGTTACGCCAAGAGAGTTAAACATAATTCGAATAGATAAGTCAATTGGAGAACAATCTATTGAGCTTGCCTATATACATGGTAATTCTAATATCCAAGTATCTCCAAGTACACATTCTGGTCGGGCCGCACGGGCATCAGACCATCATCGCGGCTGCCCCACCACAATCACCCCCACTCATTTCGTCATCGAAGCCTTTCTCCAGATAACTAATCACCTTATTATCTCCAACCACGAGCCCCTTCCTTCTTTCTCCTTTCACAATCTCCCAACCACCAACTCTAACAACCCTTCTCTCCTCCAAACAAACTCCAACCAAGACCACCCACCAAAATGCCCGTCGAAGCCATCACCAGGTAACCTACTCACCCCCGCACCCCTCCCCAGCAAATCCACTCCTTACTCACACTCACACCATCCAGCCAACAAGAATTCCTCGACAAGATCCTCAACGCCGATGAGCCCGTCGTCCTCGACGCCTGGGCCGAATGGTGCGGCCCCTGCAAAGCGATCGCCCCCAAAGTCGAACAGTTCAGCACCCAATACCCACAAGCCAAGTTCTACAAAGTCGACGTAGACAAGGTGCCCGACGTTGCACAGGAGCTTGGCATTCGTGCCATGCCGACGATTCTGTTCTTCAATAAGGGGGAGAAGATTACGGAGGTTGTTGGGGCGAATCCGCATGCGATTGAGGAGGGGATTAAGGCTCTTGTTGCTTGAAGGGGGGGTGGGTTACTAGGAATGGGGATGGCATGTGTGATGCGGCTTGGTACGGTCAGTCGAGCGATAGTATCTTGATGAGCGGTGAATCATGAATTGAATGGATGATATTATCTTTTCTTATTTTTTTTATTCTGTCTGAGTCTAGATTTTCGTAATGTAATCCGTTGATCGACAATTAGCGGTGGCCCAGCTATGAGCCTACACCAACCCACGGTCAACGGGCGCCCATGCAGCTTGTTACACTTGATCCAGACTCTAAGCCCCAGCGAGACCCCCTCACAAGCTGCGCCCAAACTTAATATGGCGCTTCGTCACAAGAGAGGGTTACAGTCCTTGCTCTTTGACCCTTACGCTCACCTAAAGTTCGAGGCGGTGTCGAAAGATGGGTCGGTGGCTGAGGCTCGGCCCGGGTGGAGAGCTTGGATGCACTAAGAATCGGGGGATTTCTGTACGTGCTGTACTCTTTATACTGTACGTACGTGATAGCTCTAGTGGATCGCCCTTTGCACTGCCTCGATTCTAACCATTATCATTGTGTACATGACTCGCGCACCCAGAAGCCTTGCTGCGGAATGTATACACAGAGTTGCGCCGGGTTTACCCGGTCCCATGCGCTACACCGACTCTTTGGACGGAGGCTGTGCAGAGAGAGACGGATTGAGGCTCTATGGTTCTAAGGTCTGAGATTCCAATGGCGATCATTACTTTCTGGCGTGAAAATTTGGGATAATAGCTTTAATATTTTTTTAAAAAATTATCAACGCTATCTATCCGATCTTTTGCTCCAATGCCATCATAACCATGAGGCCGTAGCAACGTAGCGCGTAATGAATAAAGCCATAACTTCATAAACAGTGCAGCCTCCCTGTGATAAGTAACAGACAAAATCGAAGAATTGGGCAGAGAAGGGAAAGAAAGCGATAACAGGAAGAAAAGAACCTGCAAAGCCCACCAGGTCTACTAGATCTTGGTGATATACATACTGAAACATGCATGTACAGAATGTACAGAATGTACAGATCCCCCGAGGTAGTCAAAAACGTATAAGAGATAGATAAGGATGTAGTGTCTAGGTAAGACACCTGCCCACGGGTGGAGCGGGGACATGACTGGTGAGCCGCATCGAGAAGGTATTTTTTTGGGGGGCCCGAGTTTCGCCAGATGAAAAAGGGTAAAGGACGCGCAAGAAGACACAAGACGAAGTGAATCAGAAAGCCGCCCAAGATGACACTGAACAATACTTCATATCAGGGAAATCTGAAATGAGAGATTGCAGGGTAAATAGAAGGAGTGGAGAAGGAGTAGATCCAAAGAGAAAAGATAAAACACAGACAAGAAAAAGGAAGAGAGAGAAAAAAAAAAAAAAAAAATCACCAGGGAGTTGCGGGGTATCATAGTAACAATAACCAGCAAGTAATCCCCTCAAGATCGAGGAGACGGTTTTTTGCGCAAGCAAGGGTTGGGCTCGTAGTCTCTCGCGCGCGCCAGCGAGAACAAGACCCAGAGCAAGTATTTCATGAGGTACTCGAACACACGATCGGGGTCCAAGGTCGATCGCTCGGAGCAAAGAGTATCAGTCGACACTCCAGTCCACTCCGATAGCTTTTTGAGGGAGCCCTCCAGATCAAGATCAAACCGGAACTCCAACTCGTTCTCTTCTTCTTCGTAGAGCTCCACGTCCTGAATCGGCTCATCCTCACGGCAGGATGTCTCCTCTTCCCAGTCCCATTGGGAGGGCGAGCTGGGCCGTGATGAGGAAAACACGGTAAGGTCCGAGTAGGAGGAACTCCGCGAGCATGCAGGAGAAGAGAAGGTAGAGTTCGCGATGGATTCAACATCCGAGTCATCGGCCGAATCATCCAGGTCCACAATCTTGCCCTCCTCCTGGGTAGTAGTCTCGGAGGCCTCGAGAGTAGATTCCACGGCATCCTTGAGAGCAGCGTGAGCCTCCCTCTTGCCAGTCGCGGACTTTGCGGCGGAAGTCCTGAGTCTTAACATCTTGACGACGACTTGGATGCGGGTCCGGAGAGGATGGCCAGCATTCCTCTGTGCTGGCATCATCTTGAAGTTCATCTCGACTTTTCTTCCGGGGGCAATATCCACGCGACCGCGTCCAAAGTACGTTGTTTGGGATCTGCTGCGACAGGAGCATTGGCATCCGGAAGATGGCTTGATTGGACTCAGGAAAGGTGGGCCAAATGCCCGTCGAGTGACTAGTTCCATGCCTGTAACAATTAGCCAGTCTGTAATGAGATATCACAACGAAGTGATTGTTTCAGGGGTGAATGGGAAAGGAATAATATGCTTACCACCGGAAGGTATCGTTGCCACGCCAGTGAGGGGTCTCCGAAGACGTGGCAACGGGATTCTGAAGGGGAGGGCGACGACGACAGGATCGGCCTTCTGAGCATTCTTGATTTGCGATCGCGCCTTGAGGTCCAAGACAGAGGTCTCCATCTCAGACTCGGGTATGCCGCGCACAAGAACGTCAGTTACGGCACGAGCATGATAGGAGCGGTTACCCGGGCGGAAATTCGTGCGCGGCTCATAGTCTTCTTGCTGCCCATAATGCATATCACCCCGAGCATCCACGTTACCAGAAGGGCCCATAGGTATGCTTCCAGTGAGATCCGGGTAAGCTTGGGCATTGAGAATAGCCGGGTCGATATAACGGATAGTCTGTCTGGTCGGAGAGGTTTGAAAGAACGAGCCAACCATACGGGGATTATCCGCTTGTCCTGTGGCAGTATTTGGTGAGCGGCGGCAACGATGGCATCCCTCGTTGGATGGTGGATCGTTCTGGCACTGTTGACAGTCACTTCGACGAATCCGGCAATGCCCGCACAACCTTCGGCGAGAATCGTGCGCCGGCCGTTCTGGCCGGGGCCCAGAGGGCCTTCCTGACCGACTGACCCGTCCACCTACAGTGCGACGTGAAGTATTACGCACCGAGACGGGAGAAGTCGAGGGACGCAGAGTGATCTGGCGAGGCTGCGGCGGCATGGTGTTCAGTGTTGTAGCGACAGTGTCAAGCATGGATTGTGTACGTGCTAAAGATGCCACTGGATGATGGCTCGTCTCCGCGGCATGCGCCCCAGGGAACGACTGCCAGGGTGGATGTCCCATAGCATTGCCAAACACATTAGGCCCATGTCTATGCGATGATGGGCGTTCGCCACCACGATCATCCATGTACGACCCAACGCCGTTGCAACCAGCTTGACGAGATTCATCTCCAGGATCATCGTCAGGCTCATCGTCGGAATCATTACCATAATCATCTCCAGGGTCATCACCAAAGTCATGGCCAAAGTCATCACCGGGATAATCGCCAGGATCATCGCCAGGGTCGTTGCCAGGGTCGTTGCCACCTGTTCCTGAGCACGCGCCCAACGACTTGGGGTCGACGCATCGGTGTTTGGTATAGCAAGCCCACATTTGGCGCCAGCTTCCGATTGGTTTCTCACAGCCTGGGCATTTTTCAGGGTGAGGATAGGTTGTCTTCAACGGCTTGTTCTCGCCAGACTTCTTATTGTCTTCCCGATGCACGTTGTTCCAGTGCGTCTTTACTTTATCCTCTCTGAGGCTTTCGTAATCGCAGGGCTGGGACGGGCAGAAGTATTGCACTTCAAGGAAATGCCAAGTTCTGTTATGACGTTCGAAGGAGCTTTTGTAATTGTTCTTAAAGCCACAGTGCTCGCAATCCCAGTAGACCTTGCTGGGGTCGAAAGTCTTTTGGAAGTCGAGGGCGGCTGGGGCTGGGGCTGGGGTTGGGGCTGGGGGTCATTCCTGGCTCGACCGGAGAGACTTTGGAGGCATTGTTCAATGGAACGATGTTCCTCGCGGTCTGGATGCCTAGCGTACACTCCGCTCACCACCTGGCGTAGTAGTTCGAGATCCGTCTTCAGATCTGGGGGTGTGGGAGGTGCTGTCGACTGGGAGATTGCATTCCCGGGATTCTGGGTAGGCTGTTGCAAGTCCTCCGAGAGGATGTGCGTCGGTATCCCTGCAGGGACGGCGTGGTGCGCCAAGTCGGTTGGGATGTAAGAACAATCGATTTGGGGCCGAGGACCACCTCCTGGGTGGGAGTGGGAGGGAACTTGGGAGCCGGTAGAATGTCCCTCCGTTGAGGGCAAGCTTGGAGGCGAGTTGCCGGAGATGCCTGTATACAAGCTGGGAGGGTGGGAAGCCTCCGGGGTATTCTATCGCAGCGCCGCCATTAGCCATGATCCCTCACAGAGTTTTGGTTACCCTAGAAGTAAACTCTTGGCAGCACGGCCAATGAACCCATGCAAGCAGCAAATGGGCAGCGGCGAGGATGAAGTCGCTACTTACGGTGTGGGTCCCTAAGTATGGGACGGCAGCTGGGGCTGGGACCGACAGTCTTCCATGTCCTTGGCCATGTCCAACCACCGGCTGAGTCTTGTCTGTCGAGATCGAACTGATCGACGCGGAGAGCATATCATAGCTCTGGCTAGCATGGTGTGCTTGGTGATACTGGAGCTGTTCCTCTAGAGGCGGCTCCGGTCCAATCCAGAAGCTTGACGCGCCCCCATCAGAGTGGGAATGCATGATGAAAGAAGAATCAAAGGAAGGTGGTCAAGTCCGATCGGATCGGAATGACCGCCAAAGAGACAGGAAGGGAGGGGGAAGAGGAGAAGGAGCAGCGAGAAGCAAAACACGCAGGCAACGAGGCCGACTTTATACCCAAAGAGGTGGTTGCAGGAGAGGAATAGTAATAGATTTGGGAGAGGGAAAGGCCCAACGGAACCCGGGTTGAGAAGACAGAGGCCGAGGGTGCAAAAGGGTAATAAGAATAATATGAATATGAATAATACAAGCCGTTTAGGTAAGAGAGCAGACTGAGAAACTAACTTTTGGCACAACAACGTCCCAAAGAGGAGGGGGAACTGGGATTTGCGGAGGAGGAGGAGATGGGAGGTGATCGCAGAAAAGGTAGAAGAGCAAAGGGAAATCAAGAGCTTGGAACACACAATCGGGTGCCTGAAGAATAGACGCCCGCAGGACTATGGCATTCTCATGTTCTTATTCTTTGATGGGAGGCAAAATAAGGAAATAAAAGAAACAACAGAGGGAGGGCGTTGGCGGTGTTTTAGCTGGTTTAGCTGTCCTCGCCGGGATTCGCTGGACTCGTTGACTCGCTGAACAGCCTGAACAGCCTCACGGGAGATATTTCAGAAAATGGCCTGGCCCAATCGGGAGTGAGAAGAAACGGCCAAGAGGGATCCACGCAGGAAAGCAACGAGAGTGGTCGAGTCGAAGCCCCAGCTGGGGAGCTAGGGAGATGCAGTGAATAATAGGAACCCCGCGAATGGTAACTAAACCTGGCCGGGGGTTAAAAAAGGGTTGTCGAATGATTGCACGACCAGATCCGAAAAGCAGGCGAATGGGTCACAATACGAACGACCGACTGATTGGACCGTCCCCTAACTCTGTGTAGGTCATCACTCTCTCTCTCTCTCCCTCAGGCCTCCAAACTGGGCCGCAGTTTGGCGGAGGGGGCTTAGCCAGCGAGTCGAAACAGGAACAGTTCCTAATGCAGTAAACTCCAGACTAGTATACTACACACTAGTATACTACACACTAGTATACTACACACTAGTATACTACACACTAGTATACTACACACTAGTATACTACACACTAGTATACTACACACTAGTATACTACACACTAGTATACTACACACTAGTATACTACACACTAGTATACTACACACTAGTATACTACAGTATGTGCCAACTACTATCGTCCCTGTCGGACTGCAAATGATACAGCCGATTTTCACGGCGCCTGCGCCTCGTCCCCTCGTTGTCGCTACCTGATGGAGAGCCGCAATTATCACTCTCAGAGGATCGACGCCCAAAGGGGAGTCGTCGGAGCAGCCCAAAGATCCGAGGAATGTTACGGACTGTCTGGATCGTTTCCATTTCTCCCCTTGACTCCTCCTTACTCCCAGTTCTCTCGTCACCACTCACGTTTCCCACGCGTCCAAAATCTCGATCGGCACTGGACCCTTTCATCGACTCCCGGGGGGGGAGTGTATACGCAATGCACCGCATTACGTAGAGCGCCCGTGTCACGGTCTCGGAGACAGGGTCCAGAAAGAGAGCGAAAGTGGGAGAGAGAGTCGTTTGATTGTCCTCTTCTGCTCCCGGACCGACGGGCGGATGAACTGTACCGGAGACGACTCCCATCGGGTCCTCTCTTCCGACAGGGATTGAGAGAATCAATGCACCAGGAACCATGTCACGGCATTGACGTGATTCGTGAATTGCGACCGGCCAGACAGTGAAGCTCGCCCTCCCTCTCTGCTAGCGAGTCAGACGCACTTGCGCTGTGTCTTGATCGTCATTCACCCCCAATTTGCTCGCCTCGCGGGTGAACGGCAGAGCCACAAGCGAACGTTCAAGTCTGGTGACGGACAACGCATGCAATCGCTAATTCAACAAGGAGATAGCTCGTGGGGACCAGGACCAGCCACCCGCCCTAACCAGTATCAACGAGCCTGCCAACGGTCGATCTTTCTTCGGACGTGGCGTGAGGAGGTCTGAGCGAAGAGTCGAGCGCTACTGTCACTAGCGAATGCCATCCAACGGTGGGACAACTAAACTTCAAACCCCCAGTCACGAAGAAAATCAATGCGTGGATTATCCATCTCTCTGGAACCTACCGAACCGGTCTGACAGCGGACTTCGGCTGCGACCTGCGTTGGGAGACAGCGCCGCGTCAAAGGGGGAGGAACCTGCCCGTCGTGACTCTCGTCTCCGATGCAATGCGATTGCCAGCCAACCACTCCAAGCACCAATCAGTGACGGGGGGGGCATCCATGACATCAGGGAACTGATGGCGTGCGGCTACGTCGCTCCGATTGCCTCTCCCATGAAAATAATAGTCCAGGGTCTGACAAGATCGGGGCAGACGGAGGCTGGAATCGGCTCGATCGCAATCCCTGTGCCACTCCAGATCTCCTTCCCCCCTCATCTCAATCTCACTCTCATCTGAACTACTGCAAGCGCCGGGTGGAAATCCCCGTACCTGCACCATTCTATCGATCTAGGTTCCACAAGAGGTACGTTATCTATTATGCGCGTGCCCGGTCGGGTGCCCGACTACAGGACCACTATCTATGGAATAATCTTCGATGATTCCATGCCATGCAGCTTTCAATTCCCCGTATCGGCCAAGGCGCAACGCATGGCCCGGGGAATAAGGAAACCCTATCAACGGGGCATCCCTTGCGCCCAGTTTCATGGGCAGGATCTTAATCGGGCAAATCATCAGGTGGGGCGTCATGATGGGACGGATAGCTCTCCCCGGGGCGAGATAGCGTAGTGCAGGCCAGCGCAGGGTAGAGCAGGGCCGATCCGAGCAGAACAGTATGTTTTCCACCAAAAAAGGTGAGGCGAGCGTCCGAATGATCAAGGCGGGAGTTCGTGGAGGAGGAGAGAAGAGAGAGAAAGAAGCGGGGGAACCGAGTGAAGCCGACACTAATCGCCTCCCCCGATCTTCCACCTTCCCCAAATCTACTCCGTACGACTGATCCCCCAGATTTGCGCACAGAGTTACGCACACCGGACGTCCGAAAACGGGTTGCGCCAGAGTATCCAGACCGTCAGACAACGACGACAGACCCTCCCAAAAGCCTTAGACGCCCCCGAAAGCTTCCGCACTCCTCACGCGGGCGTGCACAATTGCGGGAGGGTACCGTAGACGATTGCAGAAAGCATCCCCCTCCCCGCACCGCAGGCGATAGGCAAAAAGTGGCGGCCCACCACGAATCAATCAGGGAAAAGGAAACTAAACCAGATCCAAGATACCTTGCTCCACCTGCTTGTGAGGTGTGGCAGGGCGTCCCCTTGCACAGAAACCCAATCAGCCGGTGACTCGGTGGAGATTCGGCGTTGGCAATCATAACTGCGTTTGCGTCCGGGCTCCTCTTGGCTGACACGAAGCGGGCCTCTTGGTGAGACGATCGACAATCCCACCATCCCACGGGCCCCTCTGAGGAGGCTTAAAATGGGCTTGGCGGGAGCGAGGGAGACGCGGCGGCCGGTGGGTGAAGTGCGTAGAGTACGAATCACGAAACCGAACCGCTGTACGGAGTCCACGGAAGGGTTTTGTTCTTTTTTTCTCTATCCTGCACGACCGGCTTTGACCTGCTCGATCGTCATCCAAGTTGGTTCTCGCGTGCAGACGACTGACGCGGAAAACAAGGGGCCGTACGCTCGACTCGTGGCCGGGAGGGATCTTGGTTACGGGAGGACGCAGAAAATGTGTGGAATTCTCCGTAGCAGGACCACCGAATAGCTGATTATCACTTACAAGTAAATACATCGCTAGGGTAGATAATAAAATTAATCTTTATGGTTTTGCCTCCTTCTTTTCTTCTGTTCCGGCTTTCCGGGGTCAACTAGCTCGAGCTGCTGCGTGGGGGGAGAAAAACAAAAAAAAAAAAAGTAAATCCACACAAACGCAGAAGCCTTCGAGGAGAAAAGGCTAATAAAACTAGGTATAATAAAAAAAAAGTTCGAACAAAACCCATTTTTTGCGCTGCTTTATCCCACCATTTTCGACCATTTCCCATTATCCACCACTTTGTACCCACTACACAGGAAGTAAAAAGTAAACAAAGTATACAAGCAGAGTTCCGTAGTACCGTGGGTCACCCACGATCTCAAGTCCGGTTCCCGTAACCTTGGGCCAACGTTGGCCATTTGGGCCCTGCAAATGCAGCAGGAATGGAAATCGGTCCACAGGCCATGCTAGTCTTGTAGTATCCATTGTCTCGGAGAAGGGGAGAGTATGACTACTGTAGAGCGAGGACGAAGAATAGTCCTGGCTCAGGGAAGATAGATACAGTACTAAGTAATTAGGAATTGGGATCAAACCGAAATGGCCGATCGGCATCAGCTGGCCTGATCAGAGAACGTACCATGATTACTACTGTAGAGTAACTAACGAGGGACATGTAGAATAATAGATAACCGTCCCTGGATGACTGACTACGGCTCCTCCTCTCTGATACTGCGTCAGAATCCCAAAAACCCCCTCCAAAAAAGGAAATCAGTTCGAGTTCACCGCCTACAAGGGCCTACTCCTTACGGAGAGTGTCATCCCATCCAAGTACCTAATTGGCCGTATCCACTGGTCTATCCGGGAGCCCTGACAGGTACGTATGTACAGGCCACGTTTAAGCCCCACGCAAGCAGCCCCTCCCCCGAAACACGACACACTGACAAAAAAGAATCCACAAATATGACAATATGAAATTGGAAGTCTTGAAAAATTTGCACGTCAGCTGGGAGGGGGGGCCAAAACGGTGCTAGCCAGGGTCCCAGGAGGGGATGGAGATCCCAATCAACCAAAGAGATGCGGCGGTGGTTCTTGATCTTCTGATTTGGCTGGGAGTTGGGTGGAGTGGGGAATCGTTTTTTTCCTTGGCTGGGCTAATTTGGCTAACGGTGCAGTGCTGCAGTGCTGCAGTGCTGCAGTGCTGCAGTGCTGCTTGTTCTGTAATTAGTTGTGGCTGCAGTATGGGATAATTGGATTATGTATGGGAGTATGGGAGTGTGGGTTGGGTTTTGCGGCAAGGACGGAGAATGGAGGATGGAGGAAGGTAGTGTAGTGTAGTGGCTGGGTCGCTTTCCTGCCCTGCTCATACCCAGGCATGATTTTTCCTATGGACTGTACTGCTTGTGCTTTGTTTAGTTTGTGGCTGCAGAATTGGATTATGGGATTGTTCTGGTCCCAATTGTGTTGGGCCTTTGCGTCCTGTCATTGTCATGGCTGGTGTCTTTCCCTGCTACTATCCGAGGATGATTTTTCCCTGTACTGCAAGTAGGCAGTGGTTGGAGATTTACTAAAAAATATTATGCACAATGACAAGGAGATATTGACGTCTGTCCGTCTCACGGCTGTCCTGGCTCTCTCTCGGGAGTTGCGTTGGGCTCAGCGAACGCTTTTTTTCTTGAATTTATTTTTCTTTTTTTTCCGGCTGACGAAAAAATTTTCTTCCTGCCGATTTCTTTGATTGAATTTCCTCGGTTGTTTCATAGGATACTGTTGTGCCTTGTCTTGACAGAGATTTCACAGCTGATGCCATTCCTGACTCGCGGAGGTCTGAGCACAGGAAATAGGCAATCTCTGCTGTTACTAGTGGAGTCAGTCATGGTCGGGCGAGGACTGTCAGGTGGTGGTTTAGCCTCATGGGAAGATGATCAAATTTTCATGTCTCATTTTATTTTCGATAGTAAGAATCAGAAAACTCAACGAAATTGCACAATTTTAATCAAGCTCTGAACTGATGATGGTAATTTCAAATGCATGAGCCGCGGTGTATGTTGTATGTCTATGTAAATTTTTTGAAAAAAAAAATACAACAAACTAGGAATGTAAAGACACACAAAAATCACTAAGAAAAACCACAAGCAACAAAACAGAAACATAAGAAATATAGCACAATCCCAAAGCAAAGTGGGTCCCCAATATCTTCAACTCCAGCTTATCGGCGGGACAGACTGACAGCGGGCCCCACCGATAGCCTAGCACATTTGGTGTGCCATATACGCCTGTAGATGAAGATCCCCCATTCCCAAGAACACCAATCCCAATCCTAGTCCCCATCCAAGAAAGACAATCCAAAGTGTAACTCCCAAGAGCCCTAGTCCGACAGTTCCGAAACCCCTCAAGCGCCCATATTGTCACATCACATCACAGTCATTCCTGGGGAACATGAAGCTCGCTCTGCCAGAAACGATTGAGCACCTGCAGGATAGGTGCTCGATGTGTACCGTAGCCGAAGCTACGATCATTTCTTGGGTTTGGAGATACCGAGGGGCGTCCACGGCTGGGATGCCTTTGGTGCGTCCAACCAGGCGGCGAGGGAGGGGGAGCCATTGGCAGGTCGATGGTTGGGAAAGAGATCCTCGTACTTGGGGTGGTCATTGATGGAGAGGAGATCGTAGTCCCGCCCGGTAATCTTGGGATCTTTGAATTGCGCACCAATGTGCATGAAGTCCTGTCTGCTAAAGAAAAAGAGAAGGGTCAGCGGGGTTGTAAGGAAGAAATATGCGTGAAGAGGGACGTTGAAGTATGGAATTCATGAGTTTCTGGGGTTTGGAACGGGAGTGAGGTGATATGGGTGGAGGTGGAGGTAGAAGTAGATATGAGGTGGACGACAGTGGTATTCCATAGCAACATGGAGGACGGTAGAGGTGGGAACAGTGGACTCGCCACCGCGGGGAGCTCGAGGTAGCTTACTTGGGAGAGCTCATCTTGGCGAACGGCAGAAAGCTGGTGATGTCTAGATGCAAGTGGAGAGCAGCGGTCTATATAAGGAGCATTAGCCAAGTAAAACCAGAGGGCAGGTGGAGATAGTCATCAACGACTTCCACGCGGGAGGGACAAGGCATACAGCAGGCTTCAGATGGTGAAAAGATGGCGCGGTGGTAAAGCGTCTTCTTCTTGCCTGCCCTGGTCGGGTCGACGACTTATATCCTCTCAGGTACATGATGGGCAAGTCAATCGTAGGCAGACAGACCAGAGTCCCACCCGGGTTTTGTTCTCATAAGAATAAATGAGAGTGGGCATGAAACAGGCAGGACTCGAGGGTCTGGGGGATTCCAGATGGAGGCCAACCCCCCAGAGACCATCGCAGTCGGGTTCGTGCGCCTGGGTCCCATGGCGGTGGATTTCTAGAAGATCGTCAGAACCCAGGTAAAGCAGGGTGCGATTGGCTGGAGGTATCGACGAAAAAAAAAATCAGAAAAAAAGGGTAATAATTAGGGCACAATATGAAGGTTAACGAGACAAAAGAGAGGTAATTCGGTGGGTTGAAGGAGGGAGAAAGGAAACCAAGATTCCAGAGGGAAACCAGCGTCTGTCTTTCCTTTCCTTCCCCTCTTCACCACTGCAGGGGTACATGCCGCTAGTACGGACTCGGTCTTTAGTATGGCTACGGCTGTACACTCAATACAGGAAATACCGGAGATTGTTCGCCCAGGGAACAGGAAACTGAATGATCTCATGTTCTTCTCGCCTCTGCCGTTGTAGACTCCATAGTTCGAGACTCTATTTCGTGACCCACTTTTTCCGACTGTCAAGTTCAACAGTCTCGACGTTCAATTTGAAAAGAACATGCAATGCAGCACTCTGCAGTGTGGTTGCCTGGATCGACCGGACATAATATGTTCTGCTTGACAGAGGGCTTATCATCCGCCAAATGTCGGTGAATCGTTGATCAGGTACGGTTCATGGGATCTAGATGCGGTGGCAAGGATCGTAGTCACTACAACCGGAAAATAGTTCAGACTAGACCTTGCTTCTAGCTTCCGATCCAACTTCATACCATCCGATACCATTCCATACTATCCACTCCTATCTTGTCTTATTCCGTCACATCTCATCCTATCACGTCACATCCCGTCCCATCCCGTCACATCTCGTCCCATACCCGCTCGGTACTTCATAATAATAGTCAAGGCACGACGAACCCGTGACCACGTCCGAACAAAACAGTCATTACAAGAATTAACGATCGTGACGAAAGCAATCAGACTCCAAATGACCCCTTCCACTGAGTGATTTCCAGATGGTTGCCTAATTATGCCTGGGTGCCACAGTGGCGCGGTGGATGGGATCTATAGACTGCATCTCCCAACGATGAGATCATGGTAAGTCCTTAGTACACAGGTATGATCGCCCGGGGAACACGCCCACGAACCCACTAGCCACCCCTCTGTACCCTGTAGTCGATCCATCATCGTCATAGGTGAATGGTCAATCCAGGACCCGATCCAACCTGGTCACAATTCCCCAGTCAGACTAACGTCTTGACCCACGAAACCCGCGCACCGAATTCGGGGTTGAGGTCGAACCCGAGCCCGAGTCCAAAATATGAGAAATCCTCTGTTTTTCGCATCGGTTACGTGGATACCCAAAATGGTAACTGCCCCAACCATTCCAAGCTACATCCTATACTTCGTAGTCCGTACTCCGTACGCCGTACGCCCAGTATCCCGACCAACCACCTTCCTTTCCACCACCCGATCCTGAAACACCAACACCTCGGCTCCGGGCAGGGGTTTCAATGCCGAGAGCTCGAGTCACCTTCCGTACAAGCAATCATCGCTGTCCACGTCGGCGCCGGGATCCACGACCCAGTGCTCGGGGATGTTTTCTCATGGATTCGCGCTTGTGGTCGTCCGCGCTAGTTGCAGCTTCCAGGGGAAATGAATGGAAAGGGGGGAACTGGTCAATCAGCTGATCAAAGATATTATTCGATCCAGATACCGAATACAGCTGCTTGCATTTGCTGCATGATTATGTGTTGAGGGACCAGCTGGGGATGAATGGATCGGTGCCTGGAGGCCCTGGAACCAGAGCACGGACGTGCCAGACAAGTGTACGGCAAAGGCCCTGGTCAGCTGATTGAGCAGTACCCATAATAACCCGGGAATATTAGATGCAGTCTCCGCTGGGTTTGTCTGTACGGTACCTGGGGCTAGGAGCTTGGAATCCGTGCTCCCGAGGTCAGAATGGTCTTTGATTTTTTTGCTTTTTGATTTTGCCCGGAGCAAGCTCAATAATAATAATCGAGTAATAATAACTCGACCGGTCGTCAGAGGCTGGTCTCCATTTTGGTTAGGGAGAGGCCAAAGCGTTGACTTCACGGAGGAGACCTGCCAGTGTCAGCACTGTAAGGCCCGCTCGTGGGTTTGTGTAACACTATTCCCTCGTGGGGCCTAGACAGAAAGAGAAAAAAGGGCGATTCAGATGACTTCATCGGCCAGAAAGAATATTTTAATTCCGAAATTGAGTTCAATCGCTGAGAATGAAGGCCAGACTGGTCAAGTCATGTACATAGTTATACCCCCGATTCTGCCCTAGGCCCCCCAAGTTCCAACTCCGAAGTGCTTAGTCGCCCAAGGCATTGCGACTCCACCAGCGTGGCGGTGAATGTGGCGCGGGCAGTCTTGTGGCTGGGCAATGTCCTCAGTCCTTGGAAAATTGGACAAACTACTGCTGCACCACGCCCCGTATTCGTTAATCCTCAACAATCTTGGCCAGCGTCCTAATCTCAGACCTCGCCGTCATCCCAACTATAGACATTCCAAACGGTGCTGCAACGCCAATCAGCGACACGAGCGTAAAATAGCGCACTTGCAGCCTGCCCAACCACCTCCGAAATATATTTGCTTTGTTCGCTTCGCCAAAGTTACCCCCCCAAGACCAACCCACGTAAACCCGCCTCTGACTTTGTCTTGTCTGAGTACATCCCTGAATATTCTGGAAAGAAGCCTTGACCATGATGTATACCGCGTACTGCTTCTCCCTGAGAAACTCAATAAAGCGCCGCAAACTTAATGCACAGGGACCCGCTGGAGTCAGCCTTACGAGCCCATCGCCCATCCTTGGATGCTTGCCATGTAACCAATACATAGTCACTCTTCAGAGTACGACCTCCACCATAACTGGCCCTGCGTATGTGTAACATCGTGAGGTCAGCACCCACCTCAGCAGGGAGATGGATGCTAATCCACATGGCCGAACCATCCGGTCTCATTTCTGGTATTCTGGTATTCTGGCACAGGCCGATCGCATGAAATTTCCGTTACGATAGCCCAAGGCGCCGGGTGATCCGAATCCGAGATATCCTGATGCCCGCCTCGGCGATTTTCTCTGAGCAAAGTATCACCATCTCACTGTATCACTCGATCCATTGCAGTACAGAGGACACGGACGCAGATTGCATCCCCCAAGCGGGCAGCTCGGGAGTCGCGTTGTCGCAGATTCGTAGTGCCGAAAACTAGCAAGTAAGTACTCCATGTCTGATTGGCTGCTGACCTTACCTGGAGCCTGGTGGAGTGCATATTCGGCTCTTGTCAAAACTCGCCTTTTCTACGCGATACCAGGTAGGTACATGGGGGATGGACGATTTGGAATCGTTAAAAGACTGTGAGACAATCTGCGGCACGGTCAGACGGATTTTGCTATTTTGCTTTGCTGCCCATCGACGCTGATCCTCGATTAGGACCTAGGAATTGAGGATTATTCTGTGTGTAAATTTGAATAATTAAATCCGATCATTATTATCGATCGTAATATATCCAGTCAGATTCGTCTGGGATATCGTGCCCTAAGTATAACATCCTTGCTAGTTGCCTTCCCCAACGATAATACCCGTTTTAGGATCAATGTGACAAGGGAACCCGAGTTCTTGTTCACGTCTTCTCGCATGGCTTTCCATCCTGGTTGAAGGAAATCAGCCTAGCCGCTTAGCGTCGCCGTACTTGTACTCGTAAACTGCTCTCCACTGTGATGCGTTGCTGATCGCCCACTACCTTGGTAGGTAGGTAGTCGCCTCAACACTCCAGCCCATGGCTAACCAATCCATACGAACCGAAAACAATTTACCCATTTGTGATTACCCTCATTCCGACACTCCCGTCGATTCCCAAGCATATTGCAGAATATTGTACAAAAGGGAGCCGTCGCACCCCGGGGGAAATTCCCAACGAGCGATGCTCAGACCCCGTCCATTAACCCCCGCCTGGTTATATCTTCGGGTTGCGAGGAGCCCAACCTGCCAGGGTAAGTAGGTCATACTTCGTAGGTGATACTCCGTAGTCTGCGGCGGCCTCAAGATGGGTTTTTGTCGTGGCGCAATTGCCGATCCCACCTGTTGCTGGGCCCTAGCAAGACTCTCGAGGGCCAAGGCACAAAGCAATTCTCTAGGATGTCATATTCTTATTCAGCAGGCCAGTACTACAGTAATACTCCGCAGCTGCAAGATGTAATGCGAACAGGATGCGGGGGTTGCCTGTGGCTGTGCTTGCGTACAATAGGTAAGTACGGAGTATGTGGAAGCAATACAATTCAGCCCAAGACGACTTTCTGGGCCCTTTCTGGATGGATGGGCGATGGCCAGCAGGATTGTCGTTCTAGACCATCGTCTTCATTGCTACCGTTCCTTCTTCCTGTCATGCTGGATCAGCCACTGCTGCGCTGGCTGGTGATCTACCTGTGGCGGTCTGGAGAGGCCCCTGTGCCCTTTCGGGCGTAATTCGAGTCTAGACCTTCTGATCTCCAATACAAGTTGGGGTGCATAGACGTGGGATTGTTTAAGCAACCGGATAAAGTCATGCGGATCGGTCGCATGAGGCTATCGGGCGGCATGTGAGCATGTAAGCATGTCAGGGCAATGGGCTTGGGCGATCATGTTCCCGACGAGGGCCAGAACGATCTAGACGTCTGTCAGGAAGCGATCCAAGTCTAGATTCTCAGCACTACAAACTACAACTTCAAACACAATGACTAGCCAGGGTCCAGGCCCAGTCCAAAGAGACGAGACGCAGTCCTGGCGCAGTTCATCGCTCGCCGACGAGCCTAGACTCGAGACCCATGGAAGAGACCAAAGCCATCCATACTAAGAAAATTCATGAACTCGGGAAATTTTTGATTTTGTTTCATTCAGGGGAATCTATGCAGAGGCTCGAGATTGTGCCAGGGCAATCGGAAACCCTTCACGCGTCGTCTCATGCAGCCAGAACGGTCCGACCTTTTCCATCCCACAAACTCGCGAGAGATGTGAAAAAGGCCAGCCAGAGTAAAAACCCAGTTTTGTAAAAAGAACAACACCAAAACAACCTCGCGCACCGAAACCCAGTCAAACCCCCAACAACGACCCGGGAAGAGCCGCTTAGATGTGGGTGTCGTAGGCGATGGGGACAACGGTCTCGGGGGCGTTGCCGGCGGCGGAGACGAGGTGGCCGTCACGGGGACCAACGGCCTGGCGCTTCAGGTGGACGTGGACACCCTTCTCCTTGGCCTCGCGCTTCTTGATGGCGTTCTCCTTGACGCGGTTGATGAACTCCTCACGGGAGCGGGAGTGCTGGACGTGCTCGATGCGGACGTTGATGCGCTTCTCGAGGTAGCGGTTGTTGACGCGCTTGTACAGGAGGACACCGACGGAGGACTTGGTCACGTTGTAGACGACACCGGTCTTACCGTGGTAGACCTTGTGAGGCATACTAATGAAGAGAAAGGCGTTTCAGTCAATATTCCTGTGCTGATTTCATAGGCATGTCGCAAAATTGGGTGGAAGCGGTTGGAAAGGGAAGATTCGTGCGAGGATTGCAAGGCAAAAAAATTTCTCGGATTGTACTGACCCCTTCTGGACGGCACCGTTAACCTTCAGGTCGACAATGTCACCGACACTGTAAAGAAAAATTCGTCAGAGTTCCATTATCCTTATAAATTCGAGTTTCGATATTCCGTCAAGGTTGTCGATCGTACCGGTAGGTCTTCATGTAAGTGGACAGGCGGATCATGCCATGTTCCTTGAAGCTGCGGCTGAAGGCATACTATTATTCCCATCTCGTCAGTATGCTTGTCTCTTTTCTCTCCGTTGTGCGGTTCTCCATGTACACCACCACCAAAGATAACGAGGTGAGGGGTCGTGAGACGGGGGAAATCGAAGAGCGAGGGATCGTAGACGTACCCGAGTGCCGGCGCGCAGACCGTACGAGTGAGGCATGACGGCGGTGTTGTGGTTTGGGCGTGTTGAAAAGTGTCGACAACGGGCTACCTCTAAAGCCGTAGAAGTTGAGGTGGCAGCGATTGTGGATGGGCTGCGGTGCTTACATAATAGCCCTAACCCTTCTTTCCACCAAGCTAGCCATTTCCGGACTAGTGCAATTCACGAAGCGAGTGTATCCTGCCAACCACTTCGGACGGCTTGTGCGATCTTTTTCCAGCTCGCTTTCGACAATCCCGCCAACCCAGGACACCCAGCAGCCATGGCTCCCGCTCCGTGAGTGAACAACGACCTCAATTCATGATATCGCATTATTCTAACCTGTTTCCCTGTACAGCCGTGTCTACACCAAGACCTACAAGGTCCCCCGTCGCCCTTTCGAGTCGGCCCGTCTGTTAGTACTCTCCGGCCACTGATTAGAAGCGTGCTTCTACTCATGTCGTGTGTTCCATATTAATTCACTGTTCATAGTGACTCGGAGCTGAAGATCGTCGGCGAGTACGGCCTGAGAAATAAGCGTGAGGTGTGGCGTGTCCAGCTCACCCTGTCCAAGATTCGTCGTGCTGCTCGGTAGGTTTATCCAAAAATTCCATGTTCGAAGGCTGTGAACTCCGCGCATCGAGACACAGTCATCCAGACGTGAAGAACCAAATCTAACTTGCTTTTCTCCCGTCAACAGTGAGCTCCTCACTCTCGACGAGAAGGACCCCAAGCGTCTGTTCGAGGGCAATGCTCTGATTCGCCGTCTCGTGCGCATCGGTGTGCTCGATGAGTCCCGCATGAAGCTCGATTACGTCCTGGCCCTCAAGGTCGAGGATTTCCTGGAGCGCCGTCTCCAGACCTGCGTGTACAAGCTCGGCCTCGCCAAGTCCATCCACCACGCCCGTGTCCTCATCAAGCAGCGCCACATCCGCGTCGGCAAGCAGATCGTCAACGTCCCCTCTTTCATGGTCCGCCTCGACTCCCAGAAGCACATCGACTTCGCCCTGACCTCGCCCTTCGGTGGCGGCCGCCCCGGCCGTGTTCGCCGCAAGAAGGCCGCTGCCGCCGCCGGTGGTGACGGTGACGCCGAGGAGGAGGATGAGGAGTAAATTACTCGCAACCACAAAAAGTAACTTGGGGAGTACGGTCGGGTTTCGCTTTGGGCAGCTCAAACACTCTGGGAGGTTCATGGTGACTGCAGCATAAAGCGTTTTTTCATGTTGTATGATCAAATCAAAATCAAGGAATCGAACAGCCATAATGGCTTCAATTCGGAACCCGAATCTCTCGGTTCATTTCGTACTACTTCTCGTAGGCTGGTCTGATGCCGCAACATAATCATATACACAGTAGTAATGTCAATCCATAACGCCATTCCCCCCCCCCCCCCCCACCAACAGCCCATTTGTCGCATAAATCATTGCCAAACGCCAGAACAGTAGCACTAGCACACAGCTAGCGCCTTCAGCCCTCCACACCTACTATCTCTTTCAACGTCTTCTCTGCACCTCTGTACCAGCGACCCATTTCCTCGAGTCCATCACTCTCTCCCTGCTGCTTCTTACGCTGGGCCTCGCGTGCTTGTGTAATCGCCTCGACTCTGCGCCGTTCTAGGACCGAGCACTCCCGTTCAACGGCCTCGGCTTCCCGAGTCTTCCGTGGTAGGGTGTTCTGCACAGCAGCGATTTGTCGGTTCAATGCGGCCAGCTCTACTTCTCGTTCTGATAGCAGTGCCAAGGTGGCAGGAAGTGGCAAGTTCTGGGAGGATCGAGGGTCGGAAGATGTCATACCGGCGACTTGTTTCGCACGCAGGCCTGCAATGGTAGACTCGAGGTTCTCGATCGAGTCGGGGAGGGTGGAGAGCTGCGTCATTTGGACTTCGACATTCTTGTAGCCTGTCACGGATAGAATTGACATTAGCCAGTGGAGCAGCAATCATAGCTCGGAGGGATGGACTCACGTCGCGCTAATTCTCGACCCATGGTCTCCATTTCCTCGATCATGAGACGGGCTTCTTCCTTTCGCGACTTGAGCTCGGCTTTGACTTCTGCCAGCTGCGTCTCCAGTTCGACGTTTTCATTGTGACCGACCACGAGTGGTGGTTCGCCTACGATTGCGCGCAGGAACTTCTCCTTAGTCACTTGTTCGAGGTAGGAGAATCGTAGTTTGGAGAAGAGTTCCTAGAAAATTGGCAGAGTCAGTCATTGTAAACACGCCATGCGATACTTGACATGGTTCCTCTCGTACCTTGTAGTGGGTAAGGTCGGCCTCGAGCGAGGCAGGCGTTGGATCATTCAAATTGGATATGGAGACATCGGAGCCACGCTTCGAGGGAGAGGGATTTGAGCCGCCGACATCAGAAATGGGCTCGCTGATTCGAATGATCGCAAGCTGCTTCTTCAGGTCGCCTTGCTCTTGCTCGAGTTGCTGGAGCACAGCATGTGGGTCATTTGTTCCAGCCATTGTAGGCAACCAACATAGGTCCGGGGCAGATGTTTGGAGAATTGATTGTGTTCGTGAAGAGAATCTAGTCGAAACAGCACGCGCTTTAATCAGGCGCGGGTACACAACTATCGCGACTGATAACAGCGGGGGGAAAGGCGGTCAAGGAAGATAGCCGCAATTTTGAAGGAGCAGTCTCGCCTTCCTTTTTCTACTACATTCGACTGGGAGAACCACTTTTTTGAATTGTCTTCAGGATACTCTAGCCTTGTCGGGATTTTTCTTCTCTCATCTTTCACACAGCCACAAGATACCCTTAAATTTGTCCCGGCATGTGAAGATTGCACTTCATCATGGACGACGACTACGTTGTGGAGGTGCTTGCCCGCGAGGCCCGCGACAGCTCTCAGAGATATCGGACGGATGGGCTCAGCGCATATATGCCGCAAAGGTTTGTTTATACCCTCAATCATATTTTTCTTCCCTACTCGTCACAAACTGACCTGACCTCCCCGTCAGACCTACTGGCAACGCACCCAAACCAAATACCCGATTCCTGCGACATCTGATCAAAGAGACAGACAGTCATAATACCTCCCTGAAGCGCAAGGAGGAGAGGGAGGCAAGAGATCGTCTACGCCATCTGAGGTCTCATCCTCAAGACCTGTCGACATCAAAGTCTACTCCGTCCACCCGCAGACCTGACCCTCGATCTAGTACGTCGGAGCTGGCAAGAAGCCATGGCGAGGAGCAGCGAGTCCGCTCGAGTCGAGATCAGCATGAGAGTCGTTCACGACGGAGACACCACGCACGTGATTTGTGTGCCGAGAGAGATCGGTCCATACGTCCCGACCTCCGAGATGAGTCGCGTGGCCGATCCTCGAGAGATCACCGTGCCCGTCGAGAACGCAGCCAAGACCGTCATGCGTCTCCTCAAAACCCCCGCTCCGGCCGAGGGAGACCTCGTTCACGCTCACGCAGCCGATCCCCTCGGCGGGACAGGAGTTCGGGGCATCGTAGCCATCCCAATACCCGCCGATCAAAGTCTCCATCGAACAAGCAGTCCCATTCACGACGGTCAAGGACAGAACGCCGATCAGAGGGTACCGAACGTCACAGAGATCGGCTACCTCTCAAATCACATTCCTCTTCGACTCGAACCTCAACCAATCCTCGCAAACAGACACAAGAGTCGCCGTCGATCTCCACCACCCCTTCAACTCTACGGCGTGACTATCCCGAAGACGATTCGGACCCTCTGGAAGATCTCGTTGGTCCGTTGCCTCCACATATTCATGGCGAGGGCGCTGCCCCTATTATTTCGCGTGGCCGGGGTGCATACAAGCCCAGCGCCAGCGCCATTGATGCCCACTTTGCTCCGGACTACGATCCTACAGACGATCTTCCATCTGATGATGACCGGGTTACGTCTCTAAACAAGAGTTCCCGCCGACCCGTTGCAGGTCTCATGACTGCAGATGACGATTGGGATATGGCGCTCGAGGCACTGCGCGACCGACAGCGCTGGAAACAAAAGGGGGAAGAGAGGCTACGTGCTGCGGGGATGAACGAGGTGACGATCGATCGGTGGAAGAACAATGCCGCGTTCACGGGGGCGGCCAGCAACGAGGACAATCCCGAGAATGTGCGTTGGGCAAAGAAGGGTGAAGGTCGAGAGTGGGATCGGGGGAAGGTGATGGATGAAGATGGGCATATTGATGTCCGAGCTGCATGGTGATCCTCAATATGCATATCTGATTACTGAGCGTGGCGTTGCATGGTCCTTGGCATTCTATTTTCTTGACTTTCTTCTTTTTCTTCGATACCATAGGTTCGGGGGTCATTTTGCGCTTGTGGCTTTGGGATACAGATACCAGTGATCAGGATGGACATATGACATATGTGTTATCAGACATCAATGCTTCGAAGCATCCAATTCAATATCCTGGACAGGCAGTATGGTTCCTTCTAACTTTAAAAGAGCTAAGTGTTAGAGGAGATCAGAATCTCTTTGGAGAGTGGGGATTTGAGTGCGGAATGACCCCGCACTGGAGGATGGCGATTCTTCAGCCAAACTGACGATATCAGTCATCACCCTACGTTGCTTAGAGATCAAATGGCGTTACCTCCATTTACCGTCAAAAGCCGCCCTGTGCCAACTGATTGATAAGGTTGATGGTCCTCCTCCTTTAAATCTCCAACATACCCTTGTCCTACCGTAAACCCATCCCCTCAACCCCGCACAGCTTCAATCAATCCCATTCCGAATCTACATCCCGAAAACCGCAACCCTCCACAGCAGTTACACAACAATGACAGACCAATTTGCCTTTTCCTATCCCTCTCCACTAGAGGGTTACGAAAACCTCGAGCCGCTCTCCGAGTGAGTGTCACGCGAGCCATCGCCACGATACGCAGCACAACCACAACCTACTGTATGACTACCAGACTAACTAACTATCCGGAAAACCCAGTGAGCGCGACGACGATGGCAAGTCCTTCAAGAATCCCCAACACGGCATCCTCAGCAAATCTTACGAGGAATTCCCCGATCCACTATGCAAAGGTCGCCGCGGTGGCTTCGACATTCACATCTACCATTACCAGGTCAAGCCTCCTCTTCTCTTCGACATACCTTGATCCTTGATCCATCCAAGTCCCGACTAACACCCCAACCAGACAAACCCCGATCAAGTCGCATACGCAAAAGCCCTATGGGAGCGTATCCGGCGCGAATGTAAGTGATCCCCCTCCCCATTCTCTTCAACAAATCCAATCCCAACCCAACTAACAACGCAACCAGTCCCCGAACTCCGCATCTACGCCTTCTTCGACAAACCGATCGGCCCACATCCAGTCGCCATGTTCGAAGTGAATCTATTCACGCCCGCGCAATTCGGCGCCTTTATCCCCTGGCTGGTGATTAATCGGGGACCGCTGAGTGCGCTGGTGCACCCGAATACGACGGAGGATGAGGAGGAGCGGAATCATACGCAGCGGGCGACGTGGTTGGGGGATCGTATTCCGTTGGATTTGAGGGTTTTTAAGTTGATGAAGGAGAAGGCGAAGAGGGAGGAGGAGGAGAAGGTGGAGGGGGGGGGGTTGTAGGTGGCTGTTGGTTAGTGTGGGTTGTGGAGGGGATGGGGGATTAGGTTGGGTTGTTATTTAGCGATAAAAGGTTCGAGTGTTAATTTATCCGCGTTGTGATCTTTAGTGAAGAGATTTGGAGAGGCGAAGTCTTGTCGAGGTGAACCTGTTCAGGCTGGTTATCCGGGCGGGCTGTTATTGGCCAGTTGTAAACTGCGAGAATCAGCTCGGACAGCCACAGGGACATGGAATCCCCAGCAGTCCCTGACAGGATCAGATGTAAATGACTAGAGCTGAGTTAACTGAGTTGATTGTAAATAATAAACACAATAAACCTTGAATCATACTCAACCCTCCATGTTAGCCCACAGTCTCTCTCCTTCTCTCGAATGACCCCGTCAGGAGCACCACCCCATCACCATATCACCAGATCCCAAGCACCACCCTCCTCCAAACTAAATCCAAACCCGCTAATCAACTCACACCCAATCAACCCAACCAGCCGCTAACCGTGTTCTATGCACATGCAGTCCAAAGAAATCAGATCTTCCCCCCGTCGAATCACCAGCTCCATCCCCCACCCCCCGCCCTGGCTCCTGCTCCTGTTCCTCAGCGATCATGTACATTCCAGCCCATCCCTTCGTTCCCCCACGTCCCCCATGAACATGGATATACACCGGAGGGTCGGGGCCGATGTTACCCTCTCAGGTTTATCCTCCTGCAGGTTCGAATGCGCCGTGTTCCCGCAGAGTGATTAGACTCGCTGCTATTGATTTAGCTTGGCTCCTCGGCTTGAATATCGCAGTCTTGCTGTTGGGTTAGGGTGTGATGTGACTTGTAGTCACCCCGAGAGCGAGTCCTTAAAGGGATGGAGTCCGGCTGAAGAGAACTGTGTCTTTTCTAAGTGTTCAATTAATCCTGAGGTAGTACTCTTTCCAAGTCACTCTCCGTAACCTGCAGTCCAGGTTCTCCTGGTGAACAGGCACCACGATCCCCCATCTTGTGACTATACCATGCTAATCCGCGTATAGATAAAGAGTCAACCAGGATAGCCCTCGCAGCTGGGAATTTCTGAACTATCATCCACAAATCAAGCTTTGTAAACTTACTGTACAACCTCTCCACATATCCATCGTTCAACCATGCGGCGCTTGATATCATACATGGCGGCGCTAGCCCCGCTACCAAGCCCTATAGCGCAAGCCACGGCAACCATTCCGTCCTATGTCTACGACTACGGTACGTATCAAAACGCTATCTCTTCCAACCCACGTAAATTCTGACCTTTCTAGCCCCTCTAGTCTGGCTACACAGCCAAGACGCATATCGACCCGGCGATTTACAGGCACTACTTGATCATACCACGCCAGAGGTTAATTGGACCGCCATTCAGGGTGCACCGTCACCCTTGACACTGGATAATCTCGATCAGCTGAATCAGCTGGGAAACACGAGTGTGTATTTGACATCCCATGAGGGTATCGCTGCTAGTCCGGAGCCAGCTTGGTTCCGGGGTATCGCGCCAGATGCAGAGGGACGGATTGGCGATGCCACTGGGTGTGCGGTTATCGTTGTGGACCATGGGAAAGGGAGTGTTGATGCGTTTTACTTTTATTTTTACCCGTGAGTTGAAGCGTTTAACTGATCTCATTGCGAGGGTATCTGTTGGTACTCGTCTAGATTGACTAACCGACCTCAGGTATAACAAGGGTGACATGGTACTAGGTATGGAATTTGGCGATCACGTCGGTGACTGGTACATCTATCCTGGAATCTTTATACTGTGTTATGTTAGCCATAGAGTTAAACTCACCATCCTCCTTAGGGAACACAACATGATCCGCTTCGCCAACGGCACCCCGCAAGCGATATGGTTCAGCCAACACGCCAGCGGCCAAGCCTTTACCTACAACGCCCTCGAAAAGAAAGGCAAACGACCCATCGCCTACTCCGGCAACGGGACACACGCCAACTACGCCGTAAAAGGGTTCGTCCGCACATATCCCTCCCTCCCTCCCACACTAGACTACCACACCCATACCATTATACCATCTCCAATCTAAACCCCCTTTCTCCTTTTTAGCCAACACGACCACACAATCCCAGGCCTAAATCTCCCCACGGGCTTCCTCCTCGACTACACAGACCGCGGCATCCTCTGGGATCCCACTCTCAACGCCTACGCCTACACGTACAACCCCGAAACGGGCGAGTTCACCCCGTCGGACCCGGACGTCCCCGTCGCCTGGTTGCAATTTAATGGCCGCTGGGGTGATGACCAGCCACCCGGGGAGCCGACGATTTTCGGGGAGGCTAAGTATGTTGCTGGACCGGATGGGCCGAGGTTCAAGGGGTTGGATCGGAAGTTGGTGTGTCCGTCGAAGCCGTGTGTTGTGTTGCCGTTTAGGATTTTTGCGGAGTAGAGGGGGAGGGAAAAGGGGGAGGGGATGAGGGGGGGGATTACAGTCCTCACTGGGTATGGATTTAGAGTGGTTGATGGGATCAGTGTGGCTTTTTGTGTTTTGGGTACAGTAAGGAGATTTGTATCTAGGTATAGGAAGAGATTTGGATGGCGAGGTTGTAGGTATACTACCTGTCTGGACATCAACACGGATATATATCACGGCGTTTTCCATCAAGTATAGCTTTAACCAGTCAAGTCACGATTAGACATCTTATCTATCCATAACTTGGGCACCTACTACGTACAGTACTCAATAAATATATATATTTATCTCGAGGATCTCCACCCTCGGTCTATCGCATTCATATAATTACTCCGTATACATTTCACTAAAGCATATGACTCCATCTACCAGTCACATCTTGACATCCCACAAACGCGACTAAACTCGAGCCAAGTAATTATACATACTCCTGTACAGTAACTCGGCAATTCCCATCCTTTCTCATCGCGCGAACTTAAGTCTAGCACTGCTGTGGCACGCGATGAAGTTCTGGACCCACCCGAAGCTCCATAAAAGCCGTGCACGGATTTTGCGAGAGCAGATTGCGATATGTATTATTCTTGGAGGTTCTGTTTATCTGAGGTTGGACTTGAGGTGAATGTCTTGTAGGAGCTCTTCTTGACTGTAAGATGGATATCGAGTTAGTGGTGTTGGTGTTGGTGTTGGTGCGTACGTGAGATGGTGGGTTTATACGTAGTTTTGGTTTTATGGAAGCTAGCCTACAGTAGTTCGCGGTGCTAGACGCGCCCCAAACGCGAAAGTTCCGTGGGTTGTGGGAAGGGTAAGCTTGCGCCACGGGGTTTCCTTTTCTTTTTCGTGTCATGGTTCTACAACAGGGTATTTGATTTAAGACTGTGGATGGTGGTGCTTGAGTTTTGTTAGATGAGTGGCAGAGCTAGCATCGATGTCTCCTAGGGTGGATGGATATATATTCTTGGGAATAATGAGGAGGAATACCTTAGTAACCTCATTCTGCGAGACGAGATATCTCCCCCTCTTGACATTGTAGAAAAATAGGAATGTTACATGCGACCATACCAAGTTAAATCTACCAGGTATATCGAATAGTATATCAATGGAATCCTTTGGCTAAGCAACGTGGTGTTCATGCAGGTTGGAGATCGTGGACATCCCACTTCCCTTCCACGTGCCGAATTTCTCGGGTGCCTCTAGATGCCCCTAGCTTGTTTGATGAGGCTCGTGGGGACCCAGTCTTTCTAGCGCCGAGAAATGGGCAAATTGGCAATCTTATTGGGCTCTTAGCTTCGGAGTTTGGGTACCGGTGAGTGCTAGCAGTTCCTGGCTATGAAAAAGTGTACCGAATGGTACTCCGTCCTTGACTTGGGCAAAGTGGGTTTGGGTTCTTAACTTATCTGACAGTCCTATCTGATCTGCCGGCTGCGACCGGGTTGGAATCCACCGAACGGTCAACACTGAACTGTTTTGGTGGTTCTTGGAGCTGGAGAGGGTGAGAACTAAGGACCTGTTCTTGATAGTCCACTCCCCTCTTTCCTAAATTAGAATTAGGATAATCTTGACCAAGGAAGGAAAGGAAGAAAAAGAAGAAAACCAAGACCAGAGGGCTGATCGCGCGGTGGAGACGTGCAAACGGTCCCGATGTGCACGTGCCAGCTGCCCTTCAGGGGGAACAAGTACAGAGGAAGGATGGTGAGAAAGTAGAAGTCTCCAAGGAGTGATAGTTATACAGGATGGAGTAGAGTCAGCTCCTCATCTCTGTATTCTGTATTCTGTATTCTGTACTCCGTACTCCGTACGAGGTGCAACAGCGTTTGGATGTATCCAGGCCGAACTCCGTCCTCTCGTGTAGATGCCAGCTGAGGATTACGGTATTCTTATTATTCTGACTGTCAGCTCTGGGATCTGGGATTCATCGACAAGCATGTTACCCCGTTCGGGTGTTAGCTGCCCGCCCGCGTGGAACGAACCGTCGTGCTGTCCATCCACACAGCAAGCTCCAAGTGGGGTTGGTCCTCGGGGCGGGGGGCTCTGGACCGCGCTGGGCAATGTTTTTTTTTCCCTCTGGTTTACCCCTGAATCTGAATCTGAATCTTGGGACCGAAACCTGAGACGAAGCCCCAGAAACGAGGCCGAAGAGAGCAATAATAGTAAAGGAGCTTTGGCAAGGAGAACGAGCGTTGGGCAATAATCATGCCCATGCAGTTTGACCCTCTGGAATCTGGATATATGGACTTGGAACCTATCACATTATGCGGTTGCAGTGCGGATGCCGATACCGTGAACATCCCATAATTAAACTTCAATGCGCCCTTGTCCTTCCGTAGTCCGCATCATAAACCTCGCAAGAGTCCACGGCCAATTTGAACTCTCGATTGGTCCGTTGGTGGGCGTCTTTTCTGGCCTGTTCCTCGTTCTCTGCTCGCCCTCATCTCTCCCTCCCTCTCCTTCTCTCTCTTTCTCCTCTATCCTACCCTCTCTCTCTCTTTTTTTTCTTCCATTCTTCCAATTTCTCTCCAAGCGCCGCGAGAATCGGACGCTGTGAGCAGGCCATTTCATCAATTCCCCCAGAAAATACAATACCGACCAAACAAAAAAAGAATACCGGGAAAGGGACAACGTTTGAATACGGAATTTCCCTCTTCAAAGCTCGCCCCTCTCTCCTTAATTTTCTCCCACTCGCCTCTCGTCCTCCAGTAGCGACGTGCCGCGGAACCGACAACCTCACACTGGCTGGGAGCAATTGTCACCTTTGGATCTCACTCTCGCTTTTGTTTTGATTTTTCCCCTGCTGCCGCAGTTGGGATCCCTCTTTTTTTTTTTTTTTTTTTTTTCGTTCGAGTCCGAACTCGAATTGCGACTTTGCGAACCTCTCCGACCTGTTGAAATCCCGCAATCGCATTTCGATCTTCGCCCTCCGCGACCACCAACTACCGGCGCGAGGTTCTTCTGCCCAGTTCGAATTGCGATAGCTTGTACATTTCGGACTATCCGCTCGTTTCCTTTACGTGTATCCTCGGACCCTAGGACATCGATATTGATATAGCGCTGGTATTGTCGCAATTGGCCGCCTAAGCTGGTGCATTCCACGTGAGTTGCCCCCTTACCTGGCGGGATCGGACTCAAGTCTCGGTCCGCACGCGGGGAAAGGTCCAAGATGCTGAATTCAAGTCGAACTGGCAGACTGGACATTTTATAGAGTGCGAGAGACTAACACGAATGGCCTGGGAAATTACAGTGTATCAGATATACAGCATCCCTGTCCCCACCCCCTGTATCAGTCCACGATTATACATTACTCGCCCATTCATTACAAGCAAACCAGCCTGAAACATCAAACGGTCGCACCTTCCCAAGAATGGCCACGCCCACGTCCAGCCGCGCGCCTTCCGATGCCCTGCCTGCCGAAAATGGCCAGGCCTCGCTCGCGGCGCGTCGCACCTCGCTCGGTTTCCTTCGTCGTTCTAAATCCACCGAGCCGCTCGGTGAACGCAAGCCATCCGGCAGCCGCAAGAAGATGTCCAAGACCCAAGCCATGGAAGAGGAACTCCGCCGTCAGCGTGAATCCTACGCCCCCAAGAACGCCCCTCGTTTGCCTGATCTCTCACCCACCCCCCAACTCGAGACCTTTGGAGGTGAAGAACGTGATACCCTCGCTCCCCCCGAGCCCCCTCTGCCTCGTCCCCAATCGGGAATTGTGCCCCCCACCGCGTCTATGAACTCGCCCACTGATGCCGTTGACCCGTACGCTCGCACCGAGAGCATGACCCATCGTGGCCGTTACAGCTATGCCAGCAGTGCGATCAGCACTGTCAACAGCCCCCGTCGGATTCGTCGTCGGAAGGATCCGACTCCCTACAAGTAAGTGGAGACATTTCACATCTTACAATTACCCCAGCAGATCGCTTGACGAGACCCCCATCACCCTAAAATGCAAAGCAAGGACTGATCAAAGTCCACGATAGTGTGCTGGTGGTTGGCGCCCGTAACTCCGGCAAGACCTCTTTCCTCAACTTCCTGCGCAAGGCCCTGACCATGCCCCCGCACAAACACCCCTCACGTAGCCCGGAAGAGCTGGAAGAGTTGGAGCGTCAAACCTCTGCCTATGAAGGATTCACCTCGCAATACTTGGAGACCGAGATTGATGGAGAGCGCGTTGGCCTCACCCTGTGGGATTCCACCGGTCTCGAGCGCAACATTGTGGACCTCCAGATGCGTGCGGTGACTGGCTTCCTGGAGAGCAAGTTTGAGGAGACCCTCGCGGAGGAGATGAAAGTGGTGCGCTCTCCCGGTGCTCGCGACACCCATATCCACTGTACCTTCCTGCTGCTGGATCCCGTTCACCTGGATGAGAACATTGCCGCTGCCGAGCGCATCGCCAATGGAACTCCCAAAGCTACCGATGTCCCCGTGGTCGGTGTCCTGGACCAGAACCTCGACCTGCAGGTGCTGCGCACCATCCTGGGCAAGACCACCATTGTCCCCGTCATCAGCAAGGCGGATACTATTACCTCTGCGCACATGGGATACCTTCGCAAGGCTGTGTGGAACAGCTTGAAGCAGGCCAACATCGACCCTCTGGAGATTCTGACATTGGAGGATCAGGAGGAGTACACTTCGTCGGAGAGTGCAGATGAGGAGGAATCCGTGCAAGGAGAGACCGCCGAGACCCCCGCCGAGCCTACCGAAAAAGCCAGCGAGTCCAAGGAAGACCAAACCGATGGCCCGACCGAGTCAAAGAGTTCAGAGCATCCACAGGAGTCCATCCCCCAGTCGCCCTCGCACCGCAGTCAGCATTCTGTTAGTGCTTCGCCCGCCAACCCGCACGTTCCCTTCTCCATCCTTTCCCCAGACCCGCACTCCTTGGCCTCTGGAGAAGAGCCGGTCGGACGTCGATTCCCCTGGGGTTTCGCCGACCCTTACGATCCCGAGCACTGCGACTTTGTGCGCCTGAAGGATTCAGTATTCAGTGAGTGGCGGGCTGAGCTGCGTGAAGCCAGCCGTGTGATCTGGTATGAGCGCTGGAGAACCAACCGCCTCAACCGTAATGGCCACCCCACGCCGCTGCCATCGAAAAAGTCATATGGAGGTCGCATGGGAGCTAATCACGACGGTCGCCGCACGCGATAAATCAATGAACTCGGCTGTCTTGACCCGGATTACTGACTCTGTTCTGACTCGGTCCACCCTGTGTATCTGATTTGCTTTTTTTTTGGTTTGATTCCTGACCCTCCTGCCTGTTCGCATAGCTTGCAGTTTTCCGCACATACCCCCCCCAATTCTTCTTTTTTATTCGTCTCCGTGGTCGTGTCTCTTCGACTGTGGACTTTCTTTCCATTCCCTTCGTGTCTTCATCTTTTTCTTTTCCCTCCATGTTGTCTACAACTACCACTACAACCACTTCCTGACCTTCCTTTCTGCCTCTTTACCTCTGTCCACTTGTATCTTCCTTTCTGGCAAAATGTGTCACCCTAATTCGGAGTGAACGAATTGTGTACTCAACGCCTTTGTTAAATGTTGCTTCTGTGCTTTGCTTGCGGTTGTCGGCTGTCTAGCTGGTGACTGGGTCTTTGTATTTGTATTCTGTATGTTGCTTGCGTATGATGGAGCCTTGGTGTAGATTGTTAGAGCGTAGTGGGGTTATTTTGTAGTGTTGATCCCGTTCTTGTCCTGTAGCTGGATTGATAACTTGATCTTTTGCGTATTGACTGGGTTGGCAGTCTCTTGTATTGATGAAAAAGATTGTATGTCAACCCTAACACCATTTTATGATCGTATCTTGGTTACGTCCAACAGCTGAACAGCGCCATGTCCCTCGACAGGACGATCGCAAGCCCATCATTTGCATCCAGCCAATCAAAAGACCAGACACGCGGCTATCTTTGGGGGCCATTCACAGCGTGCAGGCCCGTCTCATCGGGCTGGCCGAGCGCCTCGCTGCATGAGATTCCCCGCAGGTAGGGCAATACGAGCAGGCTCACCCAGTCAACTGGCTCCGCCCCTGCACTTACACTGGGGACCTTTCCTGTTTGTCTTTCTCTTTCCCTTTTTCTTACTCTTCCTTCCACAGAGCCTCGTCTCCAGTACCTTTCTCCCGGAGCAGCTTCATGTCTGCGCGATAGCTAAAACCAGCTCTATCGCGACGCAGGTGGGCCACTCCCCCAATTCCCGCGGGTTCCTTATCTTCCCCACCTCTCGCACAGATCGACAAGCGCCAGCCTTGGTCGCAATTTCCAATCAAGGAGGGAGAGAGAGAGCACGTTCTTTGTGTGCCGTAGTGAGGCTGACCCTCGGAGTTGGAGTCTCCAAGACCCTTTTCTACAGAATTCTATACACCCCCCCAAGAGAACCAAGAAGACTGCTATACTTCAGCACAACCCTGGTAAACACATCTCCAATTCCGGCGCGGCAACCACCCCCACTACAAGAGTCAAGAACCCTGGATCGGATCGGATCAGATCACAATGTCCCTCCAAGTCAACGATCCACGGTCGCGCACCCGCTCCAAATCCCCGGGCCGCAGCCGCGAACGGTCCCGATCTCGCGACTCGCGCGCTCCAGATCTGGACGCGAGCCTTGAACCACCACGCTCAAGAGCGCGCTCGCGCTCTCCAGCCGTGGAAATCGCCCCCAAGTCTTCGTTCTCGTCCTCGTCTAACGCCAGGGACTATAATGATGCCCCGCGCACGCGCTCGCCGGTTGAAATCGCGCCTCGCTCGTCGAGATCTGCTGTGGCGAGCCGGGGGTATGACGAGGATGACGAGGATGAGATTGATCGGAAGTATAAGCTGCTGAAGGAGGGGCGGGCGAGGGAGGAGAGGGATAGGGAGAACAATGGGAGGGATGTAATTGCTCGTGTGCCGAGGAGTTCGGGGAGATATGATGTTGAGAGGGAGGATGGCGGGGATGAGGAGTGGAGGCGCCGGAGAAGGAGGGAGGATGCGAGGTTTGAGCATTCGGATGAGGAGGAGGAGGATTTGAGATTGGTGAGGGTGAGGGATTCGCGGGATCCGCGGGATCCGAGGAGTTCGAAGGACTCGCTGAGAGACTCGCGGGATCTGAGGGGTTCAAAGGACTCTTTGAGGGATTCGCGCGATCCGAGGAGTTCGAAGGACTCGTTGAGAGAGTCGCGGGATCCAAGGGAATTGAGGGATTCTTTGAGAGACTCACGCGAGTATACGGGTCGATCGCATCAACGCCGGCCGTCGTCCCCTCCTGGCCGTGACAGTCGATTGGATGATTCGGACGGTGATTCGGACGATGATTCAGACGATGGGCTGGCATATGGCGATAGCCTGGGTAGTCACCCCAGCTATGCCCGTCCGAGTAAGTATCAATATACGCAGCCCACGCAGTTCCATCCATCTCAGTCCGGTGCGCCGCGCCAATCTGCCCATCCAGACCCCAAGTCGTCGGACTGGGCTCCAATTCCCGAGTGTGAGCGGCCGGGCTTTGTGCCGCCAGCTTCGCACCCTTCCTCGCAAGCTGGAGTGCCTTCTACTATGCCGGGTGGCTTCCCAACGGCCTCGACGTATGCGGACATCCCCGCGACGACGGCGCCCTCATTCCCGATGCCGCAATACGCAGGTTTCCCTTCCCAGCAGCAGATTCCATACTCACAAGCTTCGTCTGGTCCATACACCCCGTCGCATTACCGGACTGCTTCCGCTACAGATGCCAGTCATCCAATTCCAGGACAGTATGCGCAGCCGGTCCAGTATCAATATGCGAATGTCGATCCCAATATTCGATACACTTCGAAAGCAACCCCGGTACAACCTTATACTGCGTCACCGGAAGAACAGTTTGCGAAGCCGCATGAGCAGTTCACCAAGTCGCGCGAGTCCCAGCCTGTGTACCCGTACAGGTATAGCAATGAACCGCAGTTTGTAGACAAGCCGCCCCCGCAATCACAGCAGCAGCAACCCCAGCACCAGCAACTTCAGCCTCAGTATGGGCATGGGCATAGTCACCAACAACAGCCGCAGCAACTGGTGGAGATCACGCCTGGTAGAGGACGCGGCCGGCCGCATAGCCTGTCTGTCTCATCGGCGAACAATCTCGCGGTTGCAGGCACTCATAGTCTACACGCTGGCCATCCCCCGGCTAGTCCGCTGTTGGAGGCTTATCACGGCACCTACCAGTCGATCTCGCCCATGCCGTCTCCGATTGTCATGCCTGCACACGATGATGACATCTCTGACTTGGAGCCACTGGACGGAGGTACTTCCAACTCCGAATCAGGACGCCGTAAGAAACACACCCGGTCCAAATCCTCGATCAGCGAGAAGGAAACACGCCACCGCAGCAGCAAAGAGAAGATCAAGGAAAAAGAAAAGGACCGCGACGACCGCAGCAAGGATGACAAGCATCGTATCCGTCACGACCGCCACGACTCTACCACATCGATCGACCGTGACCGTGAGCGCGAAAACATAGTCGTCATCTCGCCCACGTCCGGCCGTAAGCGCGTCTCCTTCTACGACGCTGGCGCCGATGCCACCGACATGCAAAACGCACTTAACCACCGCACCATCGACAACAAGACGATCATCCAAATCCTCCCCCGCCTAACAAGCGACGAGGTCCTCCTCCTACGCGCCGAATACAAGAACCGCGTTAAAATGCACGGCAAGGGCATCAACCTGGCCAAACACCTCCGTCTGAAACTCGGCACCTCCTCATTCGGCAAAGTCGCCTACGCCACCGCCCTCGGCCGCTGGGAATCAGAAGCCTACTGGGCAAACTGCTACTACCAAGCTGGCACATCGCGCCGCGAGCTCCTCATCGAGTCCCTCATCGGCCGGTCTAACGCCGCCATCCGGGAAATCAAGTCCTGCTTCCGGGATACCCGGTACAATGACAGTCTGGAGCGGTGCATGCGATCTGAGCTCAAGGCTGATAAATTCCGGACGGCGGTGTTGTTGGCGCTCGAGGAGCGGAGACAAGATGAGAGGGAGCCCGTGGATGCGAGGTTGATTAAGCAGGATGTGGGGGATTTGCATCGGGCGCTTGTTTCGAAGGAAGGTGGGGAGACGGCTATGATTAATATCATTGTTTTGAGGAGTGATGCGCATCTGAGGGAGATGTTGCGCGAGTACGAGGCGGTTTATCGGGTGAATTTTGCCAGGGCGATGATTGCCAAGTCGAGGAATTTGGTGGTACGTTTTTCTTCTTTGCTACGCGGGGGGGTCTTTTTTCTCATTCCCTTCTCTTGTTCTTTGTCCTTTGTTCTCCTGGTTACTAATTCTCCTATTTTGTTGTTTCCTTGCAGGGCGAAACACTAGCCCACATCCTAAACGGCGCTATCAACCGCCCTATGCGCGACGCCCTCCTCCTCCACCAAGCCGTTCGCGAATCGCGGACTGGTCGCGAGCGCTCCGAGTTGCTGATTTCCCGGCTGGTGCGGTTGCATTGGGAGCCGCGGCATCTGGAGCAGGTTAAGGCTGAGTATCGGAGACGGTATGATGAGCGTCTGGAGGAGGCGATTGCTGAGGAGGTTATGAGTTCGACTGGGAGTAGTGAGTGGGGGGAGTTTTGTATTGAGTTGGCCAGGAGTTCGGCATGAGCTGGGGTGGAGAGTTGTTATAGTTGGGATGTGATATTGGGGGGTGTGGTATGGTTTCAGGGTCGGTGGGTTTATGGTTGTGGGTTAGAGATATGTCTAGTAGATCTGAAAGACTAGTCTGGCTGGGTGGGGTTGACACAGGATAGTTTGTATGTTGTATGTTCTTCATTGTATGTGATATTGATATGATGGTTATTGAATAGTATGGAGTGGAAGATGTAGACTATCTCAGAACCGCAGTACTCAATTGCATTAATCGGGGCAGTAAGTGTGAGTTCGATGAACGGCCTACTTTAGAGTAGAGGACCTCTGGCTAAAGTGATTACTGAGGGGGAAGATCAGTGGTTTGATATCGTAGCTAATTATCTTGGCTCACTGGCTAGTAGCTTGAAAAATAAATCTACGCGGTTTGTCGTAGGATGTCTTATGTACAGCTCTGCGGCTCTATACATGTCACTCTGGGCTGTGGTCTCTTCTATTTACATATCAACGAAGCCTTGCATATCGACCCTTTTCACTCATACTTCAGAGAGGACGCATAAAAGACGGTAAAGAGAGAAATAGAGTTGAGCAGAGCAAATCATCACCCTGATAGGAGCGGTGAGCATGAACTGTTGTTCTCCATAACTCCCAGACATGATCTACTCTTTCCGCTTTCTGCTTTTGCTCTGATACTTGAGGGCTTATTTCCTTGCAGCCGAAGATATGACAGAGAATCAATCCGTGGGTTCGAGTTAGTCGATAAAAAAGAAAAATTTTCTATCGTTTGCTCTCCAAAAAACTTAGGCATATGAGTATATAGCGAGTACTTTGCTTCTTGTCGTGCGCCACTTGGTGTTTAAACTCCCATGGGTCCTGGGTTCAGGCCTCCGGGGTATGCACGACGACCTATGACCTTCATGCACGAGGTCGGTGATCAACGAAGCCAAGACGAAGAGATCGACAGACGACATGGACAGTCTCGTGCCTTATGCTCGTGGGAAGAGAATGACAGAATGCAGATGAAGTGCATATGCTGTACAGTATTCCTTACACTGTGCTGATCGACCTCGCTGGCACACGGGCACGAGAATATCCACGTTCTGGGTACGCTCTCAACATGGCAAGCTGCAGTGGGCAAGGGGGAGGTCATTCGTTCAAACTTCACACTTCAAACTTCAGTGCTACCTCAGAAAAAGACAAATGGGATATGTGGAACTGCGGGGTTTGTGGGCATGCTGAGCGAGCTATGTGGGATTCATACTCCAGGACTCGGCAAGAACGGGGAATGGCTGGGCTAGCTTGGCTGGGGGGTTTGGTTTTGGGAGTAATATATTAGATTGCCGAGGGTGCTTTTTACTAAATTATTCCTGGTCAGTAGGAGAATAGATGTTTAGTAGCGAGTGCTACTGTGATATTGTATCACGGTTTAATATCGGTGCAAACACTTGATCCAGGGCTAGGAGGTCGATGTACGCCGGTGACCTGCAGATAGACTAGAGGCATATACTCTCGCATGGAGTTTTTGGTTGGCTAGTTGAATGCTCTAGAGACTCAAACTGATTACATCGCTTAATTAAAAGAACAAGCATCTAAAAACCACGGTGCAAAGCTACCGTATATACTCCGTACTCCGTTCCAAGACAGTCCCAGTGCCGCCCCCACCACACCGTACATGTTTAGGTGTTACATCGGTAGTCAGCCACATTTGCCGGTGCCGCCTCTTATTTAAACTCTGTACCAATGAAAAGTCTCAAGTTAACTCTCAAGGAACGCAATCTACGGAGTACCTGAAAGTAAACGGGATTGTTAATGAGGGGGAAAGGAGAGAGTCCACTACAACACTACTGGACTTGTCCCTGATTTCCCCTGAGCTGAGAAATTTGACCTATCATAAGTGATGCCAGTAAGGAGGTCTCAATAGTCTGATGGATCGGCGGTTAAGCACAGTACCGGATACTTGGGTAAGCGACGCAAGCTGGAGTGTAAGCTGAGGGGGACTGGCAAGTACCGAGTACTTGGGCTGCGGTTCTCCGATCGGCCTTCTCCCGAAGTGACGTTTGGCTGTGAAGTTCATCAGCTCATCCCTGCAAGGGGAGGCTTTGTGATTTGAACACTCGTGAGAGACCGTGCCACCGCTTATCTACACTGCTGGAGGTCCCCACGATCCCTGGTTTTGTGTCGCGATACGCGATTCATGTATACTTTGGCAGGCATGAATTCGGTGTGCAAGTCAAAGGCATTTCAAGCCCTCCGTAGCTGGGATATTAGTGGAGGAGGTTTATTGAACCTGATGGGATCATTCGGGCGCCTCTGCTGATCATTATTTCCCCGCAGACTCGGGCACTCAATATTGGACCCGATGGATTTGGGAAAGGAAATTAAGAAATGACCATGCTGAGTCCTTCAAGCCGACAGCCGAGGAGGACAGTAGAGTATGTCCAGTACCAATGTAGTAAATCTAATAGAGGGGGTCTATACAGTATGATAGGTGGAATGATCGTTGACTCTTGTTCTTCTTGTAGTTTGTTAAATTTCCGATGTTCTTATTGCCTAATAACCATGAGAGGGGGGTGTGCATGTGTATGGCGGCCGATTGCGACCACCAACCAAAAAACCCACTTTCGAGGCAGAAAACTGGCATGAATAACTACTGACTGATATTGACTAACTACTCCAACAGGATCTTAATTAACCATCTAATTTCGGTAAGTCAAATAACGACTAGGGCATCCATTTCTGCCTACATAAGCTTACACTTAAGATGGTTGAGAAGATGACTGAGATCACTGAGATGACTGAGAGGACTGAAAGGGGCGATATTCGTTGATACCTACGGTCGTTGGAGATCACACTGAATTACCTAACTAGGAAGTAGGATGCGTCTAGGCCTGAGGCATAGGTAAGGATGATCAATAGGGCAGTCAAATAATGTAGATGTCTAATAAGGGGCTTCTGGCCAGTGGCCGCAAAGTAAACGCCGTACCGGTGTCCGCCTGATGCTATCACGGAAGCCTCCCCAACGTGCTTTCCCTCGGATCGATATACAAAACCACAATACTCTCGCGAGCCAGAATGGAAACTATCAACATGGGATGGAAAGCGTATTGGGGGAGCGTGACTCTCCTCTTCTACCTCTCTTCTTCTTTTCCTTCCCTCCATCTTCAACTCCCTCCGCTTTTCCTCCCATCGCAATCGATCTGACTCACGCTCGTTCCTCCACAGGCTTATTTCTTTATTTCTTATTTGCGCCATCCCGTGGGCTTGCTCGCTCAGTCACCTGCAAGATTGCAGCCAAAGGCTAACCCTTCTCCAGTTCGTTGAGCGCCACTGGGTCGATCCCGCATGGGCCGCTGCTTGTTCCATGCGACCTGATGCCTCTTGCCCTGATTCAGTCTCCTCCTTGACCGCGATTCTAGTTCGGAGTTGACACTCGACTGGATTTGGATCTCTAGTTGGATGTGTCGGCCTTGTGAACGGTAATTCCCCGGGCATATTTCCCTTTCTGGTTGCTTCTTCTGTCCTGTGTTCTCTGACCTGCCTTGATCCTCCTCCCCCTTGTCATCCTGAGCCCTAACTGGCTGTCCTCCCTGTCCACATCCATGAGAAAAAAAAAGTGATATCCTCTCCACCTCCCTATTTCACCACCCCTCACATCTACCCTTTCCCTCCCTGGCCATATGGCCAAATTATCCGCAGGGTTCTCCATCTCGGTCTTCGGAGTGCTGGCGATGATCAGCCGACGTGCTCGCTCGGAACTTTCGCTGAACACATGCAGGTCTGCTGCTCGATGCAATCCCCATCTTCCACACGCTAAAACCCAATCTCGATTCTGGCTGTGGAGGGAGCATTCTGGCATGTGGGCCCGGATTGGTTTTGCTGGGCGCGACCCCCTCTCCTCCTGGTCTCGTTGATTTAAGGGCTCGACTATAAAAATGTCCCTGACATTCCAGTAAACACAACGTCGATCTTTTCCTCGCGACCCCCTCCGTCAAAGCCAGTCCACAGTCTAGCTTATCTTGGTAGCTCTCTTGTCTCTCCTTCCTCTGGACTCTCGACTTTCCTTTTTTTGCTGCTTCTTCTATCCTTCAGTTCAAGATTTTAGTTGACAATTGTATTCTTGCATCGAGCAGATGCTCCTGGGTTGATCGTTTCGATCCCGTCCAATCCTTTGTTTTGTTTTATTTTATTTTATTTTTTTCGTTTTCCTTGAACTACCGGCATGATGCAGCTGTGGCATCTGAGTGTGTTGGTATCGTCTTTCGTCGTCGCTATTGGGGCCCAGTCGACCTTTACACCGGCTCGACCTCCAGCCCTACCGTTGGCTGTCAAGTCACCATACCTGAGCACCTGGTTGAACGCTGGCAGTGATGGTGGAAATGGCGGATATCTGGCGGGCGAATGGCCCGTTTTCTGGCAGTATGTTCTATTGTATTGAAATCGCGGTTGTGGAGAAGTACTAACAATTGACAGGAACCAAATCACTGGATGGTGTGGTTTGATTCGCGTTGACGGCTCTACCTATACCTGGATGGGTCTGCCCGGCACGACCACTGTCACACAGACTGCTTTCGAGTATACATCAACAAAGAGTATCTTCACCATGGACGTCGGCGGCAAGGTTGAGATGAACATCACTTTCATGTCCCCGATTACTCCCGACGACTTCATGCGCCAATCTCTTGTGTTCTCCTACTTGAATGTTGAAGTGTCGTCATTGGATGGCAATGAACATGATGTGCAGGTCTATGCGGATATCTCTGCGGGTGAGTTTGCAAACAAGAAATCAAAAGAGACTGCAGCAGTGAAATGTTGAAAAGGTTTCTAACTTGATCTAGAATGGGTTTCCGGAGACCGCAGTACCACTGCGCAGTGGGACTATGGTACAGCCGACGGCGTTGCATACCACAGAGTGTACCGACAGACCCAGCTTGCGTTTTCCGAAATCAATCAGCAAGCTGAATGGGGTTACTGGTACTGGTCCACTGATGCCGCCGACGACATGACCCACCAGTCCGGTCAAGATACCGTTGTGCGGGGGCAGTTCTCGTCCAAAGGTGCTCTGACCAACGGAGCCGACACCAAATACCGTGCCATCAACAATGCCTGGCCCGTGTTTGGATTCTCATCCAACCTTGGCACTGTTGATTCGAACCCCGTCGGTACGCTGTTCTCCCTGGGATTAACTCAGGATGAGGCTATTCAATATGAAGGCTCCTCCGGCTATGCCCCTGTACCATCCCTCTGGAAGAGCTACTTCGACACCGATGTGGATGCAGTTACATTTTTCCATAATGATTTCAGCGAGTCCAGTTCTCTGGCAAGCTCATTCGATAGCAAGGTTGCGACGGACTCTCTGGCTGTCGCTGGCGAGGATTATCTCACGCTTACTTCCCTTTCAGCCCGACAAGCTTTCGGTGCGACCCAGCTTTGCGGTACAGAGAGCAAGACCTATCTGTTCCTGAAGGAGATCTCCTCTGATGGAAACATGAACACTGTCGACGTTGTCTTCCCTGCGTACCCCATCTTTTTGTACTCGAACCCAGAATTGTTGAAGCTAGTTCTTGACCCCCTGTTTGAGAACCAGGAAGCTGGTCATTATCCCCAAAGCTACGCCATGCACGATCTTGGCTCGAGCTACCCCAACGCGACGGGTCATAACGATGGTAATGATGAGGCCATGCCCCTAGAGGAGTGCGGAAACATGATCATTATGACCTTGGCGTACGCCCAGAAGGCCGGAGACACTGACTTCTTGGACACCCATTACACTCTTCTCAAGAAGTGGGTGAACTACCTGATTGATGAGGCGCTGTACCCGGCGAACCAAATCTCTACCGATGACTTTGCTGGATCTCTTGCGTGAGTACTCAAAGGCCCTCTTTTCTGTGATGATTTCGGCAACTGACCGACTGGATTAGCAACCAAACCAACCTGGCCCTGAAGGGAATGATCGGTATCCAGGCCATGTCCGTCATTGCTAAGGAGACTGGTCACGCGGCCGATGCTGCCAACTACTCTAGTATTGCCCATAATTACATCAACAAATGGCAGAGCCTGGCCATTAACAAGAACGTGACCCCGGCCCACACTACTCTGTCGTACGGAGATGAGAACAGTCACGGTAAGCTGCAGGCCCACGAGACACTCCCCGTGTTAGTCGGCTAAACATTTCACAGGTCTGCTTTACAACCTGTTCGCCGATGCCCAGCTTGGCCTGAACTTGGTACCCCAATATGTCTACCAGATGCAGAGCGATTTCTACCCGACTGTCGCTAACAAGTATGGTGTTCCTCTGGACACACGCCATACCTACACCAAGGGTGAGTCTAAACCCGGAATATCTACCCATGAACCAAGATGATATTAATGCGGAACTAGGTGACTGGGAGTGCTTTACAGCGGCTATTGCCTCGGCTGATACCCGGGACATGTTCATCAAGACCCTGGCCACATGGGTTAACGAGACCCCGACCAACCGGCCCCTGACTGATCTTTATGACACGGAAAGTGGAAAGTACGTCATATCGAAATACTTCCTCTTGAACTTCCATTGACAAATTTTTAGTTACCCGCCAACCACCTTCGTTGACCGCCCTGTGGTGGGTGGTACCTTCGCACCTCTTCTCGTCACCCAGTAAAACGGCCTTGCTTTCGCTTCTTGTGAATTCATTCTTATATAATATTCTTTTTAAACCGTCTCCGTGTTGGAACCTCCTGGAGAGCAGCACTCGTTTGTCTAGCTGGCTTGTTTCATTTTCAAGCTTCCCTGAGACTATGAGCCCAAGGAGGTTGAACTATGACGCGTTGGGCGTCATCCACTCGCTGTGCTGTGGTGTTACAAGCGTGTGATTCTGTTGCTTCGCGCCCTGATACCCATCTATAGTGCTGTTGTGCGTGTGTTGATGGTCCTGAGTTGCATTTTTTCTGTGTCGATGCCTTGCATGGTGAAGGTGGGTTGGAGATAAGGTTGTGAGGGTTTGTGTATACCCAACGTACCTACCTACCTTTCGCTTCGTTCCAATCAAGCCCTTTTCATTGTTATGACTCTGTAACAATAATGTAACTGGTACCATCGCGATGAAGACATGTGATTCGTCCGATATTGGGATGCGTGGGAAAGCTCGAGATGAAAGCTATGAGAAATGATAAATCTATGATATGATTCATGGGCTTGTTCATTTCCTATGGTGTTGTTATGTAGTTCATTCTGGTTGCATGATAGTCCAAAATAGCTTTATCAAATTCCCTGAACCGACCATGGCTTCTTGGGGTTCTAGCTTGTCACGATAGGGACATGGAACCTATCACCAAGTAGGCCAAATTTGACCAGCGTCGATTCCGCAAGTCTTTCTATATTGCAATGAAATGATCATGACATATATACGGTGACCAATATTCACAAGATGACTCAATAGTCAAGTGAATACACCGAAAATGGTCACTTTTTACGCAGACTCCTCGTCCCAATTATCAAAGGAGCGGATGAGATCTAGCCACGAAACATTGTTAACGAAAAAGCCTGCCTAGAATCGAGACTGATGAGAGAAATAAGCTTACCATAGTACAGCATCATACCCTCCAGATGCACATCCAAACGGATCCGCTCATCCACAGTGTGGATGTTCAGGGTCCCACCCTGGCGCGACGGGCTCCACCGGTAGATATTCTCCGAGAGAGACCAGTAGAAGCGCGTATCGGTGTTACCAGTCATAATATCACCCGTGACGACGACTGTCGGTGTAGATTCAGACTCAGAGCCAGTCTTGGAACTCAACGGGTTAGAGTGCGACTCGAAGACGCTGCGCGCCACGCCGGAGAATCGCGCCCAGGTCTTGGATGTCAGCGGGTCGGTTGGGGAGATGGGCGCGGGGCTCAGGGCCTCCATGAGCGGGGATAGAGTGAGGGTGCGGTCGCCGGATCCGCCGAATTCGTCGGCTGTGTTGGCGACGCCGGGGAAGTCGATGTGTAGGGTGATGTTGTGAGCGGCGGCGATGGGGCGGATGATACGGACGGCGCGCTCGCGGAGTTGGTCGGGTGTCATGTGCAGTGCCACGCGGTAGTTTACGACAGCGGAGATTTTCTCTGGCAGAGCGTTTGTCTTGACGCCGCCGTTGATGAGGTCGGCGGCTTGGGAGGTTTGCAGGGTGTAGCGGACGGCGGGACCGCGAGATGAGGCTACTGCTTCACCGAGGGATTCGGCGTCGCCCTCGGCCAGTTTGTCGGAGAGCCAGGACTCGACGAAGTTGGGCGAGTATCGGGCCTGGCACTCGAGCATACCGTACGAAGGGTGCGATGGGTCCAGACGAGGTGAGAAGAGCTCCTGTCGCTCCAGCTCGTAGATGATCTCGGCCATCATGCCAATGCCCGTGTGTGCGGGTGGAACAGAGCTGTGGCCTCCGGGGACGGCGAGTTCCAGGACGAGATCGAGACTGCCCTTCTCACCGACACCGGGCAGGGCATACAGAATCTCATTGTCATCACCGAGGTTCTGCAGACCCATACCACCCTCATCTAGGATGAACTCGAAACTATCCTTGCCGTATCGCTCCTCGAGAGCTGCAGCAATTGAACCAGCACCCAAGAAACCGTGCGACTCCTCGTCAAAGCCAAAGGCTAACAAGACAGTGCGCTGGGGCTTCCATTTTTGCGAGAGGAGATCCTCGACGATGGACAGCAGTCCGATCAGGACATTCTTGCAATCGCTCGAGCCACGGCCCCAGATCCACTCGCCGTCGAAAACGCCCGCGAAGGGCGGGTGCGTCCAGTCGGAGGGATCGTCAATGGGGACGACGTCTTGGTGTGCCATGAACAGAATGGGCTTGCGGGTGGTATCGGCACCCTGAAGCGTGAAGACCAGGCCGAGTCGGTTGATATGCTCGACCTTTGCCTTGGCGTGACTGGTTGGGGTATTGGATTAGTCTCGCTGCTCTTATGGGATAGTTTAGTCTGATTTGGTGGGCTGATTGCTTACACCAGAGGGAAGAGTTCTTCCAATAGTGCTTGGAATTCTACGATGGGCTCAAAGGACTCGTCGTATGGGTCCGTTGCGAAGTCGCCAACGGTGGTGGGCACCTGCACCGCCCGTGATAACCGCTTGGCCTGGCGGGCACGAAAGGCCTCATCTTTCAAGAAGGTCAAGGATGAATGGAGTCCGTCATTGGGAGAGGCTACTTTGGGTGCCTGTGGACAAGTCTCGCGAGCAGAGGGCACGAGGGCTTCGAGTCCGTGGGCGATGCTGCCAGGAAGCAGCACTTGTTGGGCGGGGATGCCCAATGCCAGTGCAGATGGCACCGAGGCCAGTCCGAGGAGAGCCAGTCCTTTCATGATTGTCAATTAAGCACTGAATTTATCTGTTGGAGTGTTCACCAGACTCGGCCAACTCTTGGAGAGTAGTTGAAGATCCAGGCGAGCAGAGTCGAGCGATGGCGTTATGTTAGCTTGCATATCGTTTTTATCGTCCTCTTTCTCCTCTTCGTCTTATCTTTCCCCCTCACGCTTTTCCCTCGGCCGAGCGGGCTCAGCCGCGTTTTTACCGCAACAGGAAGCGATCTCGTTGGAGGTTTGCCGACGTGGTCGGCAAGAGGATACGAAGATATGTGAGATCATCGTGGAAGTTCGCCTCGTTTTGCAGTCTTCTAACTTCCAGTTCAGATTGTGTCGCAAAGAACATCTTTGGCTGACCTTTCAGGCAGGGCACAGCATGGGCTGACTCGGCACAGCCCGAAATGGAGAAGCAACGGCCAAGCCGTGCCCAACCAGTGGAACCAAGCGGAAGAAGCGAAGAAAACAACGTGGATCCTCAGGAACCAGGGCTTGTCCCAGGGTTTGAACCGAGGCTGGTTCCAACGAATCATCATTCAAATCTCTCTTGAGAGCGCCATTGACTCATGATAGCCCTACTGAACACCCATGGGTTTGGTAACAAGCGTCAAGGGGCTTTTTTTCCTGCGCTACTAGTCATCTAATAATGAACCCCTTCGGAGCTCCTTGACTGGCCGATCATCAACAGGGCTGCCAATACAGGAGGAGGCCAGGAGGTGAAGCTCAAAAATGCAACACCTCGAAATCCCCACACTGCGCCACCCTCCCCGAACCAAACGAACGCACAAACAGCTTCCAGTGGTAAAGGGACCCTCTCCGGAGGTTGGGAGCTTCTGACGGGGTTTCAGGTTGAACCAATGATGATGACTTGTCAGGGGAACCCGTCAAGTCCCTGCCAAGATGCTACTCGAAACCAACGACATCCCCATCCACTCGTCCACTCTGGGGATGTCGATCGGAGCGATCAACGCCACCACGGCCAATGAGCCGTCGGCGCAGAGTTCAATAGAGCACCCGGTTAGTGTTTCAGAGTTGATTGCGCGGGTTCGCAATGACATCGTTCTCTGGTTATCATGCTGGTCTCCATAAAAATAATGGACCCTTGGAGGGTTCCCCGGGGGCCAAATGAACGAATCTGTCAGCGCCGGATTGCAGTCTCTTAAGTGAAACAATTCGGACCCTTTTCTGTCTCTCGTGTGTTTATTTCGGATTACCAACTCTCGCTCGTTGTTGGTTTCGCACTTTCACTGCGTCCTTCATTATTAACTTGCTCTCCATCTATCCTCGACATTCCTCTGTATGCGACTCTCTCAAAGACCAACCTCCAAGCTCGTCACTAGTCTATCCGAGCATTGATCCCCACACCTTCACCGAGAAGGAAAATACACACGCGACGTTGATTCCAATTTTTTCTCACTCAAACTTGTCCCTTCAATCGCCACTATGCGCACACAGCACATCCTCGCTACTCTCGCCCTTGCGCTGCCAGCCTTCGTGAGCGCATCCTCCGCCTACACCAAGCTTGGCTGCTATTCCGATGTCCCCGATCTAAAGGGCGACTCCACCAACAGCTACCAGGCCTATGGCGCATGCCTGAACTCGTGCTCCAAGGGTGGATACAAGATTGCCGTCCTGAGCAAGGGCAACCACTGCGCCTGCAGTAATGCCGTGCCACCAGACTCGGCCAAGGTCAGCGATGATAAGTGCAACACGGCCTGTCCCGGATATCCCACGGACTATTGTAAGTTTCTCCATGACATTGCGTGTGGCAGATCCACATACGTACAAGTATTTTTACCACAAGGCTAATCACTTCCTCGTAATAGGTGGCGGCGACGACGTCTACATGGTCCTCAGTACCGGCCAATATGTCGTCTCCGAGTCTGATGGCGGCGCAGCGACGACACCAACCGCTGCCACCGCTGCGGGTGGTATCATTGTTGCTGCGACAAACGTTAACCCCACCACCGTCCCGACGAGTATCCTGACGGCACCGGGTGCCATGATCACGAAGGCTGGTGTCAGCGGCGAAGCATCTAGCTCTGCAGCTGCCACGGCCGCTAGCTCCAGCGCCTCGGCCTCACCTACTAGCAACGCTGCTGTCTCTCTGCGCGGCGGGTCATCGATGGCTGGATTGCTAGTTGCTGGTCTGGGTCTGCTCCTGTAAAGGGCGGAGATTTGGATTTTCATTTGTACCGTTTCCAACCCCTTGTACTGAATACTCAATGATTCCCTTGTATGTCTTTTCGGTGATGGAAATATCGCTTATTAGGCACTGACGGCTCAGTGCAACCCGCGGGCGGGCCTCCAGATGGTTGTGGGATGGCTGCTTTGGTGATTAATTGGGCTTATACCTCCGTTTCTAACCCCAGTCGAATAATAGACTGCCTCGAATGGACTTCGATATCCTTCGGCATCAGATACTTAATTCAAAATCAATTCTCGAATATGAAAATTCTCGGAAACCGGAATACACGATAAACCAGTCTGGATCAAATTCATACCGGAGAAAGCCTCACATCTACTTATAACCCCGTCAAGATCACCTTCCTTATCAGTAGCCAGCATATCGGCATCATTGTGTAGATCCGAGGCGGACTGATATTCATCGATATTTTTTTAGAATTTCCCTCCCACGCCCCCTTTGTAAGCTCAGATCTGTCACCTCAAATCTGATATGAGATATTAGAATAAGCCTCGAAGAGATTGCCTTGAAGCTTGCGAAAGCACCTTTTTGACAGGGTTCACGAGGACTTGAGCCTTTCCACAACCCGCGCTTGGGCAGCATCGATCACAGTCGATGAAACGAGTTGACCATTCTTGGAAACAGCACGCAATAATCTTCTTGCATGCTTGAACTCGCCTTCGATATCGTTTCCTGTTGCTATATTGAATCAGGAAAAATCAATGGGAGAAGATAAGTGGGGATCATACCACCAGATTGATCTGGGATTTGTATACGCAAGTTGTTACAATACTTCAAGGAAATTGGTTCGGATCGCAGGTCTCGGCTTGATTGATTATGTGGTGATTAAGCCTGAACTCAGCGGGTAATGAAAATGTTATATATGTGCAATAGGAAACTCAAAGTATCAACATTGAAAGCGAAAAAAAAAATATGTGCATAAGCCGCTGGGAACGTTGAAAGGGTATACGAGCGAAAAATAGAGGAAAGAACAAAATGATCGACAGCAACATCATTACTCCGACACATCAAAAACGTGAACTCGGCAGAGGCCAAATTGAAGCGATCCGGAATTAAACCAAATCAGCCCGTGACGCGGTCGAAATTGAGTGGTAATGGTTGACCGCTCCTATTGGTGACTATGTTAGCTAGAATCATGGCAAGTGAGCAATCTGGGTAATAGTACCTAAGGTATTTTTGCTTGATATTCCGTGCGCGGTCCTTCATATTAACTTGGGTTCGACCAGTGAGCTGAGGCCCCCCATCAGAGGCAGGACAAATTGAATCCTGTCGCTGGATGGCCGCCCATTGAGTGCCGTGCCGCGCAACAAGCATGATAAGGCGTTCATCTTCTTCTGGGCTCCACCTTCTCCGACTGGCGTGGCCAGTAATCGAGATGATAGGTGGCTGAGGTGAAGGACGGGAGACAGAATTCTCCGCATGCCAACGAGACTCGCGGCGAGCCGTGGTGGGACTTGGAGCCTCTGGTCTTGCCTCCTGGAGCTGTTGTTGGCTGGCGGCCAAATCATCAAGTAGCTGTTCTGCCGGGCTAGAGTCCTCATTGGTGACGCGCTGCCGCTTTTCAGTTGGACGTGCTCGTTCGGGAATCTGGGCTCTGCGTTGGGAGATGTTATGGCTGCGGGTATCCCGATCAAAGTCATCGTCATCATCACTCGCCTCGTCGTCTGAGTCGCCACGGCCGCGCTTGCGAGATGGTCCCTGACTCGTAGGAGGTGGTGGCATGGTCGTTTGCTTGGCTGGCTCACGTGGTCTCTCTGCACTTTGAGACTCCTCAGAAACCCCGGGTGAGAAAACGACCCTCGAGGCATTCGCCTGCCGATCAAAGATAGAACGACGCGGGGATGAAGGCTTCGCCCGAGCCGCCGATGGACTATCAAAGAATCGACCCGGGTAGTGGCTGACTCTGTTAATTCGCTCAGAGCCGCGGGGGCTGGCAGACATGACCGCTTCACCTGGTTGATCAAATACCAGATCGTCATCAATCGGATTAAAGGCAGGTTCATCATCCCGTGTAGCTGAACCTATGTGTTGGGGGGACGTCGGCCGATGAGGGGAAGACTCGGGCTCGGGAGTTCCTGCGATTTCGTCGCGATCTGCAGTTACGCTCATGCCCCGAGGGGAATCTGGGAGGACAGCCGCTTTTCCTTTTCCAGCAGTGATGGGCTGTGATTCCAATGAAGCCAAGTCTGTCTGACGCCCGATGTTAAGGGTCTTCGCAAGGAAGTCCATGGCATCAGCGGTACGCCAAATACTAGGAAAAAAGGTCAGCAATGGCAGAGACAAGGATTCGAATCGTAAACATACCCTTTGGCGGATTTCCGCCTACTTGGAACTCGCTGGGGTGACGGCTTCGGTGCTGGCTCTTCAGGAGCTGGCCTTGCAGACTCTGCTTCTTGAGGGGCTGGTTCTTCATTATTGCCTTCTGGATAAGCTGGCCCTTCACCGGGGCTTTCGTCGTGTTCGGCTCTCCTGTCTTCCAACTCCTCGCCTGACCCTTCATTCAATGTGGCGGAAGGTTCTTCATGATCAGATTCTACAGGCATTGAACGGTCTGGTGATCCGGCAGCATTTGAGTCCGCCCGACGATTGATCGCTTTTATTACCAAGACTTGCACATCCTCGATCTTGGGCTGAGAGGCGATCGTGGCCTTGAACTCCTGCTCTCGTAGCTGGACGAAGCGTGCAACACGCAGACAGAACCGGCGCCAGCTAAAGATTGTCTTCAGACCCTTCAGATTGAAATTGTCGTCGTCATCGAAGAGAGAAGTCTCCAGCTCATCGATCCGTACACTAACCTCGTCATGCATACTATCGGGAAGACAGCCATTCTCATCTTCAAAGGTCCCGGGAAGGTTGAACCCCCGAAGAGAGCCAGGGTCAGGGGATGGGTCGTTTGAATCATCCAGCGCAAGGTCGTGGTAAAAAACAATTTTCAGGATGGTTTGAGGATTGAACCCTTTCTCGCTTTGACGTTTCTCAAGTTCTGCGATGAAGAACTGCGTTCGAATCTCAAGAGCCAGATCAACAGTGGCCCTCAGTGCGCAGCTTGCGCCACCAGTCAGTTTTTGTTTAGGCCGGAGCATTTGCCTCATGAAAGGAGCCGGGAATTGTCTATCGAGATTCTCGATTGCTTGCACCTGTGTTTGGGAGCCGATCGCGGCGGAAAGTGTGGTCAGTGCCAACCAAGCACAATTTGCTCGGTAAAGGTACGGCCGTGGATCCCATGGCTCGGGAGAGTCCTCGGTTCTGACAGATGGAATCAAGCCAGACACACTGGCTGCGTCTATGTAGCTTTCGCTGGTGAAAACCTTCATGCTATCCGCGAGCTTCTTGTAGACACGCTTGAATCGCTTATTGTCGGCATGAGCAGGGTTTGAAATACGCTTTGCAACCTCACAGATGCCCTTAGCATCAGACGAGCTTGTGCCCACTAGCTCTAGCAGGCGTGTGGACGCTTGTTGGAGATCTGGCAGTTCATCGGCCATGTCGATAGCATCGACACCGCCATCCTCAGAGTCCGAGGCATGGTCCGAGTCATGAGCCAAAAAGGTCGTGCCGGAGATGTTGGTACTCCCTTCCTCGTGGGCTGGTGTATCTGGCACTGCCGAGGAGCTCAACCGTGACGTTGGAGTTTGATGGGAGCTGATGGGAGATTGTTCAATCACCGGGGGTAGATCTGCACAAGTTAGAACGTTGTACCTTCTTGAAATGAAATTGAAACGGGCGAGTGCAAAGACGAATTAAGAGTAGCAAGTCATGGGCTGAACGAGCTCAAGGTACAGAGCTGGTTGTCATTGCAGTGTATCAAACTGGGGATACGGCGGCCCGCAAAACACGAGGGCCAATCATAACAAGGTCGACCATATACATGGTTGACTTGTCTGGGCTCCGATGTCAGGAAGGAGTAAACCATATAGCACTCACGTTTCACTTGGGCCCTACCCTGAACCCCATGTCGCTGGGCTGTCTTAGAAGATTGTTTTCCATAGTTCGGATCATCGAGTTCCCGACTCTGACTCCGAGTCACTCGCCGCTGGGGGGTGGCCATGCGGGCGGTGTGTACTCAGCTGCGTGTACCTAGGCGCAGGCGGTGAAGTCGCTGTCACGCGTTTGTTGATATTGGGACTCACACGCGTCACTGAGGTGCTCAGAACAATCAAGTCGTTCTCAGCAGTTACTGGATGCTTTTTACCATGTGTGGGAAGGCGAAAAGTGATTCTGACGCGAGGATGGTGTCGGGGGAAGATTGTTTGGCGTGGGCACTAGGGTTGTTGGGCTTATTGACGCGACGGATTCGGAGGATAGATGTTCCGTATAAGCTAATCCATTTTCGGATGGCAGTGACACCTTGGCACCTCAGCACTCAGGCAACAAGGCCCCACAAACCCTAAACCTGTCAGGCATTCATTACTTTCGATCGACATTTCGAGTCAAAATCCATGCTTATTATTACTCAAAATCTAAAATAATGACCCATCTTCATTATCTGACCCTTTATGGTTAATTCCTAGCTGTTTCATCAAGCTTTAACGTGTTGGTAGCGGTTTGAAATTTCAGGCACAAACCCTAACCCCCCCAAACCTTACGAAATATCTTCAGGCAGACATACGGCTTATGTAATTCCACGGGTACGTTGACTTGGAAAGCCATTCGATAAGCTCCAAGTTCAGCGGTCTTTCGACATCCTGGTGGGATGTTTATCATATCAGTCAGTAAGACCTGGATAGGCCAGCAACCTTAGACCTGTATCAGCTCGAATGGACCCGGGCTTGCAAGAGAGTCAAATAGCTGCAAACCCATTTCCTGCGCGATTGCTTGTTCTACTCTCTATTGGCTCCTATTTCAAGCGCCTGCAGATACGGTATTTGTAATCTACGACTCTTAATACTGTAGAACAATGCCCGACAATCTGATGGATTTATCGACAATCTACAACGGCGGAAATTCGCGCCACGTCTCTGCATAGAACCAGGCTCAAGATAACCTCGCTTACCGTTGTACACTACAAGTTTTCTGTTCTTGGTCTGTCAAGCCATGCTGGCCTTTCTAGACCAGACATGATTCAATTTATATCTGCAGCTCCTCTGTAGTATATTCAACAGGTCATTCGACACAAAATTGCTTCAGCGAGGCTAGGTTGTAGCAAACAGACGCGTTTTCTGGGGCCATAGGGCTCTTCGTGATGAACTGTGTCTTTTATGCCCATCTTCGTTGGGAAACGACTCATGAGAACTACAAATGTACATGACAAACTTTAGATGATTTACAAGGACAGACCTCTGGCAAACCATGCTATATTATATCATTAGTATTGAAATATTCTCACAAGACATGTCCGACTTTACACCGATGTAAAACGCCCAAACTCGAGAAAAACAAGGGACGTAGAAAATTCAACCGCCCAAATGCTGTGGCTTTAGTACATAGCCTCTATGAAGTAAATAATGCCGAAGATGAGGAAAGCCGTGGCACCGCCAAGAGTCACTGTGTTATAAGGGTTAGAATTTCGGAGAAACAAAACAGGACACTCATTTGAGAACTTACCGACACGCATGCTGACACGGCCGGCGATAGCTCGGCCACCGATGACAGCCGCGGCCGTGCAAATGGCATGGCCGGTAATCGCGCCAACGGTCACCCACCAGTAGTCTTGGCCAGCAGCCATGGCGATAGTGGCGATCTGGCTACGGTCACCCCATTCGCCGAGGAAGGTCATGACAAATGTCTGTACCCATGCTGGGCTGAGGAGAAGAGAGAAGAGATTGCTAACACCAACCATCATGTTGTTCAAACGCTGGCGAGGGTGGGGCGACGAGCCACGCGAGGAAGACGAGGAGATACTTTCCGGAGGGGAAGGCAGGCGGTTAGTAGAGCCGCGCGACTTGGGGCGGCCGCCAGCACGGCCGGCCTCGAGGGAGTGCGGAGTAATCGAGGAGCGACGACGGCCCATACGTCGCTGCTCCTGCTCCTTCTCCTCTAGCTCCATCTCGACCTCGCGCATTTCCTCTCCAACACCCTCATCCGGGGACATCTCACGACCTTCCTTCAACATCTTCACGCCGAAAACCAGGAAAAGGACAGCCGCCATCAGTTTCGTGAGCGACTTCGGGATCAGAGTAGGAACGGCGTGGCCGAGAACAGCGGACAGAACAGTCATGACAAACAAAGCACAGAAGGCAGAGGAGAACACAACCAATCGGGGGTGTCTCATCGCCATGAGTGCCGCGACAAGGAAGGTCTTGTCGCCAATCTCGGAGACGATGATCATGGTGAACGCAAAGATCAGAGAGTGCAAACCATCGCCGTCATCCGAGGGGACTTGAGTCGATGTTTTGTCGTAGGTAGATGAGCCGGAGTATGACCCCGAGCCAGCAGAGTCATGCTCTATAGCTAGAGGATCATCCTTAGCTTGAGAGGGGGACTTGGGGTGGGGGATATCGTGGGGCTTGGAAGGGAGATCGGCCGGTTTCTAGAGGAGAAAAAATTAGCTATGGCTGCCACAGAGCCCGTGAATAGGTAGCGCAATAGATCTTACCTCCAGCATTCCAAGTGTTCCAGCATCATCGGCGGTGCGACCGCCACTTCCCACGATCGCATCACTATCAGGCTGTTTCTGCTTCTCGCTATGCGGCAAAGGAGGAGCCTCCTTGGGACTTCCAGGCACTTTCTCGGCATTGAAGTGGCTGTCCTTCCCCTTCTCCGATACACCTCCCTCGGTGCCTCTAGTGCCTGCTTTGGGGCCAGCCCGATCTGGATCATCCATCACACCACCGTTGGAGTGCGGGATGATTTGCCCCTCTCCAGTGCCGAGGTGCTCCGACGAAGTTATTTTGAGGTCGTACTTCGTTGAGACCAGATCTATATCGTCACTGCCTTTGTTGCTCTTGCGATCCCGCTCCGCATTGGTTTCCACCCACGGGCCGGCATGTGGCCTGCCATCCTTGCCGTCTACCGGGGCGTCCAGCGACCCTTTGACAGTATTGGTGGACGCGATCGACTCGGGTTCAACATAGCGGGAGTTCAAATCGGATGACGCGCTGGAGAGGGCACTTGGTTTGAGGTCTGCCACCGCAGTTGCCAGAGCGGGAAGGAGAAGAAAGATCAAGGATGGGGAGAGTTGTATCTTCATTGTGAGGATTAGCGGTCACTACCGCGAAAAGGAATGACTCAGAAATAGTCGTCAGTCAATTATTGCAGAAAAGATGGGGAATTGGCGACCGTTCGGTCGAGAGAAGGTATAAGTTGGAATTGTAGGTGAGAAATGGAAGGACACGAGTGTCTAAAAACGGCTGCGGACGTGGTAAGGAATCGGCAATGGCCTCGAATGAAGCACTCTAGGCGCAAGTCCGGTGGCCAAATGTAAGGGGAATGTAATCAAGAAGTATATTAGAATCGTTAATGCAGAAAAAAAGAAGGCAGAACGAGGAAAGACACGACCTGGATGGCGGCGAGAAAAAACGACGTGTTTGTTGCTTCGGTCTGCAAAGGGGGCGATCCACGTGACCCCCCACCGCAAGCGGCCTCCAATGCCAATCGGCCAGCGTTGATTGATCGACTGATCGACTGATTAACGGACCCGTAAACAGCCAAGGCATTATGTAGGTATATTGAACTTATTCATGCCACTTGTATAGAATATCTGTTTTCTGGCTGTTTTTCTCTCTCGGGTTCTTCGCTTCAGCCATGGACTACCGTAAGGTAAGGGATACCGCGAGGGAATACCGCGAGGAGGACAACCGTAGTAGTTTTACATTAGCCATTCTGGACTTGGGGAAACTGGATATACATTATCTGATCCGAGAGATAGTTACGCTGATGTTGGGGACAATGAGATATGGTGTAGTGTACTCTTAAACCGTTTACGCATTCATTCCATCGATCAATTCGGCTGCTCACGATAATCTCGAGCAGAAAGTCGCTATCGGTGCAACGTGTAGTATGGTCAAGCGGCAGCAAAGATATGAAGGACTTTGGCTTGGACATATGCTTTTAGCCCTGCTCTCATACGCAGCTGGCTAACCTACCGGCCGAAGCGAGCTGGAGGATTGTTACAAATCATGGACTGCCTTAAAGATGGACGCACAGCAGTATAAAAACAGTAGATACCTTAATACAATGACCGTAGAACTATATACTCCAGAGGGTGCTGCACGGATAGAACTACGAAGAAACGTCTTGGAACTTGCTTGCACGTCAAATTAGTAAAAACGGTACTGTGGTGACACAACAAATGCCTCCAAGAAGGAAACATCGCTCCAGTCATGAGAGGCTCATTGACCAAAGTATTCCGAAATAGAATTGACCAACTAAATCTCCTCGTGTATCCCACATAGCCATTCAGAAGATAGGTCTTGATGTAACTCATTTCCTGTCTGGCCTGAGGAGTAGGATTGTGTTGACCATGGGGGCCAGGGGTCAGAGGCCAAAGGGGGCGATGAAAGGAGCATCGCGACCCCGAGGCCTACCTACACAAAGAAAATCTGCATCTGCGCTCAGCTTTCTGGGGCCGCCCGAAATCAACGCCACCAGGCACACCAGGCACAGGCTGGCCCCCGTCAGACCCTTCACTTCTTGGAATAGAGAATTGCAGTTATACGAGACATCTCGACAAAATAAATGCATATCTCAAGAGAAAGCGAGTAGTAAATATTCAACTAAAATAAGAATCTCTCCATTCTTCATGCAAGCAATGGTCTTCGTAACGGGACTCCACCAGGTGCAAAAAATAGCATCATGTCAGGAACGACCTGCCGCAGGTGGGGGCCACCTATTGGCCCCCGAGTCAGCGCCTCGGATTTGAGCCCCCCCGTTCGTACATCCCATCAAAGCCTCCGTTCCCGTGTTCGTGTTTTCCCACACCCTCGCGGTTTGCTTGCAAAGATGGTAGTAATCCGCCCCCAGGAACGACAATTTCCAGGGCTAAAATGAACTTCTTTGATCCACAAATAGAATCGTATCCGGATACAACTCTACTGCTTGACTCTGCAGCTTCGTAGCGATGATACTTGCGGGGCCAAATTGAACATAAAGCCCCATATGGGGGTATATAGAGCAGGTACTTGTCCTTTCGGCATTGTTGGATTGTTAGTTCTGTCTTTGTCTTCCTGTCCAAGCGTGCGGGTTCCTCTGCTGGTCATTCTCGAGCGGTTTTATAGAGTATCTGATAAGCGTGTCGTTGACAATACATCATGGGTCTGAAAAGCTTTGTGCTCTCCGCTGCGTTTGTTGCTTCGCTGCAAGGCGTTCGCGCGTCTATTTTTGCAGAGTCAACTCCAAAAGTCGCCGCCTACCTGAGTAAGAGGCTCTCACATCTCTTCTTGCAACTGGAGGTTCTAACATGGCGTAGATGGTGGTGGCCAGGGTCTCGCAACATTCTGTCAGAGTAAGTTTACTTCGCTGAGAACTGCTTCGGACTTGCATGACTGACATGAATCTCCAGATCCTAACGTTGATGTATGAAGCAGTCAGCTACCCGAGAACATAATATGGAAATCTAATACTCGTCTCTAGATCATTCAACTAGCATTCGTGGACCAACTCGATACCGAGCCTCTGTCTGCGTCTCTCTCAGGCATTCAAGGGTATGTATTCTACCGTCCCTCAGGCCACGGTCTATTCCCTTCCTAACACATCAGCAGTTGGGAGATTACACAATGTCAAAACCAAGGGAAAACCATCCTTGTCTCGCTCGGAGGAGCGACCTATCATCAATCCGATCGACAAGGAGGCTGGAGCACTCCCGAGCTAGCCTCGCAAATGGCCGATAAACTGTGGAATAAATATGGCCCCGGCGCTAACGGCCAAGGTCCCTTCGGCACCGCAGTAATCGACGGATTCGACTTCGATTTCGAAGTGCCCATGTCCAACCTACCCGCCTTCACAAACAGGCTGATCACGCTGAAAAACAGCCCGGGGTTGAAGAAGCCATTTTATCTCACTGCCGCCCCTCAGTGCCAATGGCCAGACAAGAACCTCCAAACCGTTCTGGACTCCAACATGGGCGCATTTGATGCTATCTTTGTTCAGTTCTACAACAACCCGGAGTGCGGAATTGGTGCTGGCTACCAGCGTCGCTCTCAAGGACTTTCTGCCCGTCGCTCTGGGCTGCTTGGCAACTTCAACCTGGCTAATTGGTTGACGCTGGCCTCGCAAAGCAATGGCGAGACGAACAATAACTGGAGAGTCGATGTTGCAACTGCTCCTGGTTCAGGTGCCAAGGCAAATAAGCCAAAGATCTTTGTCGGAGTTCCCGGTGGCACTGCGGGAACTGAGACTCCTAACAGTGGATATGTCGACGTTAATACGCTGAAGCAAGCCATTGAGTCGGTAACTGCAAACGGGCATGCGAACTTTGGCGGTGTCTCGATTTGGAGTCTTCAGGTTGCTATTAGCAATGGGAACTTCCTAGCCAATGTCAAGAATGTGTTGAAGAGTTGGACGTGATGAGTTTGATCAGGCTGGTTTTGACGATGGCGTTCCGGGAGTGAGTTATTATATCAATGGATAGATGATAAATGGCGTTCTTGAGTTTCTGTCATTATGTTTCATTGTCCTGTGTATGATGGATATTGATGACCGGGTTGCGTGAGGCTCCATTTGGAAACTGCCGGTAAAGAAATTTGTCCACGAAAGCGAAATGCAATAGAATGGATTTAGCTGTAGGCTCATGTCTTCGCAATGATAACATCTCTATCGCAAGAATGAGCAAAAAGATCATACTTCATCTTTGGCAGATAGCAAGAAATCATACCTACATCTTCTTTGCCTACGACCTCTCACTGTTGGTTTCTGACACATGCTGGCTTTTCCTAGCGTTTGAATGGTGACTTCTGTACTGTACAGCAAGATTATCGGGGCATGGACTCTACCTCGGCAGCTACAACATCACCTGTCTATACCGCACGATCTCCCACTATGTTTTGAACACAGCGCACACTTCATTCCTGTTTGATAATAGCACTACTCTCACTTCTGAAAACCGCCTCGTCTGCATATGGCTTCCTGGCCTAGATTCTCTTCGCACGCTGGTATGCGTGAAATCGAGGATTCTTTAACGCTTTACGCATTTCTGCAATATAAACCATGACTTCCTCTCTGGTCCAAGGCACCGGATCTCTATAGTTGGTAAGCAAGTACATGGAATAGCCCTCTATGCCCGCGAGCCAGTGCTGAATATTGACTAACCCAGCCTCCTTCAATGCTTTGTCTCTCGGCTATGCTCCGATGGGCCACTTCGCAGTCTTCTCGTGAAGCTCGACGAACCGAGCTTTCTCAATAGACGAGCGCATTTGATTGGTGATATCAAGGGTCTTTCCCATTTTTTTCCCGGCGGCAAAAAATCGGGGACCCTAAGTAAATAAAATACTATCCGCCGGTATACTGCCGTCGTTATATTCATAGCGAATATCCATCTCGATTTGCTCAAACTAGCCGCCAGGTTCAAGGTTGTCATAATATTGTTTGTAGAGGTAACCCTATTCGTCTGAAGTAAATACGCTAATACCGTGGCGGAGATGTATTAGGTCGAACTTTTCGCGCTAGGTCCATAGTTGCAATACATCGTCTACTTCAAAGATGCAATTTGGTGGAGTCTAGCTGACTAGTGGAGGAAACAGATCGACGCCTCGGACAACAGCCTTGGGAAACCTATCGGCTATATCAATAGCCTATGAGCCCTGCCCCGTCCCAATATCAAGCACATGCTTTGGCGCTGGGACTGGTGCTAGGTAAAGTGGGTTTAGTTTATCGATGTTTATGAGAAGGCATGCGAGATGTCCCACTTTATAAGTCTCAAACTGTTGTTCGTCTGATAGGCTGAAATATTTAGAAGGTCTTAGGGTTTGATATCGTCTCCCGTTTTGCATAACTCCTTTATAAAAGGAGGAGGCGATAGAGGTAGTCTCGGATTTCTAGTCTTTAGGGTCACATTCGTTCGATTTCGGTAAGTGCAGGCTTGGATCTGGTGTAATTACGGAGTCGGCTATAATAGGGATAACAATAGTGAAAGAACCGTTAATAGGGTGCACGCGCCCTCTCGGGCAAGTTGAGAATATTTTCGAACCCGCGTTTTATGTGACCTATAATAGACTAAGGTAGAAGACGTAGGCTGGCTTTTTCGAAGGGCAAGAAAGCAAGGGGAAGAGGATATGAGCTAAAAGTCAACACACGAGATACGTCCTGTGCGGCTCTGACCTAGTTATGATTTGTTGTCTGTTTTTGAGATTGTAAGCAATAGAAACTATGAGATGTACACCTTGTGTTCCTTGCTCAACGAATCATGAAGTGGAAAGGGGAAGGTGACTGACAGTAGAAACTTCAAGTTATGATTCCCCGGAAGCGCTGTGGTGGTGCTCCGTAAGTAGTGCCGTTTGTTAACCAATGACTCGCGAGGCACGGAGGGTATAATATGCGGGCGGTCGGTTTTGGCAGCTGTGGTCGTAAATATAGCAAAATGTCCTTTCCACCATCAGGTAACTGAAAATCTGCCGGCCATAACTGCCTCGAAATGGGCCCTCGAAACAGACATGCTATCCCTCAAGAGTAGTTTCTTGGAAGAAAGCCCGATTAATATTAGAACCCGGCGAAGATATTCTAGTCTGTTGGATATCGTCTGCAGTCATGGCGATTGATGGGTCTCGTTCCTGATTGTACACCGTACTGTAAATAGCGAACCTAGTCCAACCAGAAGTATCTTAGTAAGCAGAGCTCGTGTTCTTTGGTGCGACATCCGTGTGTGCGCTCCGCCTTTTGTCCTCTAATGAATAGTCGCAGTCAGCTAAGGAAGTCTCCGTGACCTGCTAAGATACAATCTCGTAGCCAGTTCCGAAATACCTTTCACTAACTCTTCCCTGTCGTTAGAAACGGCTCGGTGCAGCACCGTAGCTGGTAGTTTGTACATACTCGACTTCTCTTACAGTATACGCCTCATGGTGTTTGTTAGTTGGGGTGCCTGGGCATTTACGCTCATCAGCTCCGTTGTTGCCCGCGCGATATTGAGACGATATTGGACCTCGATCCGGGATATCCCTGGCCTACTGTTAGCTTCATTCTCGACTCTTTGGCAGGTTTTACAGATCTTGAAGGGCTATACGGAAGTAGAAACGATCAGATTACACAAAGAACATGGTAAGCTTTTCTGATCGATCCGACCGAGCTATAGCTCGGAAATTACGTATCTTACTTGACGTGTAATGTAAAGGATACTTTGTTCGCATCGCGCCGAATGAAGTTAGCGTTTCTCATCCGGATGCCGTCCGATAACTGCTGCAGGCCTAAATTGCAAAGGTATTGTGAGCTCCTTCCTTTGGGTATCGGAGCATCGTGCTAACTATGTCATAGGGTCCATGGTATGCAATCCTCAGCCTACCGGACTATCGATATGTCAACTAAATGTCGGAATTGGACCCCCAAGAGCATATCAGAAAACAGAGAAATATCTCGTCTAGCTATGCTCTCTCCAATATTATTCAGCATGAGCCGCATTTTGACGCAGTACTCCAGCTACTATCTACCCGCTTAGAAGACTTTTGCAACTCTGACTGTCCAGTTAAGTTAGACCAATGGTTTACTTTTTTCGCCTTTGACGCCGTAGGCGAGGTCATTTTCTCTAAGTCTTTTAGCTTTCTCGAACACGGTAAGGATATCAGAGACGCTATTGCTAATCAGAGACTACTAGCGCCTTATGCCGCGGTGATGGGCTATTATATATAGTTCTATAACCTTACTCTAGGGAATCCGCTTCTTAGCCGGTTAGGGATCCAGCCTTCTTCCCACATTTTTGAGACCTGTATTGAGGCTATTAATACCCGAAAGCAAAACCCCGCAACGCGAAATGATATAATATAGAAATGGCTGGATACTCGTGCTAAGTACCCGGATCGTATAGAGGAAATTGAGGTCTTTTCTATAGCTGTCGGGACGCTTGGCGCGGGTGGAGATACTATTAGCGCAACGATACAGGCGCTTTTCTACTTATTAATTCGTTATCCTTAATATATAGTTAGGCTGTAGGATAAGCTCGATGCAGCCGAGGCCCGCGGGTAGCTCTCGCGGATTATTTAGTATGCTGAAGCACAAAATCTACCTTTCCTCCAAGCTTATGTATGCTATATATCTCAACCCCTTAGACACAATTGGATGTTTACGCCGTCAAATAGATAAAGGAGATATATCGGTTCTATACAGTAGTTAGCCTCGGTCTTCCACGACTCGCCCTGCCCGGTAGAATAACTATTGCCGGCAGATTATTCACGGAAGGGGTAAAAGTCCCTAGGACAACTTTCTTTTATGTCGTTCGAGGTTGACTTGAAATACAGACTATCCTTAGTGTTAATCCCTGGGTCATTCACCGTAACCCTGACCTGTTCGGTGAGGACTGTGAGAGTTTCAACCCAGACCGTTGGTTCTAGAAGAAATCCAGAGATATGAACGCATTTTTAATTTACGTATATATACTCCTCAAGACTGATCATTATACGTCCCTTTTTTCCTTACTATCCTTTTTGGTATTGACCGGTTTGTTCTAATAGTGGGGGGTAGGGTATAACGCGTGCCCGGGCCGAAATTTCGCTTAATTTGAAATATTAAAGCTTGCCGCTACGCTGCTCCGGGACTTTGAATTCGACTAAGTAGACCCCGAGCAAGAGTGGATATGGCAAAATCATTTTATCTGCGTGCCTTATAAGTGGCTCTGCAAAATCCGACGCCGTTTGAACACCTGATTAAGGATTATCCCTTGTATAGCGGCACAAACGGACGATGCTTGCCATGTTTTGCCTAATGAGAGAAGGATAACATAAGTGGCACTATAGTAAGAGAAATGCATATTGAACTGGAATATAGATTATAAGATATCGTACCTACCTCTTCTTCGCCTATGTCCTATCACTGTTGGCTTACGGTAAATGCTAGATCTTTCTAGACTTTGAATGGTAACTGCTTTATCATGAAGATTTTAGAGGAAACAGATAGGAGGTCGTAATGGAAATCCGGGAGGCTACGCGGTCTAACCGCGACGTCATTACGCCCTGAAGAGTCTCGGGAGAATACTAGGCGGGCCGGTGCCTCGATACTCGACACCTTCGTAAAAATGGCTGAAGCTTCAAACCTATATCAGACACACGGATGATGATCAGTGTATATGGTTATATTAGTCGAGATCTAATACTCTACAGTATCCTTGACAACTCTTGCGATTTTGTAACAGAACTAACTGAAGATCTGCCCTTATTAGTGTCACAATTGAGCGATAGTCATTGCTATGAGCTTCTGTGTTGCTGTGTTTCCTTTCTTTTCATCTCGTCCAAAAAAGCTTCCTTTAGTAGACATAGTCTACATTGATAGATTATAAAACATATACCAGATAACATCATGAAAGCACTAGTGACTGACGCTGTAACGATTTGAATTATTGACCATGATAGGTTTCTTTTTATGTAAACGTTTATAAATGTATTAATAAAACCCGTGGCGGAATTTATGAGAACTAGTCTGTTCAAGATCAGTACACTGCGAACAATATTAATTTGATTTCTTAACCCCGACTTATAGAAATATTCTAGCTTGAACCTAAACAAAATTAGAGTTTTGCCTCCAAAGCTATATATAGCCACAACTACCGATTAGGCAAAAAGTAGCCGCAAAGGCTAAAAGAGGAATATTAAGAACAAGGTTATATGTAAATTCGCTAATCTTATTTTAAGCCACTGTAGACTGAATAGCCTTAGAAGTGCGAAGTGAATTAAATATGTTAGGAAAAACTAGGTATCCTGCAAGAAGAATCTATAAGAAAATACTAGCGAGGATATTATCTTTTAGCTTCGCATTCTGGTTTTCAAGAACCATCCGGGGATACTCCGCGGGAGAAGGAGAAACCCTTCCTTCTAGGAAAAGAATTTTGAGATCTTGCTATATCTTGCTTAGTATAACTTTAGTCTCGTAGAGGAGACTATTTTGATACGCGCTGATATTCATTTTGTTTCCGAGCTTTTAGTCTTTGCGCAGCTAGCTTCTGTTCTGCGAGAGAGTATTTAGAGTCTGGGAACTATTTAAGGGCGTTGTATATCTACTTATTACAGCTGCAAAGGTATGAGCTGCAGTTAGAGCCTACATAACCCTCTTATCGTTTATTTATAGTAATAACGCGGCGCTTATTGAAGGGCGGAATCGCAACTTTCGGTTGTGAAGGGTACAAATAATCACTATAACGTTTTGGTCTGTAAAGAGCTATTTTTGCCTGCGGTATATATACTAAAAGGCTAGGATAAATTTCCCTAACTCCGCAACTTTTTGACTTGTGCGGACCTGACGCCAATCCTAGTCCCTTTAAAGCGCGAGTTTAATACATACAACCACAGGCGCCCTCACTTATCTCGCTTCTGGATCCAAACTACCTTCATCGTCAAAAATAATATTCTGACCGCCCATAGGACCGCCAATGTGTCAGCTAACTAACTGGGGGTCTGCACGTCGATAAATCTAAATTTCTTATGTGATCATTTTCACAACCGAGTAGGAAGAAAATTGCGGGACATACGTCCCCGAGTTATCTGAGAAAGTCACACGACTGCATTCATTGGTGGTCCTTCGCTCACCAAGTTCGGTAGACCACGGTCAGTTGGGGGAGTTGAGTTGTGGATGTCAAATATTGCTTGAGGAAATGAATCTGAGTCCAGTCACTGTCTTACAGTACGTTGCGAAACCGGTGCAACCGCCTCCACTCTTCGAGTGACTCTCCAGGCTCACCGCCAGGAGACACTAGAATACTTTAGGAATAGCCCCGGAGTATCAATATTCCTGTACCAGTCTCGATACTATCATTTACTTTCATTAAATACAGCGCCGTGTTTCGTAACAGTATTGGCGATCCAACGGAACTAGAATTTTCCATGGAAATGCAAACATGCCAAACACTGGATCTGCGGATGCCTCGAGAACCTAGCAACCTGACACTTCCCTCCTGTGGCTAAGTGACGGGCTGGGGGCTTACTCGGCACCAGACCTTGCAAAATAGTGGCTTACATTACTTGCGTACTGTACCTCCAGAGTACTTATGAACCTGCTTATCATAATAATCAGCCTGTCAGCCACTGTCCTCTCTTCTTGACGCCCTGTAACACACTTGGTCGAAGCTAACACACAACCATGTTTAGAGACTCCTTAGTGGCATCTTCTGCCTCGGGGGGATGACTTACACTCCTTTCAACGATGATGATGATGATGCTGCTTACCGACCTGAACTGCCTAATCAATGGGAACGGACCCCCTCGTATGCCCACACCTGCTTACCCAAACCGCGAATAGACGCTATGAGTAATCTGCCTTTCACCTAATCCCGAGGACATCGTTGGTTAATGTACACCTTCCTTGCATTAACATCCGTCCGACCAGCAGGGTTTTGATTCCGTGGTTGAACGTGCAGATAGAAGTGCATAGGATGAACAATCTCCGGACCGTATCCACTACTAGATCGAGTGGAGGGTTAAATTGAACAATCGAGTTGTGGTCAAGGATACAAAATAGGACCTAACTCAACCGCCTAGATCCTACTGGGAACAGATAAAAGAGGACGCCTGTAATATTCTACGACGGAAGGCAGCCCGTAGCCGACGGGTGAGGCTAGATGATACTGACATAGTGTTATCGGTGAACTCCTAACGGAACATTGACAAACACTTTGAAGGTACTAGTGTTGATTCGACGGTGGTGGAGAAACAGCTACTAGCGTGGGCCTATCTATTCCGTCGTGGGAAGAAGATCCGGCTTTAGATATCGATCAACTACATAGAGGACAGTGGACCTCTTCCTTCTAGAACGGACAAGAGAGGAAAGGCATCGGTGACCACACGGATGCTCGCTGACCGAGACGCTCAGATTGACGCCGAGCAGGTCTCCGGCTAACATTCCGTCTGGCGTGATGTGTATCGTGTCATGCGATGTCCCGGGCCTCCATGTCGTCACGAAGGACAATATTGCTGGCAAGATCCGGAGGGAAAAAGGCACCATAGATTGCAAACACACCATCTGAGTCGTAGTGAATGATGAGTTGATCCCTTCGATGCATACATACCTTGGTATATAGTGCCGTATACTGGGTATAGATTCAGTTAGGGATCTGGAGATGTGGAAGAATTAGGGCTCAGTGCAGAGACAGTATCTGCAGGTAAGGGATCCAAGAAAGTCCCCAGGAAGACAGGGAGTTGAGTCGGTTGTGATTTAGCAGGCCCTAATCTCGAGGAAAGACAGAGCCACCATGGGGCGTCATGATTAGCCCCGGGTTGACAGATTTCAGGTCGACCCGAGACATAGGATATTCTCTTTTGCGGGATCCGATTGAACCCTTTTTCAGGCCGGGCCCTCGTCTACATACAGCTAAATTCGAAATCGGCTTCCATCTTTTTCACAGAGAAACTATCGCGGCCCTTGCCACTAGTCCAATTATGGATCCAATTCTACTACTTTTAGATCTGATGTGGGGCTCAAGGGCAATTTCTGCAGTTTCAATTGGATTAGCTTGCGTTGACCCCACCTTCTAGATCAAACATATCTGTGCAAACGATGGAAGCCGAATTTGAATATTGCTGTAGCTGAGACAAGTCGACTGTCATCTATATAGCACAGGAAGACCAAACGCTGTGTCTTGATTTCCTCGCTGATTGTCACTCTGACAGGGTCGATAGTTATAGCCACGCCTAGCTATGACACCGTAGTTTCGTCACTGGAACAACCCCATAGAGTACTATAATTCGTCTTTTTTCCATAATAGCCGCTGTCTCTGGTCCCATGCCTGCTGGTATAATAAACCAACTTGAGCAGCGCCCTCGGCCGCCAGATAGCAGTCTCGTAGC